TGAGATAGGGTCACACTGTGTAGTTCAGGCTGGCTTTAAACTCATTTTGTAGTACAAGCCGGCCCTCATCCTGCCTCAGTCTCTCAAGTGCTGGAATCAAGGGTATGTACCACCATACCCTGCTGCTACTGAAGTCCTCTTGAAAATATGTCATGTGTGTATTTTGATAAGTAGAACCATCTACTTAGTACAACCTGCATCCCTCGTTCTGAGAATCATTTAAGCCTGGTCTGGGTACCTCCTGTCTGCTGGAATGTTCTTGGGATTAGGATGTTTAGAATTTAGAAGGTCCCCATTGGAGCTCTCAGATTAGATTTTATTATTTATTATTCAAACTATGTGACGTTACTGTGGGCCTTCTCTTTATAATACTGCTTATCTCTTATTATGCTTTTAAGTTTGTGACTGAAAAAGAATGATCCATACCTACCTTCCTGTCTTTCATTTTTTTGGTGCAGGGGATTGACCCAGAGCCTTGAGCATGCTAGGCAAGTGCTCTACCACTGAATTATATCCTCAGCCCTTTTTAAAATTTTGTTTTGAGATAGAGTCCCGTTAAATCACCCAGACTTGCCTGGAATTTGCAATTCTCCTGCCTCAGCCTCCTAAATTGTTGGGATTACAAGAGTGGGCCACCACACCTGGTTTAAATTTACTTTTCAATTATGCCTGTGTTTGTTGTATGGAGTTTTTAAATGTACCGATATCTTTTCTCAGAGCTAAAGTTTGTCAGCAATAAGTTGGCTGGATCCTTTGGGTGGTACCCTGGAACTTCAGGTCCTTGACTTGGCATGTGCGGTGTCTCTTGTTCTGCCAGTTCTAGTCTAGTGTGCAGGATCTCTGAACCCCGTGAAACTTCAGAGAATAGTTTATGCAGCTCCACTTTGGAGGCAAGCTCTAGTGCTCAGATGCTAATGTGTGTGCTTTGTGCTGGCTGCCTGGGTGTTGCCCGACAGGCCCTGGTGTGGGTCAGTAGTGCTTCCTTTGTGCTTGCCTGGCCCTGGCATGGCTCAGAGCATAGCTCAGTGGAATGGGAGTGGGTGTTTATTGATTCACAGTGCTTGGGGTTTGAACACAGCCATACACATGCTAGACACACGACCACTGAGCTCCACCCCAGCCCTGGGAATGGCTGTTGTTAAGTGACAGTCACTACCTAGTGTAGCTAATTGGCCACCCTTCTTGTTCTTTGAGTAGTTTTGTTAAGCTGTAAGTGGCCACTGTTGGAGTTACAGTGCCTTCTCCTTGAGCTCTTCTTGGGGCCCTGTGAGCACTGTTTGGCTCTGATCTGAGGGAACAGTGGTGGATAGTTTGTGATCACATCCCCTGCAGACGGTCCTGAGGACATTTCAGTGATGCCAGCAGCACTTGTCCAGGCATCTGTTGGGTCTGGCTGTTACTGTAGTCGCCTGGAACGCTTTTCCTTTATGTTAGTATTTGTTGATGTGGTCTCTGGCAATCTTCATTTTGTGTAGAGTCGTCATCGCCAGGCCCAGTGCCAAGCCATGGGAACAGACCTTCTCTGGTAGCTGAAGCCTCCCCTCACATGAAGCCATCAGTGCTAGGTCAGATCCTTACTGTGGTTTATAAGGAAGAAAGCCGACCATATATTTATCAGTTCTCCTGACTCCCAGATTTGGGATTCTTCCATTCAGCTATGGGAAAGTCTTAATTGTTTGAAATTTATACTTGACAAGAGTTTGAAGCTCCTAATCCTAATCTTCTTCCTTTTTTTTGGATTTTTGAGACAAGGTCCTGCTACATCGTCTATGCTAGCTTTGAATTTGCAGTCTTCCTGCCTCAGCCTCCTGAGAGCTGAGATTGCAGGTGGGCGCACTGCCTGGCTTTTTGTGTGTGTGCTGTGGATCAAGACTATGGTAGAGCTACACGAGTGCTCTCTTCCAGTCCAAGTCCCCTTTCATGAAACATGTGATAAGCCTCACAGCAGCTTCATCTTTGGCCTGCTTGGCTCTTGTCTTTGCAGGTTCTATTGAAGGCGTTCATAGCGAATCTGAAGTCAAGCTCCCCTACAGTCCGGCGGACGGCAGCTGGCTCGGCGGTGAGCATCTGCCAGCACTCCAGGAGGACGCAGTACTTCTACAGCTGGCTGCTCAACGTGCTCCTGGGTAAGGTGGAGTCATGTTAGTCCCTCTGAGCACTTCCTCAGGACTAAAAGTCTGCTAAACCAGCTGACCCCTCAGTGTCCAGACTTGGCCATGGCTCTGGGCTGCCGGGTGACTGAGATGCACAGGGGCTGCTGTGAGTGCATGTAGGGTCTGTGACTGCACATGCTGCAGTGCCCACGGGCATCTCCCTGGACAGGGGGAGCGGGACAGTGTGCACCATGACCCTCCTCCATTCTTGCAAGTCCCTTGCTGGCAGTTTTTCCTGTAGTTCCTGCGGCTAGAGACCAGTGCTAGTGAGTGCTGGGCTGCAGGGTTTGATATAAAGTACCTGCCTGACTTAAGTGCAGTCGCTCTCTGTGAGGGCCATGCTAAGCTGAGCCCCTCCCAAAACTGGAAGCCAGCCTGTTCTTCCAGTCACGTTTGTACTGTCTTTGTCCTTTGCTCCAGCCTTAGCGGAGGGCGGTCCTACAGGTCTCTAGTTTTAAAAGTCTCTGAGCAGAGGATCGGCTGTTGAGAAGTCCCATGACTACGTTTGTAGGTCTGCTGGTTCCAGTGGAGGAAGAACACCCCACACTCCTGATCCTTGGGGTGCTGCTCACACTGAGGTATCTGGTGCCCTTGCTGCAGCAGCAGGTCAAGGACATGAGCCTGAAAGGCAGCTTTGGGGTGACCCGAAAAGAGATGGAAATCTCTCCGACTGCAGAGCAGCTGGTCCAGGTAGGATCACAGGGGGATGCTCGGTACTTAAATTGTGATCGCTGAAAGACCCGAGTGTTTTGTGTGAGAAGGGCCTGAGCTGAGCATGAGCTGGGTGGGCTCTGGATCGTGACTGCCTCACTGGTGACCTCCCCGTGTCTGTGTCATGGGAGAATATATGTGCCGGAGAATATGGAGGCACATACACCCCTCAGACTCGCCGGGGACAGGGTTGTGATACATACGCCCATGCTCAGGAAGTACTGATTGAGCACCTGGGCACGGTGATGGGGAGGGGACAGCAGTGGACATGGCCCACCTTGCGCACTGGTCTGGGCAGGGGTGCACCAAGCATGTGTGGACAGAATGTGGACACTGGTAGCCTGGCAGGTGCTAGTGTGCTTTGTACATAAGCTTCTTGAAAACAATTGTTTGAAGATAAATTCCAGCAAAATAAGATATAAATTCTATAAAAGAGGAAACCTTGAAATCTAGGAAGCAAGATATCTCACCTAGGATTGTGCTCAAAGCAATTCTGCCATGGTTGCTGTCCAGCCTGCAGTTCAGGTGAGGAATCCAAGAAGCATCTCACAGCAGTGTGATGACACGAAGCTGGAGGCTAGCAGAGGCGTGTGTGGTCAGTGCCGCAAGAGGGGGTGGAGGCAGATTTGTAAAAGAAATTTGCCATCCAGTAATGAAGCCAGGGAAGATAGATAATGAGTAGTAAATTATAAAAAAAGAATCTATTTGACTATTGCCCTGGGATATCCTGTTTCAGCAACATGCAGTAATAGTGAAATATTTCGGTTTGAGCCATCATTAATAGACTTTACAGAAAATATTTATTTACACAAGACAGATATGTACTATTTGTCTGTTTGTTTGTTTTACAGCACTGGGGCTTTGAATCCAGGTCTTTTACACCGAGCTGCATCCCCAGCACTTTTTTTATTTCTTACTTTGAGACTAGGTCTTGCTAAGTTGCTAGGTTGCTAAGGCTAGGCTCAAACTTGTGATCCTCCTACTTCAGCCTCCTGGTGTATTAGGATTACAGGTGTGTGCCACCAATCATGGCCTACTGTTAAAATTTAAGTGATAGTCTTGACTTCTAGGGAGATCAGCTATAAATAATGTTACCTAGTGGCCTGTGAGTGTGGTAAATCTGGACAGTAGCAGTAGCTGACAGGTTGAGGGGTGCAGAGGAGGTGAAAGGAGCATGGGTGCTGAGCTCCCACTACCCAGAGAGGAGTCAGGAGAGGCTTCATGGGATGGATGGGTGGCTTCAGAATTGAGTATAAGCTGACCGCCTGAAACAGTGTTCTTGGTCAGTGGCCAGAGTAAATATTTTAAGCTTTGTGGGCCGTGACACCTCAGTCGTATTTACTCAGCTCCAACCTTGTGTCACAGAGCAGCCACAGCCAGTCTGCAGATGTGGCTGTGTCTCAGGGAAATTAGGCACAAAAGCCAGAACTGGCCAGATACGGCCTGTGACTACAGTTGCCAGCCTATGATTTAGGGTTACAGAGCTGGCAAGCAGAATTGCTTAAAAACAAGTATTAAAGGTAGCAGCCTGGGAGATGCTGACTTTTTTTTTTTTCCTTTTTCTTTTTTTGGTATCGGAGATTGAGCTTGGGACCTTGCACTTGCAAGGCAGGCAGTGGAACCACTGAGCTAAATCCCCGGCCTGCTGACTTTTTGTTTCATACTCTTCTACATTGACTTCTAGAACAGAAACTTATGTATTTTATCATAGTAGAGGTAGGGTTGGCAAATTTAACAAAAATGATTGTGAAATTTGAATTTTAGATAAATAGTAAATAAATTTGTAATTTTTTTTCCAACCTGCATGAAACATACTACAAAATTGTCTGAAATTGAAATTTAACTGAGTACCCTATGTTGTATCTAGATCTCTAATGTGAAAAGTAATAAATTCACTGCGTGTGTAATGTGATATAGTACGTAGCAGAACTAATAAGATTTGACCCAAGATGCCTTTCATATTTCTGGCAGCTCTGTCATGGGCACTTGGAAGCTATTTTGGATTGTTAGGAGTGTCTAGCCACCTCCACTGTAGTGTCTGCTGGGCTTGCTCCCTCTCCTAGTACTAGTTTTGAGAAGTGGAGACCTGAATTAGCGTATGGCTGCTCTAGGGAAAGGGTCAGTACACCAGTGAAACATCGCAGGCATCCAGAACACATGGACTCTCTGACCACACTGGCAGAGGTGACAGTGTCTAGAGGGCAGGATTAGGGCAGACTTTCCCAACACAGACCTGTAAAGTGAAAGCCATGAGACATTTTTAAACCACAGTCAAGCACTTGTCTTTTTTTTTCTCCTGTGTCTCTAGGTTTATGAGCTGACTTTGCATCACATGAAGCACCAAGACCACAATGTGGTGACAGGCGCCCTGGAGCTCTTGCAGCAGCTCTTCCGCACACCCCCACCTGAGCTGCTGCAGGTGCTGACCACTCCTGGGGGCCTGGCTCAGCTCTCTGCTGCTCAGGAGGAGGTCCGGGGCCGGGGCCGCAGTGGGAGCATCGTGGAGCTTCTAGGTGCGTTCTCCAGTGGGGTCTGCTTGTAACCACCTGTGTGATCACTGGAGACCCTTGCACACTGTGGGGCTGCGGTGTTCCGAGCTATCCATACCAAGTTCTTTGCCTAGACACACAGTGCAGCTTGCAGGAGAGCTGAAGTTTAGAGAGTCAGCTGGCAGAATGAGGCCAAGCATTGGACAGCTGGCCTCCTGCTCTGACTGCACTGCCCTGCCTGACATTACAGATGATTATGAAATGAAAACAAGAGGGTCTTTTCAGGACTTTTGTGTTAATCTGCCTGAGATGGGATCTTGAAGCCTTTTTTCTGGGTTTTAGAATTCCTTTCTGCTTTTCTGGGTCCTGACTTTAAAACCCCTTCCATTCCCAACCCTGAACACCTGCAGGCCTGGTCTCTGCACTTTTCCATATTTGTGGGGGTTGGGCCCTGATTGTACAAGGGGCTGCTCAGGCAGCGCAGTGGGTTGACGAGGGGTGCCCTTGGAAGCAGAGACAGATGGGAACCCCTGGACCCCAGCCTCCGGAAATGGTGTGCAGCAGATTTGAGGAGCTCCTACTGGCCTGGGCCTCTCTGGCTGCTGCGGGGGCCAGGGCGGGGAGGGGAATGTGTGTTGTGATAGGGCCTCTGTTCCCTGTGTGGATGAATTGGCGAGGATTTGGCTGGGTGTCTGAGTGCTGCCTCATGGACATGTGTTTGGCCCATAGGCAGAAATGTAGATGTGCCCTGGCTTCCCTCCTCTGCACGCAGAATCCCTTCTTTGTGCACTGCATGCCTTACAAGTGTTCACCTCTAATGATTGTTCCCAATGAACATGTCTACTTGATTATTAATAGATTAAATAATTTGAGAGCTCTACTATTTTTAATTTGGATGTTAAAATGTAGGCTTATTATAGTTCTTTTGTCATTTCAGTTATATCTTCAGAACTACATATTTGAATGTTAATGTACTTTTCACCTTGAAATTAAAAGGTGTTGCACTGTGGTATTTAAACACTTTCTATGGACATATGTTGACATTTTCACTGGTTTTTAAGTTGCATGAAGCTTTTTGAGGATTTCAGATTTCTTCTGATTTTAACAGCTTAATTATTACCTTCCTTTGATCTGTCACTTTCTGTGGTTTACAGCTGGAGGGGGTTCTTCATGCAGTCCTGTCCTTTCAAGAAAAAAAGGTGATTACTTCTGAAATCTGTATCTTGTGTTGAATCAGACTGCTTTTCCTGTATTTCCCTTGTGCTCTGGACTGTCTGTATCCCTTCCCAGTAGAATGACTGTATGGGTGAATGTTGCTGGAAACTGATAACTAGGCTTGAAGTTATGTAGGATAGCTTTTAATAATTGCTTCTGGATCAGACTCGCTTTGTCATATATCTCTAATGCTTGATGTCAGAGGTCAGCGGACTTTTTCCGTGAAGGGCCACAGAGTAAATGTTTTAGCATATGGGCCACGTGGTCTTTTTTGCAACTATTCAACTTGGCCCTGTGGCTGGAAAGCAGCTGTGGACAGTTTTTGAGGTTTAGGCTTGCCTGTATTCCAGCAAAAGTTCACTTACAAATATAGGTGGGCCTTCCTTCTGCATAAAGGTAACATATCTTCCTGAAGGATTTTATTAAGTCAATAATATTATTAGTAAGTAGCTTCTTTCATTAATTATTTTAATTTAGGCCCAGTTATCATTTTTCAGTCCTATTTAACTGTACATATCAAAGCGTTTATGTGTATTAAAGTGTTTCTGACATACAGATACTCCTTAAACAGCCTACCTATTGATCAACTGTTCAGATGTAGTTCTGACAGGCATACTGTTTGGACTTACGGCCTCCTGCTCTTTTTTTTTTTTTTTTTGTACAGTTCACCTTGTTTACACAGATTTGTAATTGTTGCTGATTGTACTATTCAGTACTGTGGTTTTATGTTCTGTTATACATTGCAGTACTGCATGTAAGAGTTATACAAATCAAAGCAAAGTCATCAACTTTGAGTTTCCGTGGACCGTTCCTTTGATCTGAATATTGTAATGTACACTCTACACACTCCTCATTTAGTTATCAATTCATTTAATGACCTAGTCACAAGAATGGAATGTGGTTATTAAACGAGAACTATCTGTAATCTGATACTTTTCCTTCATATTACCATTTTACATCACCATTTTCTTTTCCACTATGAATTTCCATAGAAAAGTATTGCTACTTTTTTGTTTTGAAATCTTAAAAGATTAACCCTTTTTTTGTATCATAATTCCAGTGTTTCCCTGTTTGCAATATTGAATGGGATTTCTTTTTGAGTGGGATTGAACTCAGGACCTTGTGCTTGTGAAGGCAGGCATGGCTCTGCTTAGCTAAATCTCTGTCCCTTGAATGGTATCTTAACAGGAATAGCATTCTTGTCTTTACTGAAGGAGGTGAACATTTCCTGGATGAACTTAGAATCAGTAACATTCGTAAGCTGAGTGTGGTGACATGCACCTGTAGTATCACTGCTTACAAGGCTGAGGTAGGAGAATCACTTGAGCCCAGGAATTTGAGACCAGTCTGGGCAACATAGTGAGACCCCATCTTAAACAAACCAAACAAACAAAAATTTGGGCCATTGTAGTATGGGATATTTAATTGGGTTTGAGATTTTAGAGAAACATTGACATTTTTTTAAAGGCCAGAAGATTCTTAGAAAATTAATCTCTGTTCTTAAGTTAGGAGAGATTGTTACTTTGAAGTCTTATGTATTTCTTAGTCACTTTTCTTGAGATAGTGAAAAAGATAGTGATTGATATTGTTATGAGTGGTTTTGTCCTCTGTGGGCACATAGGGTGTTTCCTCAATCTTTTTGTTTGTTTGTTTTTGGTACTGGGGATCGAACTTGGGACCTTGCGCTTGCGAGACAGGCGTCGGAACCACTGAGCTAAATCCCCAGCCCTCCTCAATCTCTTTTTAATTTTTTCATTTTTTTTTCTTTTAGAGTAGTGGTTTTCAAACTTTTTAAATTGTAGCTTCAAATCTGTTTTCCCCAAGTGAAATCTGCCAGTTGTGGGGTGAAGGCGTACGGTAGCTTAAAGCCTGTTCTTTGATGGCATCCTGCACCCATCCTGCTGAGGACTATGCAGCATATTGGAAAAGCACTAATTCAAAGGGTAGGGGCTACTTTTATTAAAGCCAAATTCAGCACAGCATGTGGCAGTGCAGCCCTGTAATCTGAGCTGCTGCAGGAGTCCCAAGTTTGAGGCCAGCCATCAAAGAGTAAAGATGGCCATGTGTCTTACCCCCAGCCCCTTCCTAGGTGCAGTCCTCAGTGTCTGGTGAAGGAAAGAAAGATCTGAGTTTACTGTTGGGGAATTTGATATGATTCCCAGAATAAATCACTAAGGTTTTCTTTGTTTTGCTTGCTTGTTTATTTTGACGTGGCTTTTGACCTCAAACTCGCCATCCCACCGCAGCCTCTAAAACAGTTGGGCTAGCAAGCACGCATCTCTACTTTTAGCTTTGATAAAGGTTCCAGTTGTCTAGTAGTTAGTCACTGTTGATTTCATCTAGATTTGGGGTTTTGAGTTTGAATTTTTCCTTCATGTTTTTTTTTTTTTTTGTATGCCTTTAATCTCATATCATGTAACTATGGAAGTTATTACTACTCTGACCTACATTAGAAGTCGGAAATTGCCAGTAGCTATTTGACAGTGTCATAATGACTAATGTGTACTGTATATCTGTAGTGATTAATGAGGTCTGCTAAGTCATATGAAACTTTTATTTTCTTGTTTTCTAATATAATTTTGAATATAAACCATTCAAACAAACTTTGCAAACAAAATATTATTTCATCCTCTCAGACCATAGCGCTAGAGTTCTTATTGTTCAAAATAGGGCTTAGGGCCAGGGATGTAGCTCAGTGGTACCATGACTGCCATGCAAGCTCAAGGGCCTGAATTCTATCCCTGGTACCAAAAAATAAAAATAAAGAGTTAGAAATTAAAGATGATAAAATGAAAGGGACTTTTCTTTTTTTTTTGAAGGTGACTTTTCTTTAAATGAGTTTTTTGCTTAAGTTCTGATTGGAGATAGTTCATGAACACCCTAAAGTTAATAGAATTGGATCTTTTCTTTCATAATGTACCATTCTTAAGTTGAAGACTGGTATAAATTATTTAGCAGTAATCTAAATAAGTAAATTTTCTTTTCTTTTTGGTACCAGGGATCACACTTGGGACCTTGCGCTTGCAAGGCAGGCGGCAGAACCACTGAGCTAAATCTCTGGCAGTAAATTTTAAATATTAATATATTTTGCAGTACACTTAGAGAATCACTGCCTTAACTTTTTGTATAGGTTTATTGATTTTAATAGTGTTCTAAACATAATATTTCTGTATTCTTTGTATTTAACGCTAAAGTTATAAAAATATACATAATGCTAAAGTATATGAAGTTAAAGCACATATGCTCGTGATTTTCCTGTTAGAATATACACTTAATTTAATGTTTGAAGTTCTTATCTTTAGCCACCTTAAGTGGAATATTGCTGCATTATCCACCAGGGAAAGTGCTCGTAGGAGAAGAAGAAGCCTTGGAGGATGACTCCGAATCGAAGTCAGACGTCAGTAGCTCCGCCTTTGCAGGTAGTTGTTGCCAGTGAGCTGCTGCTGTTGCTCTTGTTCACGTCCTATCTCTGTCCCCCTCCTCTGGCCCCACACCTCAGCCAGCAGACAACCTGGGGCTGGCAGTGGAGCCAGCCTGCTCACATACGAGTAAGACAGCCTTTTATCTGTGTTTCCCTTGGCGCAGGTTGTCGGAATCTTTTGGGTCGGGATGGTGGGTGGGGCTGTCTCCTGCACCAGGTGGGTGACAGTGAGGGGAGTGGCCTGGAGCACTGTCCTTTTATAGAGAGTCAGCTGATAAAGTTACCTGTGGACTTTATAAAAGATGAGCATTGGCTACAGATGCTAAGATCTGGGTTAGAGTAGTTTGTGTTGTATGATCCTGTCTAAGAGAACATGTGTGAATAATACCAGTGGTAATTATTCATCTTCTGTCTTGAAAATACAAATAGATTTTTTTTTTCTGAATTAAAAAGTTAAAAACATTAACAAGAGAAAAATACACCTCTCTGAGCACTTCAGAAGTGGTTGTGTCTCATTTGTCCTCCAGAGTGATCCCTGCCCACAGCTTCTGAGGGCTGTCATTCTGAAGTGGTTTTTATATATTTTTACTTTTTTGTGGGAAATTGAAAATGAAACCAGGAAAATGTGGTGTATTTGTCCTGTAGGAGAAGGGCTGGATTAGAAATCTCAAATACGCCAGGGATTTAGCTCAGTGGCTCTGCTGCCTGCCTTGCAAGCACAGGGACCTGAGTTCAATCCCCAGTTGCCCCCCCTCCAAAAATACCCAAAACAAAAAAGAAATCTCAAATAGGGCATGGATGAAGGCAAGTGCACCCCAAGGAGACTATGAATTTGCCCGTTTCTGACACTGCTTGCATAGTGCTCTGGGGTGTTTGTGCCCACCCAGTGCCCGCTGCCAGGCTGCTTCTGACTAACTTGGTGAGCCACACCTCAGGAGAACTTGAACTTAGGGCTTGGACTAAGCAGTGAAACCCCATTTGAAAATATTCACAGCATTTAAAAACTGTCTACAGGTTGCCCTTACCTTACTGCTGTAGGTACTGTGTCAGATTTGAAGTTAGGACATTTGATGACGCTGAACTTGGTTACATTGCATACTTTCCCTTGTGAATGTTTGCTTGGCCATCTGACTGCCGGGCTTTTCTTTGTCTCCAGCCTCTGTAAAGGGTGAAATCAGTGGAGAGCTGGCAGCCTCCTCGGGGGTCTCTACGCCAGGGCCTGTGGGTCACGATATCATCACTGAGCAGCCCCGTTCACAGCACACGCTGCAGGCAGACTCTGTGGATCTGTCCAGCTGTGACTTGACCAGCACTGCCACCGATGCAGATGAAGAGGATATCTTGAGCCACAGTTCCAGCCAAATCAGTGCTGTCCCCTCTGACCCTGCCTTGGACCTGAACGATGGGACTCAGGCCTCTTCACCCATCAGTGACAGCTCCCAGACCACCACTGAAGGGCCTGACTCGGCTGTGACCCCTTCTGACAGCTCTGAGATCGTAAGTGGGTGAGAGGGCCCCGGTGTTCTGCAGCAGGGCCTGCTGTCTTCCTGAGCTCATTCCCAAGGCCCAAACCTGAGTCCTCCAGATTATTTTTCTCTTCCTTTATGACCTTGCTAATAACATGCGAAGCCACCAGTTCAGATCAGTAGTGGAGAGCCTGGCCGCCTCTGACCTTGGCTGAAGGAAAAGCCTACTTAGTGTTTTTTGCTTGAACAGGGAGACCAAAAATGAGGTTAGCTGGTTTACATTCACTGAGCACATTGGACATTCTCTGAGGCTCTGTGAGGCCCTGGTTACTGGAAAATGTCTTTAAGAAGCCTTCATACAGATCTGTGGCCTTGATATTGTATATTGTTTTTTTAAACACCTTTAGACTTCCTAAAAGTACCTACAGTGTATCCTATTTGAAGCAGTATGGATTTCAGTTCCTCTGAGTGCATGGGAGATACCTCAAGAGTTGTCTAATCAGAAAGTTTGATACACATATATGCTGAGTTTTAGTTTCCATTTTTTTGTGTTTGTTAAAATGTATATAACATGAATTTGGCCATCTTAACCATTGTGTGGTACCAGGGATTGAATCTAGGGGCTTCTCCGTGCTAGGCAAATGCTCTATCAACAAGATATAACCCTAACCCTTTTTGAATTTATTTTACCATGGGGTCTCACTAAGTTGCTCGGGCTGGCCTTGAACTTGTGATCCTCCTACCTCAGCCTTCTAAGTAGCTGGGATTATAGGTATGCACCACTGCATCCAGCTTGTAACCATTTTTAAGTGTTCAGTTCAGTGGCGTTAAATAATGTCATGGAACTATCACCACCAAGTTCTAAGTCTTTTGCTCCTCTTAAACTGAAACTTGGTCCCACTAAACACTAACTTCCCATACCTTCCAGCCCCTAAAAACCACTGTTCTTTTCTGTTTTTAGGAGCTTGATGACCAGTGTCTTAATGTAAGTGGGATCATGTTGTTTGTTTCATTTAACATAGTGTCTTCTAGGCTTATTCATGTTTTAGCATGTAATAGGATTCCTATTCTGTACTTTTTTTAACAGGACCTTTAAACCCAAGGGCATGTGCACACTAGCCAACTACTGTACCACTGTGCTATATTCCTAGCCCAGTTTTTATTTTGAGACAGGGGCTTGCTAAGTTGCTCAAACTGGCCTTGAACTTGTGATCCTCCTGCATTAGCCTCCTAAGTACCTAGGATTACAATCATATGTCACCATGCTGTACTAGAAATTCTTGCCTTTTTAAGGCTGAATGGTATTCCGTTACGTGTGGACCACATTTATCTGTCAATGGACAGTTGGATTGATTCCATCCTGTAGTTTATAAACAATGCGGCTGTGAACATGTATATACAAATACTTTTGGAGATACCCAAATACTTTTTTTCATCAGTGTGTGATTCCAATGTAGAAGATTGATGTTTGTGTGGGGGAACAATGCATGTACTATAACTTTATCATTTTCAATCCTTTTACCCCCTTTTCTCTTTTCTTCTTGATCCCAGCCTCATCTTCAAGAGTTTCCCTCTTGTTACCTACCATTTCTCCTATACTTTATTTGTTCATTCATTTATAATTTAGGTTTTTTTATTTAAGAGAAAACATGTGGTAGTTCATTTGTGTCTGACTCATTTCATTTAGTATGATGTCTCATGTTTCTCTCTTTTCCTGCAAACAACATGGTTGTTGCATTCTTAATGGATAAATAGATTCCATTGTGTGTATACTCATGCTTTATTTTTCCCCTGCTCTTTTTCCTGATATCAGACCTGTTTCTTGGCTTTAATTTTTTTGGGTATATACCCCAAAATGGAATTGGTTTTACACCTCAATTTACATCTTAATTTTAGCTTTAAAAAGATTGTATGACATTCTGGGAGGATGAGGTGGGAAGATCACAAGTTTGAGCCGAGTTTAGGCAGCTTAGCAGTTTAGCAAGACCCTGTTTGAAAATGGGGGGGTGGGGGTAGGGGTGGCGGGTGGGCTGAGGTTGGGATGGAGCAGCTCAATGTGAAGGCCAAGCATTCAGTTCCCAGTACCAGCAAAAAAAAGAAAAAAGATTGCTTTGTTGAGGTAAACATTGAATGTATTTTCCTAAGGACATGGTGTGGGTTTGTTTCTTGACTTGCTCTTAAATTTTAAATTGTGCAAAGCATTTCTAAGATCTAGAGAGATGCTGGAATAAATACAAAATCCTGCTCTAGCCCCATGTCTCCTATCCCCTCCCTGCCCCTGTGCTGTCACAGCAGCTTGACAGGACATAGTGGATAGGGAGCCCTTGGCTCATGGGCACCCTCCCTTATCTTCTTGCCAGTAATTTGGGTCATTCTGGTCCATGAGGCTTTTCCATGTCCTTCATATAATCACCAATTATGTTCGCCTTACCGAGTGGCTCATATGCTATGAGATTCTTCTAAAAGTGGAGGATGAAGCATGGGCTTTATATGCAAACCTCTGCTTTCATGCAGCAGAGTGAAGGCTGTCAGGTCTTTCCCTAAGGGGCTCGAATATGTGCAGGGTGGCAGACACACTAGGCATCACATCAGGTGGACAGTTCATAGCAGACGGTAGCAGTGCCACTGAGCAGTCAGCAGAGCTGGGATGGGGATCCCTCAGCAGGCACACCAGTGGCAGGAGGGGTCTCTGCAGCCTGTTGGTTGTGTAGCCTGGAGCAGTGTCTTCTTCCTTCACCAAAGAAGAGATGTATAGGCATGAGTGGTCCTGTTCAGGATGTGATGCTGGTCAGTTATTACTGAGGCAAAATGCTCACTAAATTTAACCTGTTGACCAGCTAAGCTTTTGCGGGGTAAACTATCTGAAGGGAAGGGTAGGGGCAGAGGAAAATCCCATTGGTTGCTTTTGATCATGTAGCTTGATTTTTTTTTTAAATGAATTAATGAATTTTAAAATGATAATGGTAAGGCCGGGGGTTTGGCTCTTGCCTCTCAAGCACAAGGGCCTGAGTTCGATCCCCAGTACTCTCCCAAACAAACAAATAAATAAAAATAAAATGATAATGGTATATCAAGTTATTTCAATAATAATTTGCTAGTCCTTTGAGAGTCTATTGCTTAATTTTTCCAGGCTTATTACACAAAAGATTTCAAATGGATGTGAAACATTTTGGAGTGTGGAATTATGATTGTAGCTTATTCCAATTTACTATCAAATTTGTTTATGATGAAAATATTTTTTCCATTTTTATCTAAAAATAGAAGTTTCCGGATTGAAATTCCTTGGAATTTTTGGTGCTATCAGTGCTTTCATAGTGTAGTAGGGACATGTGATACGCTCTGGGTGGTCTCCACACGTGTTTGTATGTGTGTGTGGGCTTCTGTGTCTAATCTCTCTGCTGCTCTTGGCCCCCTTGGTTTCTAGGTTTTAGACAGTGCCAACAGCCAGTACTCAGGCACGCAGGCTGGCCCCCCACAGGATGAGGACGAGGCTGTGCCTGGCGGCCTTCCTGCTGGGGCCTCAGATGCCTTCAGAAGCTGTTCCCTGGGTAAGTTGAATCCAGGTGATCCACTTCCAGGGGTCTTGTTTTTGACCTTGGACAACTTAATTTTATCTTCTCTTCCAGGAACAAGTCTTTTGATATCTTTGTTTTCTGAGTCATAAATAACAGTTGAAAATGACCAGCTCAGTAATGATCTCCTTTTTCCTGATCTAAATCCTGTGCTTCTGTGTTGACTTGGTGTTTATTTGTATACATGTTTTCTTTGAAACTTGTTGCTTAATCTCATTTCTTTGCTTTTGAAGCCCTTCAACGAGCACATTTATTGGAGAGCATGGGTCACAGCAGGCAGCCTTCTGAGAGCAGTATAGATAAGTTTGTATCAAGAGACTCAGCTGCTGAACCGGTCGATCAGGAGAACAAGGTGAGTTTCTTAGGCACAGCACAGCTCTGCATTGCTGAGCTCATTTGAGTGTTTGAAATCACTTGGCTTCTGCCAACCTGGTTTATTGGTTTCCTGCCTTAGGCCCTGTTTAACAACTCTTGAAATGCTGAACACTCCTCAGGCCTTCCCTTTTCTGCTCTGCAGGGACTCAGATCCTTCAGATTGTCTGGGTTCTGCCTCCTTTGGGAGTCTGGGCCCCAGTCCTCCTCGGACGTATCTGCTCTGTGCTGAGCTGCCTTGCCTGATTTCTCCGGCCATCAGTGTTTTGCTTGTGTAGGCCTTGCAACATGCTTGTTGTTCCACTGAATGATTTTAAATCTATTTGGCTCACTGTTTGCAGGTGCACTATCTTTCTGCTTAGGTTTGAATTCCCCGAGGGCAAGAAATGTGTTTCATAGTTTAGTCCAGTGGTGGCAAACCTATGGCATGCATGCTTCATTGGGCTGTTTGTATCTTTGAAAGCTCTAAAAGGGTCTCCGTCCCATCAGTCAGCACTGAGAGTCCTCCCAGGCCCCCATTGAAGCAGGCCTGCTTCTAACCCCTAGGCTTCCAGGCTGCTTACTTTGCTGAGAGGTTACTGCTTGACCTATAGAAGATTGCAGCTGCTTTGCCTCCCTGGAAGCCTTTCTGAATGCCTGATCTCTGCTCTTCTGTTCCACACACCTTCCTTTCTTGTGAGCTGGTCCCTGTTGCAGCCCTGTATCTGTGTGGACACTGACTTGCCAGGCTCTGCTTGGTTGTGGGCTTCTGTGTATGGGCAAATGCAGGCATCGCTGTCTCTGCCCTTGGCACAGTTGCTGCTCTGGAACAATCTGTTGAATGAACTAGCATGAATGTGTGTCTGCTTCTGTGTTCTAGCCTTGCCGGATCAGAGGTGACATAGGACAGTCTACTGATAATGACTCTGCTCCTCTGGTCCATTGTGTCCGCCTTTTATCTGCTTCATTTTTGCTCAGTGGAGGAAAAAATGGTAAGCACGGAAGGGCAGGTACAGGGTTGAACTTAATGTTTCACATGTCACCTTCATGGCCTCTTGTCACCTTGTTGGGGTGGGCTTGGCTTTGTACTGATGGAGGTGGGCAGGTGGTCTTTTGTTTCTAGTATTGTTTGTGTGAAAAGGCTGAACAAGGCCTGGTGGTTTCTTTGCAGTGCTGGTTCCGGACAGAGATGTGAGGGTCAGTGTGAAGGCCCTGGCCCTTAGCTGTGTTGGGGCAGCTGTGGCCCTGCATCCAGAATCTTTCTTCAGCAAACTATACAAAGTACCTCTGGACATTGTGGAATACCCTGGTATGTTCAGAGTTCACATCTTTCTCTTGGATTTAATCATTATTTGTAAAAGGACTTCAACCTGTTTCTGTTTTAGAGCAGTATGTACTTGGAGTTAATTTGTGCATTTAGCTGTATGGTAGCTTTCCATAGACACATAAACAGTAGCATTCTTAGGTTTGTGGACTCCCTTTAGATGCTGTGTTTGTAGGTGAAATGCACATACTGAGGGTAGAAATCTGGAGCTGTTCCCATACATGGTGGATTCATCCCTACTTCACAACCACATCATCAAAGATGCTGAGTCCATGCGTAGAGATAGGAGGGGACTGCTTGAGACTGGCTAGGTAGCAGCAGCCCTGCCTCTGTCACTTACAGTCTTGCTGGCATGGAAATTATTTTCTATCTCCTGTTTTTCTATCTGTGGGTAAGAGGGTACATTTTGGTTTTGAGTTTACATTAGGTAAATGAGTAGTATTTTCAGGTTTTTCTAATCTTTTTTAAAAAATGAAGTCCTACAATTTTGATTATTGTCCAACAGTCTGGAATTATAATCAAGAAAATCTGGATTAAGGTGGTGTCAGCAATATGATGAATTTAGAAATACTGAACTCCATAGCATTTTAGTACTTGAGTCATTATAGTCAAATCATTTCAGATTTGGAAAGCCTCCCGTCCTCGTTCTGAGAACTAGGCTTTTACTTTGAGGTAGGAAGTTGACAGTAGAGAATTGTACACTGGCTGGCCAATTCCTCTTCACAGAAGAGCAGTATGTCTCTGATGTCTTGAACTACATCGATCATGGAGACCCGCAGGTCCGAGGAGCCACTGCCATTCTCTGTGGAACCCTCATCTCCTCTGTCCTCAGTAGGTCCCGCTTCCACGTGGGGGACTGGCTGGGCACCATTAAGACACTGACAGGTAACGGCCAGTTTTCACTCTCAGCCTTTCCAGATACCATCCCCAACTTGAGCGTACGTGAAGATGTTTATTCCCTGTTCTTTGGTTTAGGAAATACATTTTCTCTAGTGGACTGCATTCCTTTACTGCGGAGAACATTGAAGGATGAGTCTTCTGTGACTTGCAGGTTGGCTTGTACAGCTGTGAGGGTGAGCACAAACTTCTGTCTGAACCACTTTTGTGATGAGTTGGACATTTTACCATGTGACAGTTATAGTTGGAGCTTAATAAGAAATAGTTCTGGGCTGGGGATGTAGCTCGGTGGTGCTGTCGCCTGCCTTGCAAGCTCAGGGTCCTGAGTTCGATCCCCAGTATTAAAAAAAAAAAAAAAAGTTCCACCCATTCTAAAGCTGTAAACAATAATTAACATCTCTGTGTATTCATCACTCAGCATTAGGTAAAAACCCCTGAACTTTTAAGCTTTAATTCTCAAAATACTTACCTGAAATAGACCTTCTTTTAAAGGGTATATTCATAGGCATGGTGGTATATGTTTGGAACCCAATGCTGGGGAGCTGAAGCAGGAGGATTATAAGTTTGAGCCCACCTTTGACTTAGCAAGACCCTGTCTCACAAACTAAAAAAGAAAAAAATAATTTTAAAGGACTAGGGATGTAGTTCAGTGTGAAAGCCCTGATTTAGATCCCAGTACTGCAAAAAAGCAAAATAATATAAAAATAAAATGATATTTTAAAAATATACCTTGCTATATTACTAAATGTAATATGTGCGTTTTTTGTTTGTTTGTTTGTTTGTTTGTTTGTTTTTGAATCCTGTATTTGAGGCCGGGGATTTAACTCAGTGGTGCCCCGCCTGTCTTGCCAAGTACAAGGTCCCGAGTTCCATCCCCGTACCTCCCACAAAAAAATCCTGTATTTGGTCCCTAGAGTTTAAGAGTTAAAGTGAGCCATAAGAATTACTCTGTTTTTTTTGGTACTGGCAATTGAACTCAGGATCTTGCGCTTATGAGGCAGGCATGGTGCCACTGAGCTAAACCTCTGGCCCTCTTACTCTGTTTTTTATATCACATGGGAGAGCTTCAGTTCTTTATGTGACAGCACATGGAACCTTTGTTTATCAGCAGACTCATAAGTCACAATTGATCAGCCCAAAAAAAATTAGCCAATAAAAATCAGAACTAAACACCTGTAATTCAAATTTATGGAGTATCTCCCCTTTAAGAATTTCACGGCCTGATAGTAATTTTTCTCTAGTTGCAGTTTTATGCCAAGTCCAGTGTACGTGGTCTTGAGTGGAGGGCGTGTGTCAGTGGCATAGTCACACTGCTGGCTGTATCCCTGTTTGTCAGCATGTATGTGGCAGTGCCTCATCTATTCAGAGGCTGCAGGGGACACAGAAGCAGAGGGCCCCTCTGTTCCCCGTGCAGCAACGGGCCAGAATAGGCACAGGGTGTTCCCTGCTCTGGGCCCCTTGCCCTTACCCTGGTACTGAGGCTTATTTTAAATGGTGCTAGGGATGTATTGCAACCAATTACATGTCCCAAAATTGATTTTTTTAATCACACATTGATTGTTGTTTAGGATGTGAAGCCATGACACAAATAGAAACAAGAGGGTGAAATAAACAACTTTTATGTGAAAGGGACACATTTACTCGTAAACTTGAATTTTGTGAGATAGAGTGAATGAGTATCTCTGAGAGCCTGCAGCATCTTGTTGCAGTGTAAAAACCATAGAGCACATGTTTGTGAAAGGGCACCGGCCTCACACATTCCGGTGCTGCTGAGCAACTAACATGCTTTTGCCTATACCCACTCTCAGCACTGTGTCATGAGTCTCTGCAGCAGCAGCTACAGTGATTTGGGTCTGCAGCTGCTGGTGGACCTGCTGGCCCTGAGGGATAGCTCCTACTGGCTAGTGAGGACGGAGCTCCTGGAGACCCTGGCAGAAATGGACTTCAGGTGAGTGTGACAAATTCATCAGGCCTGATGAGCTAGATCTCGGATGTCCCAGTCGGGAATCCACAGCCCCAGGTCACTTGACACAGTGATGCTGGAAGAGAGTCCTGCCCTTCAGACACCAGTGGCTTAGAGCACATGATTGCACCTTCTTAGTGGTTCTTTTTGTTGTTGTTTCTTTGGGGTTTTTTGTTTTGTTTGTTTTTCAGTACCCGTAATCAAACTCAGGACTTTTTACTTGTAAGGCAGGCATGGTGCCACTGAGCTACATTCCCCCACCCTTCTCTGGATTTTTATTTTTGACAGACCTTTGGCCTTACTGGAAAATTTACATAGAGGTACAGATACAGATTTTTGTCATAGTCTTAGTTAAGTGTCTGGATGGAGGTTTTTTTTTTTTTTTACTTTTGTCTTAAAACTTTAGAAGAAAAAAAATTTTTTTGTTTTTACATCTTTCTCTGTGTAGGTGTGTAACCCAGGGCCTTATACATGCTAGGCAAATGCTTTACCACTGAGCTGTATTCACAGCTCCTATCTTACCCTTTTGTAAAAAATACAGCTTTTATCAGTTCTACTTGTTTTTCTATTTTGGGGGATGTTTTTCAGGCAGGGTCTCATTATATAGTTCAGCTGGCCTTGAATTAACTGTAGCACAGGCTGGTCTTGAACTTCCACAGTCCTCCTGCCTCAGCCTCTGAAGTGCTGGATTTACAGGTGTTCACCAGCATGCCTGGCCTGTTCTACTCCTTTCGGAAAGAATGTATGGGGGACTGGGGATTTAGCTCAGTGGTTCTACTGCCTGCCTCACAAGGACCCGAGCTCAATCCCCGGTACCAAAAAAAAAAAAAGAATGTATGGAGTCACTATTATTTTGAATTTCGAGGGGAGATGGCTGGCTTGTATTTTTTTGCCATTAAATAACTTTTGATATGTTTCATCTTTTGGTTTCTAATGGCAAGTTTTGGTTGGAGATGTTTCCTTGCAAAACTTTCTTGTTGAATGGAAATTGATCTTCATTATTCCTTTTGTTTTTGTTTTCTTTTTTTATGTGTGTTTGTTTTTTTAAGCCACCAAAGGCCTTGTGGGTTATTCCTTGGGACATCTCCCAGGCAGGGATGTTCTCGCCTCCACCCTGCAGTTAGGGCCACTGTGTGAGGGGCGTGCCTGTTAGTGGGTGAGGGCTCTGTGACAAGCTTCCCGGCCTCCCGGCCAAAGGCATTGGGGCGGCTCTGTGGGCACTCAGGGCACTGCTGGGTAGCAGCTACATGTATTTGGAAGAAAAACCACATCCTCAGTCCGTTTCACTGATTTTGGAATTGGGTGAGGGATGTGGACCGTGTTTAAGCCTGCTGGTCTTTCTGTCCTTTCATGAAGTGCCGCCTCAGCACCGCTTTGTGTCCCAGCTGCCTGCGCACCACAGCTTGGCTCTGAATGTTTGCTGAGTGACTGAGTGACTTCACTGTTGACTGTTCTTTTGTCAGGCTGGTGAGCTTTTTGGAGGCCAAAGCAGAGGGCTTACACAGAGGTGCTCATCATTATACAGGAGTAAGTAGTTCCTCTGGGGAGAGTGTGCCCTGCCTTCCCAGAGCTGCATGCAGTAGGGCTTCCCAGGGTGTGAGATTCCTCTGAATGTCGTGTTGGTAGGCGTTTCGTGCCTTAGTTTATGAATGTTGTGACTGTATGGTATGAATGTAAGATTAATGATGTTGATCTTTCCCAAATGTTTTACCTGTAATCAAGTGCAGAGATTGCTTATTTCTGTTATCTTTCTCTCTAAAGCTTTTAAAACTGCAAGAGCGGGTACTCAGTAATGTTGTCATCTCTTTGCTTGGGGATGAAGACCCCAGGGTGCGACACGTTGCCGCGGCGTCATTAGTGAGGTATTACTCAAGCTTCCTCTCCACACTTGCTCTTGGCTGAAGTGTGAGCAGTGTGAGGGTGGGGAGAGAGAGCAGGAGGAACCCAGAGGTGGCAGGAAGCATTCCCGGGTTTGAGTTCATTCTCAGCCATTCTACTCTTAACAGTCTCAAAAAAGTTATTCACTAAACTAACAGTTCAGAAACAAACACGAACCTTCTGTTGTAAAAGTGATGCACTTGGATTGTCAGCATTTTGGAATGTAGAGAATGGCACCAAAAAGGAACCCCTTCAGTCCTCCACCGGGGATGCCCCTGCGACAGGGCTTCAAGCGTGGCTGCCCTGGGGAAGGGGGAGCGTGGGCGAGGGTCTCGTGCTCCCAGTAAACCAGCCTCTCTCACGGCAGGCTTGTCCCAAAGCTGTTTTATAAATGTGACCAAGGACAGGCTGATCCAGTGGTGGCTGTGGCAAGAGACCAAAGCAGTGTTCACTTGAAGCTCCTCATGCACGAAACACAGCCTCCCTCGCACTTCTCCGTCAGCACCATCACGAGGTACGTGCCATGCCTTTACGCCTCCTGTGTCTTCCCAGGCTCTCCCTTCTACCACATAGGCTTTCCTCAGCGTGTTTGAGGGCATCCCATTCCCTTGCTGGGATATTCGTCCTGTCGTCTGTGTGCTTACCATGGCCTCAGGTGCACCGCGGTGACTGCCTGTCATAACACTCCTCAGACTGCCAGCCGGGTTTTGGTGTGTGGCTTTACTGTGCCTTCTGTAAACTTGGCCACTGAACATTGTCCCATAATTTGTTTCCCTTGCGAGGAGGATGTGCTTTGTCACCTGCTAATCATTACTAGCCGGGCTAGTGCTAGTGCATGGTGAGAGCGTGGGGTGTGACAGCTCTTGCAGGAGCACAACAGAAATGTGTCTGTGAAGGTGCAGGTTGCTTCAGAAAATGAGTTTGCAGAGAAGGCCACAGAAGTGACAATGAGGCTGTCAGGCTTTCAACTCTATCACTTAAATGTTATTTCAGAAACAAGTTCTGATATACCCTCTGTTGTGCTAAATGGCAGTTTTTTAAAGATCTTGACTAAATAACTTTAAAGCTTTAATGAACAGTGGATAATTTTTTCCTGAATTTAGAACTCAGCTTTTTCAAATTTTGCAGTTAGTATTCCTAAATAAATTCCATCTTTTCTCATATAAGGACCAGTTTTAAAAGTCACACCTGGGGGTCAGGGTTTTAGCTCAGTGGCACCGCACCTGCCTGCCAGGCACAAGGTCCTGAGTTCAATGCCTAGTACCAAAAGAAAAAAAAGTCACACATGGGACTAATTTCTAGGCTTTCTTAGTATTTTTCCCTCAGAGTCTTTCCTTTGTTTAATCTCTGAACCACTATTTCCTTTGAAAAGATTCAGCATAAGTATTCCTTTAAGATAAGAAACAAGTGTACAAGTGTCTTGGATTCGGGAATTTGATAAATGTAGAGTAAATTGCTGTTTCTAATGCCATTTCAGAGGATGACTAGTTGCCATTATAGATGAGTCTACTATTGTATTACAATTGCTTGCTAACTGCTACTTAGAAAATTCTCCTAGTTCTGCGCTTGTCTGACCTCTTGTTACCTAACTATGATTTTTTTTTTGTTCCCTTCATGGTGGACACAATTACCAGTTGTGCCGCTATATTTCCCACTTTACTGTCAGCTCTGATAGAATCTATGGGGAGAGGAGAAATCAGATTTCCCAGATGTTTGAGAGTTCTGTTGTTGTCTCAGTGAACAAGACCTGTACAATTTGTAGGAGTAGAAGTAAAAAGGATTAGAAGCATGGGACACAAATGGCCCACTGGAAGAGCCTGTTGGGGACTTGGTCACGGAGAAAGGGATTTCTTTTGGTTGGGAGTCTGGGTGGCTTCAGGTGCTTCTGGCATGGAGGACCATGGGGTGGCAGGCAGGCTGTGAGGCTCACATAGCAAGTGCTGCAGGGAGCGGGTGCTTGGGAGGAAGGAGGGGGAATTCAGCCTTTACCCCCAAATAAGCACCAGATTTAATCTCTAGTGTCTAAAGTAAAAGGCAAGAGACTGCTTTACTTTTATATAGAACTTTATAGCACCATCTGATTTTGAAAAATGTCGTATCTAAAAGAGTTTAAGTGTCCCTGTTTTCCTTGTAGGATCTATAGAGGCTATAGTTTACTCCCAAGCATAGCAGATGTCACCATGGAAAATAACCTCTCGAGAGTTGTTGCTGCTGTTTCTCACGAGCTGATCACGGCCACCACGCGTGCACTCACGGTAAGTCCTTCAGGCCAGGAGCCCGTGTGGTTGGGTGGTGTGAGGTCATGTGGGGGAGACACTGTGTCCTAGTTCTACTTGGGGTGCTTGCTCCGGAACTGTGTCTTTGTCCGCAGAATCTTGGCTTATTCCAAGGAATAGTAAACTATTTTCTGACTATCAAAGTGATGCATACTCACTGTTAGAGTATTCAGCCTTTTTGGTCTGGGAGTGAATTTTTCTTCCTTTCTTCTGTAGTTTGGATGCTGCGAAGCTTTGTGTCTTCTTTCAGCCACCTTTCCAGTTTGTGTGTGGAGCTTAGGTTGGCATTGTGGGTATGTATCCTCATTGTATGCCTGTCTGCAGGCATGCGTAATACAAACGTGGGCACTGGGATCCCTTTATGCTGTTTCTGCCTTTTATCAATTTGGATTTTGGAAATAGTATCTGATGCCTACTTGTGTCCTGCCCGCTTAGAGGTGAAAACTAGAAAGAAACTTTTGGAAATGCTAATGAATGCCACAAGCTCTTAAGTATTTTTGGGGATCTATAGGTCGACTTAAGAGTTTTCGAAAGCTGGCAGAAACTGTTCTCATTGGCTTCTTTCTAGAATTACTATGTACTGAAAATCAGGTGTGACCTAGCATATAGAATTGTGAGGAACTGTAGGCCTAGACTTTAGGATCTATTTTATTCCATTCTCCAACTTCACTTACAAATAGTCTTCCTCTCCTAGATGGCCTATGAGCCACTGGGGCATAATTTAACTCTTCTGCAGCCCTGAGAAGCAATCCTTCCTGTCTTCAGCGAAGATTGAGAAATTTCAGCTGACTCACTTCCCATGTGGGTGTAGATCTGAGGAGTCTTGTGTGTGTCAGTGTGTGGCCAGCTAATTGGCCTGAGTAGGCTTCGTGCTTAGCCTAGAATGGTTGCTGATACAATCTAGCATAGGTCCAGCACCAGACTTGACTTCTGAACAACGTTTGGCAGTAGAGTAAAATTTGCCAAATCACAATGCAAAGAAAGTTAAGAATTTGCCGCAATAAATACGTAATTCAGAACATTTTATCAGCTCTACCACCTGTTTTATTTCCCAAGTGTATTTTTATAGAGCTGTGTACTACTTGGTTACAAATAGGAGAATGAATTTCTGAGCTGGTAGAACGTGTCTCTGACGTGCCTTCCTTCTGTAGCTCTGAGAAAGGCAGGACTGTTCCCTGGACCCTTCCCTGATGTGACCTTCAGTTGTCTACTTCCAGAGCACCCCCGCTGAGCACCTCTGATGAGTCCAGGAAGTGTTGCACCGTTGGAATGGCCACCGTGATTCTTACCCTGCTCTCCTCGGCTTGGTTCCCGATGGACATCTCTGCCCATCAGGATGCCTTGATCTTGGCAGGAAACTTGCTTGCAGGTACTGGTGCTGAGATGAAGTAGGGACCCCAGGACTGGAGCTGTGATTCCCTCATGAGGGTGACGGTGGGACGCACATGAAGGAGATAACATTTTGAGTTGTTGCCAGGGGTCACTGGTTCCTCTGGCGGTAGCTGGGTCCTGGGGCCCGTTTCAGTGGGAGCCCTATCTGACAGGCTGTGTCGCAGGCCGGGGCCAGTGGGAGGTGTGCCTCGTAGGTTCCATTCTCACTCTGCTTACAGATTGGCAAGGGATGCTGGCAGCACAGGGCACTTGTAACCCACTGTAAATTTGTGGGCATAGTTAGATACCAGCAGGACAGTGCCCGCCAGGTGGTTGCAGCGTGTGTGAAGGCATAGGGATGTGAGAAGCTGTGTGCCACTGGGGGCATGGGAGCCATTGTGAATGTAACCTAAGGTTGGGGATGACAGTGGAAAATGTGGCCAGCAAGGCGAGTCGAGACCTTTGAAATTGGATGGGGGTGGATTAGGGAACCAGGCTGTGTTGGCCAATTTCATGAGGAACTGACAGGTTTGTTTGAGGGGCACCCAGCTGCTGATGAGGGCTAGAGTTCATTATGGAAGTTCCGGCTCCAAGTGCAGCTTTTGGGTTGGAGGGAAGTGGCCAAGAGATTGGAGGAGATGGAATCGCCAGACCTGATGTTCACCTGAGCCTCGGTTTGGAGTAGCAGACACATCCTGGTCTAGCATATGGTGGTAACAATCACGGCAATTAGGCATGCAGATTGGAGAGGTCATTCCATGCTGAATTTGAGGTGTCCATTGAGCTTCAAGTCCCAGAGTCCCTCAGACTCTCAGCATAGAGGGGTCTGTATCACTTATGTCCCCTCAGCAGTTTCCATTTCCCACCTGTGGAGGCTGGGTAATGTGTCTACCTGTGTCACAGCTAGTGCCCCCAAGTCTCTGAGGAGTTCATGGGCCTCTGAAGAAGAAGCCAACCCCACTGCCACCAGACAGGAGGAGGTGTGGCCTGCCTTGGGGGACCGGACCCTGGTACCCATGGTGGAGCAGCTCTTCTCCCACCTGCTGAAGGTGATCAACATCTGTGCCCATGTCCTGGACGACGTGGCTCCTGGGCCAGCAATCAAGGTAACAGCTTCTTCAGGGCCCTGCTGTAGGCCAGGGTGAGGACTGGGGCTTTTGGAACAGCTCGTTTAGTGGGCTATCCCTTCCTCTTTTCACTATCCTGTGCATGAGCATGGAACATTCAGCATGGAGATGTGAGGCCTGTTCCTGCTGGGGATGTGATTTCAGCAGTTACTGAGTTACTGCTGCTCCTGAGGGCATGAAGCCTTGCTCTGTGATAGGTGCTTACTTGCATAGTGCATTTAAGGTACATCAGTCCACTTCCTTTCCTGTGCCTCTCGTTTTTAAACTGCTCCCTTATAACTTCCTTTACTACTTCAGCTGCTGTCTCTGGTCCTTCTAGCCCAGCACCTAGCACTTTGTACTCTCTGGTGGGACCCCCTCTTGCTGGAGCCTCTTTGATCCCCTTACACTGGGTCCTGTCCTGTGTCACCCATCCATTCCTTAACCCCTGCCTGTCTGATTTCTGAACCGCCCTCCAAAGGACTCTTTCCTCCTGGGTTATGTCTTTAAATTTCCATCCCATTTCCTTTCCCTTCTGTTATTCAGCTTTTCATTGCTGTGACAAAATATCTGAGAGAAATAAAAGGAGGAAAGGGTGACTTTGGCCTGTGTTCCCAGAGGCTTCAGCCCATGGGCCTTTGGCCCTGTTGCTGTTGGACTTGTGGTGAGGCAGGCAGAGCATCATGGCAGAAGCACAGCCTGGAGGAAACTACTCACCTGTGGGGGCCAGGAAGCAGAAAGCTGCATGGGCTGGGGCAGCAGCATCCCCTTCAAGCCATGCCCCTAGTGGCCTGCCTCCTTCAGTTAGGCCCACTTCATAATGTGTACACACACAAACATGAGCTAGCACCACTATCTAGGGCCCGAGATTTCAATGCGTGGGCTTTTGGGAAGCATTCCCGGTCCAAACTGTAACACCTTCCTACACCCTTTGATGTTCCCTCTCTGTGCCAGTCTCATCTTCCTGGTCTGAGCCATCTCCAGTTTGCCTCCCCTATGCCTAGTGTTTCCTCTGATTCCCTGCTGCTGTTCCTCAGCAATGTCCTGGTAAACCTTTCATGCCACCCCTTAGAGCCTCTGGCATCTGGCCTTTGCTGCCTCTGTTCTGAGGGCCATCGCCAACTAGCAGGAACCCCATGCCATTGTGGATTTGTCCCATGTCCACCTTGGCCAGGATAGTAGCCAAATGTGACTCCTGAGCTCTTGAAGTGTGGCTGAGGATCTTAGGAACTTGTTTAGTTTTCAGCAACTACAAATGTAGACAGTTTTGTGGAGCAGTGGCTCAAGGACTGAACAAGGCAGCATGGCGCAAGGGCTGCCTATTCAGTGTGTGAGCACCAGGAAACCTCCACCCCATGACCCAGTCATCTCCAGCTGCCGTCACCTTGCAGTTGTGGCTTCCACTGCTGAGGTCCAGACACTGAGCTGGCACTTCTCGGAGGTCAGGGAGGGCATGAGCAGCAGAGCTGGGACTTGGAGTCCCACTGTCATCTCTTCTTCACTCTGTCCCATGCCTGCTGCCTCTGTATGGGAGCCTGGATGTTCTGTATTCTCTCCTGAGGACTGGAATGTGTGGGTTCTGTGAACACATGGGGTTAGTTGTCTGTGACCATGGTGAGCCACTTCATCTCCAAGCCTGTTTCCTCACTTGGAAAGTTTGTAACTGTTCATGCCTTGGCCCACGTAGAATTCCTGATTCTCTGTTATTGGAGGGACTGGGGTTCCAGTGGCTTTGGCCCCCCCAGACTCCCTGAGAGCCCTTTGTCTCCAGCCCATTCCTGAGCACCTGTGAGGAAGTTCTGGGCCATTTCTACTATTTAGAATTATTGTGGGAGTGAATGTCAATGACCTACTTTCAGTGTTTGCCTCTGTAAACAGGGGTTCCAAGACCAAAATGAATTGCCTGAGTTAGTGCCTCTCAATGTATGGTAAAGTTGCATATCAGGTTTTTAGTTTTTGGTTTCTCTGTGGGTTGTACTTATGTCATGTTTTGGTTTTCTACTTTAGGCAGCCTTGCCTTCTCTGACAAATCCTCCTTCCCTGAGTCCCATCCGCCGCAAGGGCAAGGAGAAGGAACCAGGAGAGCAAGCCTCTGCGCCATTGAGCCCCAAGAAGGGCAGTGAGGCGAGTGCAGGTAGGCAGTTGTGTTGGGATGGGAGGACAGGGTGCCATCTGTCCTGTGTGTGGGTAGTACTGAGCTTCTGCCCTTGTTGCAGTTGGTGGGACAGAGTGGAAATCCTGTGCATAGCACTTGAGTCAGAGTAAGTTACCCTGGGTATGCTCTCAGGTCCCAGGCTGATTAATGGGCATATTGGCAAGGACTCTGCTCGCCTTCTTTCTGATCCTTCCAGAAGCACTGCTGCAGCAGACTCCTGATTTTCAGGAAGGAGTGGATGAATGTGGGGTGAAAGCGCTGATCCCAAGGATTCTTAAGTAGGACATGGTAACTTTACATTTGGAAGAGCTCAAAGTTGACAGTGGGGGATAGAGTCATCTCTGTTGGAGGGGCCTAGAAAGTCACAGATGTGTGGAGCAGCTTCTTCACCTGGGGAAACAACGGAACACAGGGCCTAGAATATCAGCATGGCTGCACACATCAGTCCTGACTGTCTGGCTGCTCTTTGTAGGGATGCTGGGAGATGAGGGGTGAAGCAGGAGGCACCTGCTGCTCTGTCCTGGACCCCTGGCTGGATGGCTCTCCTGTAGCCTTGTCTCCTGACCTCATGGTCACCTGTGTACAGTGTAGAGGGGCGGGTGGACAAGAATGCTTAAAGCAAGGCCTCTGAAAACACTCAAGTCCCCAGTGTGTTGTTATTAACTCCAGTCCCTGTGTTGTACAGTAGGACACGAACTCATTCCTCCATCTGTAAATGAAGCTTTGTGTCCTTTGACCAATATATTAAGGCTTTTCGAAAGGTGCTATTTTCTAAGGATCTAGAGTACAGCAGAAAGATTTACCTGTTCAAAAGGTATATTCTTCTTTTTTTTTTTTTTTGGTTCCAGGGATCAAACTCAGGTCCATGTGCTTGCAAGGTCCCAAGTCCAATCTCTAATACCAAAAAAAAAAGTACGCTTTACAAATGTATCATTATGCAGCTAATCATCTTTTGATGAGTTAAAGAAACCAAGCACTCCAAGTCCGAAGTCCTTAAAACTGGAGTAGACTAATTATATACATGGTGCTAAGCACTTTTGTGTTTAGTGTCAGTCTAATATTTTTTTCCATTAAGTTTATTGGTACATTTTAGGTATATAATACATTTACATTCATCACTGAAACTTGTACCCTTACATGATGTGTCTTGGTTCTTATTTTTTCCCCATTCCCCGTGTATCAGTCTAATATATGTGCCCTTTTCCATGATAGGCTGTGGCTGAGTTGCTGGGTGTCAGCCGCGCGTTCCTCAGAGAGGGTCTGGGTTCCATCCCACACCTCACAGAATGGCTGCGCTGCCAGGATGATAGAGCTGTATCCCATGGCTCTGCTGCTTTTTACTGTTTGATGTTCATTTGTAGGGCTTAGGTTCTGCCTGTGTTTCTCATTATTTCTAATCAGTCAAAAAGTGAGGAAGGATTTGAATTTGTTTGTCCCAGGATACTTTTAGTGTGTGTGTGTGTGTGTGTGTGTGTGTGTGTGTGTGTGTGTGTGTTGGTACTGGGGATCAAACTTGGGACCTTGTGCTTGCAAGGCAGGCAGCGGCACCACTGAGCTAAATCCCTTGCCCAGGGTGCTTTTAAAAGTTATTGCCAGTTTATCTCTTTTAAACTTGACAAGTTTTTCTGTGGATCTAAAAGTTCATTTTTTATATATTTTTAAAGTCTCCCGACAATCTGATACCTCAGGGCCAGTTATAGCCAGTAAATCCTCATCACTGGGGAGTTTCTATCATCTTCCTTCATACCTCAAGTTGCATGACGTCCTGAAGGCTACTCACGCCAACTACAAGGTACTGGCCTCTGCTGCTTTCTAAATATATGTGCAAATATACATGGGTCTTATGGACTGCTGGTGCTTTCCTCATGATTTGAAGGGTGGTATGCATGTGTACACATCATACATGTTGATAAGTTAGGCCCCATCCCTTCCCCTTTGCTGCACTGGGGATTGAACTCGGGGCCTCCTATGTGCTGATCCCTCTGTCACTGAGCAACTGAGCTGTGTTTCCAGCCCTGCTTATTTTTATTTTGAGATAGGATCTCACTAAGTTGCCAAGGCTGACTTCAAACTTGTGATCCTTGTGCCTCAGCCTCCCATATAGCTGGGATAACAGGTCTGTGCCACCACCCCTGGCTAAATTAGCCTTTTGAGGTATGAATTACAATTAGTATGTTCAAGTTTGTCTTTCAGCTTGCTTTATGGTAGCTGTACAAATCTGAAACGGTACTGAGAGGAAATCTCTGTGGTTTGTGGTGTCATGTCTAGGCTTCCCTAGACCATGCTGTTTTCTGGAGTCGCCCGAGGGGGCTCTGGGGCTCAGCATTTGGCTGTCCTCACAGCTGCGGCTCATCATGGTGCCACCCGGAGTACTCACAGCTGGGTCACAGGGAGGTGGCCTGGTGGGCTTAGAGGGTGCACATGGAAATGCACCCTGGTGCCGGTCCGTCTGACACAGCCCATATTGCAGCCCCTCAGGAGAAGAGTGCACTCAGCCACAGAGGACCTGTGTCAGATGTCAGGTCGCGAGCCGCCGTGCCCAGGGCAGCTCCTGTCAGTGCAGGTTCCTGTGCCAGCGAGGGCTCCTGTGCCAGCGCAGCCTGTGGGACTTTAGAGGGGCTGCAGCTGCTTGAGCCATTTGTTTTGGTTGTAGATAGATTTCAGTTCCTTTATTCATCATTTTCTATCCAACTGCAGTTTGTTAGAAACAAAGTATGGGTCCACATTTTTTCCAAATGCCTAATAGTGGTCCCCAACATTGTTTGCTGAACAATCCATGTTTCTGCAGTGATTATTTTAAAATTCTACTTTTATTGAGCGTTAGCTCCGTTTTATAGCTCCATTTATTATTTTGTTCCATTAGTCTGTTCATCTGTTAGAAGCACACTGCTTAATCATAGCTTCACAGTGTATTTTTGAGATCAGTATCCCCGCTTTATAAAAATTTTCTCAATACTCGTATGTTTTGCACATGAACACTGCAATAGGCTAGGGCAGTTCCAGAAAATCTGGAGAGAATTTTCTAGTCAGATCACGTTTAACTTGCCGGTTGACGTAGGGAGTGGCATTGAAGATGTTAGGTTGCCCTGTTTACTTTATTTATTTATTTTTTCTCATTGAGTTTACTGGTACATTTTAGGTATACAGTACAGTTACATTCCTCAAAGGTTGCCCTGTTTAAAACATCCTTCATTACCTCCAAAGCACATGGAATTTATTTTGTGTAGTTCTGACACATTTCTTGATAAATGTGTCCACAGGTATTCCTCTTCTTTTATACTAATAGATAACATCTCATTTTAGAAGGGAGAATCATTTATAAACTTTTATGTGGCTTCTTTCCTGAAGGATGTTGATAATTTTGGAGGCTAAAAACTTCACCCACACTTTACAAAGGATTAAGACAGAGCTGTTTTGAGCGTGTTCCTCTTGCCACCGCAAAGTAGAGGTGGGCACACTACAGCACCATGCGGAGAGGGCTTCTCTGCTCATACTGCCTTTAACTCGGGGCCCGTCCCTGTGCTCCAGCCTTGCTCCCTTCCATCTTTTCCCTTCCCGAGATCGAGTCATTACCTTACCACATACTGGTGGCGAGGTTTGTTTGACTATGATGTAGGGTAGGAATTGTTTCTTTCCGTGGTGTCTGCATGACTTGGAAGATAGCCCTTTTTGTATTTCCTTTCCTTGGTATTTTCACAGTGCCCAGCACAAGCATGTGGCCAGAGTCACCGCAAGTGGGGAGCACTTGAGGGTGTGTGGGCTGTGTGGTGGAAGCACCTCGCCGCAGCGCACGGCATTTGTGTCTTTGTTGTAGATAACCAGACCACGGCGGTGCCAGTAACCGTGTGCTCTCTCCTTCCACCTTGCCAAGGTCACCTTGGATCTTCAGAACAGCACTGAAAAGTTTGGGGGGTTCCTGCGCTCTGCTTTGGATGTTCTCTCCCAGATTCTAGAGCTGGCAACGCTGCAGGACATTGGGAAGGTTTGTGTCTCACCTCTTCCCCGAGCTGTGGCCAGGACACCTGATGTGTGCCCTGGGGGCACGTGGGGATGGGACCTGATATCCAGGTGCATCCAGGAAGCAGCAGGAGCTCAGGAAGACCAGGCTCTGAGCCCACATGCTTGTGCCAGGCACCTGAGTCCCAGTCACATCCTGGCCCTGGAATGTGTGTAGGGCTCAGTTCTGTTTGTGTCCTGCTTTCAGTGTTAGTTTGTTGTCTCATATCAGCTTAGAACCAGGTTATTTTCGAAAATTGGGTTTAAAAATCTACATATAGAACCCTTTATTTTCTCATTAGAGTTTCCCTGGTCGAAAAGGGTAAAACACAAGTCCGTGAGGTGTGAGACTGGCCGTTTCCCTGCCTCAGGAAGCAGCAGAGACAGGCGCTCCAAAGTGTAGTAGCTTTTCTGTCCCACTCTCGAGTCTGTAGGAAACAGTGAAAAGTGCTGTGTGGTAAACACCCAAGACTGCATCCCACTCAGATGCTGCACTTGCTAAGCTTCTCCATCTGCTTTGTTGTATATACCGCCCCCAGCACGTATCATTATAGTACATGCCAGAGGGAGTCATGGCACACGTGTGTCTTCCTGAAGGGCAGTGCCCTTGACTCTGGCTGTCTGTCAGGGTGGTTCCAGGAGGCTCCCAAGCCCTCAATTAGCAGAACCCACTGGGGCTCATGTCCCTCCAGTAAATTGGTGATATATTCAAACATAATCCGCATGTCTTCCCATGCCCTCTTGAGGTGACTCATGATGCCTAATACAATGTAGATACGGGTCAGAGTCATTATGCTGTGTTGTTTAGGGAATAGTGACAAGCAGAAAAGAACTGTGTGTGTTCTATACAGATGCACTAAATCTTTTTCTTACCTGATCTGTGTATGGGTTTCCCTAGCTTTAAGTCACCATACCTTTGTTTCTTCTGTGATGTCCCTGTGCTTTCCCTGTGTACTAGCTGATCCCTGCATTGGTCATTTTTAGAGGCTAGGTAGTATTCTGTGTCGACGCTTTCTAGTTGTTGTCCCTTCTCTGTAAAACCTTGAGCACTGTCATTCTTTCTACAAGTTTGGTCTGTCTTTTCTTATCTCTCTTCTGTCTCTACTCTTTTCGCTACAGGGGTTGTAACTGCTGTAATGTATTTGGCTAATTCTAAAATCTTGCCAGTTCTGGGCAGTTTCTGGCTGATTGGTCACAGTCCTCACTATGGATTGGGTTTTCCTGCCTCTTTCCTGCCTGCTGGACTTTGTTGGATGCCTCACTGTGAGGTTCACTGTTGGGTGCTAGGTGTTTTTGTATTCCCATAAATCCTGAGCTGTGTTCTACGATTCAGTTTGGTCATGTATCATGTTCAGTTGGACAGGTCCAGGGCCCCTGTGAGGCAGGACTTTTCATTCTGCAGCACTCTTCTGACTTCTGCCCTGAAGGCAAAGTTGATACTTGATAATCTAGTTAAGGAATAAAAGACTGCAAGAATGGTTTTCATGCATCTGCTTGGATTACAAGACCTTTGGATGCAACTAGTTAGAATGGCAGATTGAAGAATCTTTCTTCGATTTTCCTCTGAGGTTCACACAATTGAAATGAAGCATTATTTGTCCTTGATCTCTGTCTCCAATTCACACAATGATGAGTTGTATGTGAGTCACTTATCATCTTGCTGTCTTCTCCCAGTGTGTTGAAGAGATCCTGGGGTACCTGAAATCCTGCTTTAGTCGGGAACCAATGATGGCTACTATTTGTGTCCAGCAGGTGAGAATGCTGTTGTGTTGTCCTTGGTAAACCCTCTAGGGACACGCTGCTTCTGCTTCAGAAGCTGTGGTTGTGAGCGGGAGGTGGCAAGGGGGTCCAAGCTGTCACCGGCTTGCTTCATGATTGGGCCAACAGGGGGTTATCCTCCCTCCCGGGATGTTGTGGTGTAGCACGGTGGGGGACAGAAAACATCAGAACCTGCATGGGCCCTTGCCACGTTACCCTTGTCTTAATGTCTCTGTGGGTCTGGCTTCAGGAGCCTTGTCTCAGAGCCACAGGGAAACCCAAACTTCCCAATAGCAGTGGCCTCATAAGGTCACAATGAGAATTGCAGAGGTGGGAGTGAGAGTCTTGAAGTGTCACTCATGCTGCATTAAGTCAACCTTTGGTGCTTCGATTCTTTCCTTCCAGCTATTGAAGACTCTCTTTGGGACAAACCTGGCTTCCCAGTTTGATGGCTTGTCTTCCAACCCCAGCAAGTGTCAAGGCCGAGCGCAGCGCCTTGGCTCTTCCAGTGTGAGGCCGGGCCTGTACCACTACTGCTTCATGGCCCCGTACACCCACTTCACACAGGCCCTTGCAGATGCCAGCCTGAGGAACATGGTGCAGGCAGAGCAAGAGCACGACACCTCGGGGTACTGTTGTGGTGGGGTCAGCCCCCTTCAGAAGCACAAAACAGCCAGCAGGGATGGCTTTGGAAAAGAATTTAAAAAATCAAGATGTTGGCATCTTTCAGTGGTCCAGTGTTCAGAGAAGACTGGGAAACAAAGTTGATGCAGAGATGAGGAAGGCACAGCCCCTGCCTTCAGAGTGCCTGGTCCAGCCAGTGGGCTGGGTTTGGGGTGGGGGTGCCCGAAGAGCATCTGTGCTCCTTTCGGATGGTCCCCTCCAAGCAGACCTGAGATGCACACTGTCCTCACATGTTGAGTGTGTGTTACACCCTGCTGCTCGTAGTGGCGTTTCCCTTTTCCTTTGTAGTAGTATGGTATTGATAGCACTCTTTGGGTCTGTTAGCTGAAAGCCCATCTTCAAAGTGGCACAATGGTGCACGTGTTTACAGGTATTCCAAAGGCATAGAGAATATCTACTTTGTGTTTTATAAACTTTTGGCTAAAACACACCTACAGTCCCAGCACTATTGGTAGCTGAGTCAGGTGGATCGCAAGTTTCAGCCCAAACTGGGTTTTGGAGATCTTGTGTGAAAAAAGGTGTTGGGCTGAGGTTGTAGCTCAGTGTGAAGGCCCCCATCCCCTCTTCAATCACACCCCACCCTTAAACTTTGCGGCTGAGTCTTTTCATGTAAGTTGGTTTTTGTTTCCTGGAATACAGAAAATCATCTCCCCTCCCCTCCTTTCTTCATCAAACCCAAAGCCCCACGCATGCTAAATGCACATTCTACCCCTGAGCTACCTCCCAGCCATATGTGGTTTCTTTTTTGGTACTGGGGATTGAACTTATGAGGCAGGCAATGGTACTATGTGTTCGGTACTATAGTACCAAACTCAGGTCCTTGCGCTTGCGAGGCAGTCTACCGAACCGCTGAGCTAAATCCCCGGCCCACCCTATGTGTTTTTTAATTAATATAATTATTAGCAAGGATTTGAGTTGCTACTCTGTATAGTAATAGCAGCAGAATCCTTGTTTTTCCTTTCATAAGTATAGTGATCAAATACCTGTAATTCAGGAATTTGAAAGAAAGAGTTCATATTAGAAGTCAGGAATCAAGGAAAATACCCATGTTCTAGGCTTTATGTTGGGGATATACAGACATTCCTCATTTAACGACATATGACTGTTTTGTTTTTTTTTTTGGACTTAGGACTGAGGTGTATGCTATTTGGACTTAAAACCCACAGCTTGGACTTATGACCTCCTTTTTGGGGGGATACCATTTTGTATATCTTGTTTATTGAGCCTTAATATCCTCTTTTGGGTATGGAACACCTTATTTGTATAGTACTGTAATTGTTACTGATTGTAACAATATTGTGCTACAGTAGTTTCATGTTCTGCTGTACCTTACAGCACCACATGTAAGAGTATCAGCGCAAAGCTACCAAAGTGGTGTTTGTTTCCTTGGGCCATTTCTGAGTATTGTAATGTACACACTCTATACAACTCCTCATTTAACCACCAATTTATTTAACAACCTGGTTGCAGGACTGGAATTCAGTCATTACATGAGGAATGTCTGTGCATACTATATATCCCAGTTTCAGCAATATGCCTATTTAAATATTTTTGTAGTTATACATGGTGAACATAAGCATGAGTGTGTGTATGACCACATGCATCTGCTGCTGGGTGGTTTTGCTTGTTTGTTTTTGAGCTGGGGTCTCACTTGCTATGCTGCACTAACTGGTCTGCAGTTTTTGGGCTTAAGGATCCTCTCTCCCCTCTTGAGTAACTGGGACTTTAGGCTTGCACCACCACCCAGCAATGTTAGTTTTGTAATTTCAAATATATTTCATAAATAAAAAGGTATCATTGATAGGAATATTTATTTCTTCCCCAAGAAAGCCACGTGATAAATTACCAGTCTTCACTGGCTGTCACCTCTCTCAAGCCCTCAGGCCTGGGCTGAGGAGTGAGTTCCCCTTAGCTGGAAAGCTCAGGCTGTCAGGCAGCTGCAGATTCCAAATGGTCTCCTTATCTCAGCTCATGCCCCTCTGCTGAGTGGCGTGAACTTCCTTCTCTTGACACCTTCTGTCTTGTGAGCGTGACACTGGTATGACCTGGAGGGTGACTGAATGTGAAAGAGGCCACTGATGGAAATTCTCTACCTCTCTGTTCCCCACCGCCAGGTGGTTTGATGTGCTCCAGAAAGTGTCCACTCAGCTCAAGACAAACCTCACGAGTGTCACGAAGAACCGTGCAGACAAGGTAAATGGCCCGGCTGGCAGCAGCGGCTCATGGCCTCATCGCATGAACCCAGGCGCGCGCCTCCACATTATTTGCCGGCAGCCTCTGGTGGATGTGCACTCACAGGTTCTTTCTCTTTTAACAGAATGCTATTCACAACCACATTCGTTTATTTGAGCCTCTTGTCATAAAAGCTTTGAAACAGTACACGACAACGACCTCGGTGCAGTTGCAGAAGCAGGTTTTGGATTTACTGGCTCAGCTGGTTCAGTTACGGGTGAATTACTGCCTTCTGGACTCGGATCAGGTTTGTCATGCCCACCCAGCAGTGAGGCTTATTTCTTTCCCCCGTGGTTGCTGCTTCTCACCCTCTCCATGGCAGTGGCAGGTGCAGAAGGCCTGGCTGACCCGTGTATGTGTCGTGTTCTTCTTGGGTCAACCTTTAAACACCTGCCAGACATTTCCCATGTGCTGCTTCCATACCCCAGTCCTGGATTTGTTTGAATTTAAATAGTAAGGTGCAGTATAAGTTCTGTAAAATCCAGAGACTTAAGCAGATTATTACTTAGAGCCTGCATTTTTAAGCAGTTAAAAGTTAGCTCACCTCAGCAGTGCCTGTTTGGCAAGTGCAAGGTCCCGAGTTCCATTACCTGATACCACAAAAACAACAAAACAAAACAGAAAGTGTATGACCTACCAGACTCTTCACTGAGGCTGTGCTCCTGGACCCCTGCAGGGAGCTGTGTGACCTTGCAGGAGGGTTTCTGTCCCTTCCTCATGGCCACCTTGTCTTCCTCATGCAGTTGCTGTGGTCAGGAGATTCTGGCTGTTTGTGTTGCTTCAGGAGACAGGACTTGTGCCTTCATTGATTGACATCACCTTTAGATCATCAAAATTGGACTCATTTTTGGGCAGTGATATCTGGTAACTTTTCTATGTGAGGAAGGTGTTTTTTGAGATGAAAATATTACAGTTCACTGTTATCTATCTTCACACCTGTCGACCTCTTTATTCACCTTAAAGGGTCATTCCTAGGAGAACCAGGGAATCTCTGATTTCCCCACAGGTGGGCTGAGGTAGGGCCTGTTTCTAATGAAGAGGAGTGGACGGTGGAGCTTTGCCTTGGCCTGACCTTTCATGCTTTCTTCCTTCATGAAAGCTGTCAGGAGGAAATCCGTGTACTGACCCGCTGTTCTTTACTTGGCTCCTTTGACACTCAAGGCAGTTTGGGGAAATGCCTGGTCTAGGGCCACAGCTGGGTGCCCTGAGGAAGCCAGGGCCTGACTTTCGCCTGGCAGTCCTGCAGTCTGTCTTTCCTCTTGTTGGCAGAGGTGGAAGCTGAGGTGCTTGCGGGACAGCTGCATACGGTGACCTCTTTCTGGGCTGTCCTTAGTAGGCAGAGGAAATTAACAGCTTCCCATTCTGGCACAGACTTATCGGCAGACTTGACCGTCTGTCAGAATTCTTCTGTAGTCATTCTACCTGGAACCTTTTCTCAAACTTGCAGAGATTTTTGTTGCTCCTTTCTGGTGTCCTAAGTGTCCATCCGATATTTAGCTGTTGAGAGGGACCAGCCGAGAAACCCATCTGCTCTGCTGGTCTCTGCACATGCTGACCTCACTGCAGCAAGTGCATCCCCCTGGGCCCTGGCCTCTGCCTCACTCTGGCAAAGCTGTGTCCCTGCTGCCTTCACTCAGGAAGGCTCTTTCTTGCTCTGAGCATTCTGGTCTCCTGCTTGCTTGCATTTCCCCCAGCTCAGGATGCTATATGGGGACAATTTTATAAACAAGGGTGGGAGACTGTCTACTGGAGTAGACAGACCACTGCGGTCTGAGCAGGGCTCTGAGAGTTGGTGGCTGTGAGTCCCATGCCTTCTCTGTGGGAACTTCTGTCAGTGCAGAAGCGACACAAGCTGGCTCTCCAGCCATTCGCTGCCGCTGCTCCCCTGGGCTCTTTTGGACTCCAAGTGTGGTAGGAAGGGGGAGACAGGCGCTGTGCTGCTTGGGTTGTCACTTCTTGAAGCACATGGTCCCCCAGATGTGATGGGAATGTTACCTGATGTCTCCTGGGACTTGTTATCTGTTGCCCCACTGTGGTTTCACCACAGTGTTTAGTAAGCTTGGTTTTGAAGGGGTTGCTGAAGTGCTCTGCAGCTGTCTTATCTGAATTGAGAGTTTCTTGTTTATAAACAAATTTGATTTGAGTTCTTGTTTATAAACAAATTGGGAATCTTTAAAAATATACACAGATAGGGCCAGGGATTTAGCTCAGTGATGCCTGCCTCAAAAATGCAAGGTCCCAAGTTCCATGCCCCGTACTAAGGAAAAAAAAAATACACAGATGAACAGGAAGAAAAGAAAGCTGGATTTACATTTTGGTCCTCCTATTTATGTGATACTCATATTTTCCTGCCTGCAGGTGTTCATTGGATTTGTTCTGAAGCAGTTTGAATACATTGAAGTGGGACAGTTCAGGTAATAGCATTTTGTTGCTTAAGAACTTATAACCTTGTTGCTAGCATATGTGTAATTTTAGGTTATCAAGATGAGTGTTTACTTTAAAGGACTATTAGACGTCTTAGCTGGTTTTTTCCTCCTTAATGGAAATCTGAGTAACATGGGTGTATTGTTTTGTTTTTTAATTTTTATTAAAAAATTAATGAAAAACTTTCTCTGGACTTGTATAGATATAGTTCTGCATCTGGTAGTTATATATGTTGTGGGTTTTCATTTCACATTTCAAAGCACTTAAAGATGATAATACATTTCTAAATGAATCTAATCTGGTGGAACACTTCTTCTGATCTTAGAAAAAGTATTGTTTAGATAATGTCTTTATTGAGAGTGATTATGCACTTTGCATACATTGACTACAGCTTTTCCTTACTAGACATTAAGGCTTTAATGCATCTTGTCATGCCTGTCACAGGTTTGTAAGTACAGTAACTATGATGATGTGTCAAGTTTCTGAAGGTCTTAGTAGTTTTAGTTTGTGAGCCAGTGGAGAAGGAGAGTCTTGGGGGCCTAGTTGTTTTCTGTTACTTAAGGCACCCTGATGTAGTTTTGGGCAAGGTGCTATTTCTCCCTGAGTCTGTTTCCTTAAGAGGGAAAGGGCGGGTGGAAAGCTGGGAAGATTGTACCTGCTGGGCAGGGTGCTGCCTGGAGCCCTCCACCCGCTGCTGCTGTGTTGCCCTCCCAGATAGCCAGCTGACCGAGTGGGCAGAGCCGGCAGGGCCATGCTATAGGTGGGGTTGACTCAGGTTGCTGGGGCTGCTTCAGCTTCAGGCACTGTCTCAAGATTGAGTCTTGAATTATTCTGTATTGTTTATGTTGATCGTATGTCTTACTTATAAAAAGAAACGGCTAACTGGTTGTCTTTATTTCCAGAGAATCGGAGGCGATTATTCCAAACATCTTTTTCTTCTTAGTATTGCTGTCTTATGAACGATACCATTCAAAGCAGATCATTGGAATTCCTAAAATCATCCAGCTGTGTGATGGCATCATGGCCAGCGGGAGGAAGGCCGTGACACACGGTAATGGGGTGCACCTTCCCTGTCTTTAGGGTCGCAGTGTGTCTGACCGCGTTAATCTTCTTGCACCCACTTTCAGTTCTGAATGCTGGCTCTGCACTGTGTGGGGCTGTGTGTGTGTGTGTGTGTGTGTGTGTGTGTGTGTGTGTGCGCGTGCCTATGTGCATGCTTCTGCCAGTTAACAGATGTTTATGAAAAGGCCACATTGTATACTCCTAGGAGTTTAAGGTTTACTTAGGAGGAAAAATATAAGAAATGCTTAAGTACAAGGGCCAGGGATTTAGCTCAGTGGTGCTACCACCTGCCTTGCAAGTCCATAGTTCAATCCCTGGTACCAAAAACAAAACAAAACACTAAGTATGGTATAGACAAAGAGATATAAATGCTACTGTTTATGTGAAACAAAATTTTTAATTTTTAAAATATTTATTTTTTGTAAGGCTGGGGATCAAATCCAAGGCCTTCAGACATGCTAGGTAAATGCTACCACTGACCTACACCCCAGCCTCATCAAAGTTTTAAATCCAACCTACCTACCTTAATTCACATTTTTACTTGTTTTCCAGGGGTATAGGAGAATATAGTTGGACTTTGAGTTGGGACTGTTTTGTTTCATTATTTCACAGCAGTTTAAAGCAGGGACCCAGTGAGTATTCAGCTGCTCAGGCAGTTCCTCCCAGCCTGTGGGAAGAGGAGGAGGTATGAGTTAAGATCACAGTGTAAATCCTTAGGCCCTTTAGAATTCATTGTTCAGCATTTCCCCTTTGTTAGCCCATCCCTGCTCCTTTGCCAAGAGTCTAAGCTTTTGCTCTTTGCTAGGGATTCGTCCTCAGACCTTTACAGATTCCCAGACCAGAGAATGGCACTGCCTCACCACACAGGGCAGTGTTGCTGCCTCTGCCTCTGCCTCTGCCTCTGCAGGGACAGCAGGGGAGGAGCAGTGCTGAGAAGCAGGGTGGGGCCTCGCTAAGCTGCTGCCTCAGCTGACACTGAAGGTTTAGCCTTCAGGTCTCTGGGTTTACTTGGAAATGCAAATGTTGAACATGGGAAACTGAGGTTTCCTGGACTTAGAGGGTCTTTGGACAGAGAACTCAGTGTAGCCAAATCCAGTGCTGTCTGTTAGGATGCTTGGTTACCCAGAGGAAGACCAGCGAGTGTACCTGGGTGTGCATGTCCTTAGGGGCAAGAACGAGTCTGTGGGGGTGTCACAAAGGGTCAGAGTGAGTTGTGTGTGAGACTGAGAGTCTCTGTACTAGTGAAAGTCATTTGTTTTATGGTTTTGCTGTGTGGTTGTAGCAAACCAATGAAATTAGTTTGACTCCTGTTTTGGACCAATGTAAGATCTAGAAAAATGTTTTATCTTAATGAGGGAGTGAGTTCATTTAAAACATTATATCTAAACTATCAGTAAAATGTATTCTATAGGAAAAGTATCCATTGTCTTTTTAGGTAAATCAGATAAGTTATACATGAGATCGGGGTGCTGAAAGTTTGATTACTTGAAAGTTTTATTATTTTCCAATTGACTCTTGAGGGCCAGGAATTTAGCTCAGTGGTGCAGCCACCTGCCTCTCAAGTGCAAGGTCCTGAGTTCATCCCGGTACCAAAAAACAAACAAATTGACTCTTGAATTTGAATTACTTTTTTTTTTTTTATGTACTTGTGAGGCAGGCATGGTGCCACTAAGCTAAATTCCTGGCCCTTGTATCACGTTTTGTTTTTTTTTTTGAGACAGGGTCTCACTATGTAGTTCAAACTGCTCTGGAACTCACTGTGTAACCCAGGCTGGTCTCAAACTCACAGCAATTCTCCTGCCTCAGCCTCCCAAGTGCTGGGATTACAGTTGTACGCCACCACACCCGGCACCTTGAATCACCTTTTATTAGAAGTGATGTTACTTTATAGAAGTTCTAGAATCTTTTTCTTTTTCTTTTCTTTTGGTCCTGGGGCCTCAGATCTGTTTGAGAAACTCTACCACTGGCTAATTTTGAACCTCATTCATTCATTCATTCATTTTAGTTTTTGAGGGTCTGTCTCACTATGTAAGCTTGAACTCATGGTGATCGCTCTGCCTCAGGCTCCCGAGGACTGGGATTACAGGTGTGCACTTCCATGTCTGGCCCAGTTGTTTGTTTGTTTGTTTTTTTTTTAAGAAGTCCTCACAGAACTGTGAGTGTTCAGGGCAAGAGCTTGACCTTCCACATTGGTACCATGATGATTTCACAGCACTTACTGAGAAACTTCCTTCATCCTTTATCACAAACAAGTATGCCTTTGGGTTTCCTTTATTTCACAGAAATATTTTAGAGATGTGTAGATCTGTCTAACAGACATCATTGTCTCATAAGGTCTTAACAGTGTGCTTTTGTACCCACAGCAATCCCAGCTCTGCAGCCCATAGTCCATGACCTTTTTGTGTTAAGAGGAACAAATAAAGCTGATGCAGGGAAAGAACTTGAAACTCAGAAGGAGGTGGTGGTGTCCATGTTGCTGAGACTCATCCAGTACCATCAGGTAGAACGGAAGCACAGTGATGGTTAAGGACACCTCACTGTCCCTGGCTGTGGGGGAGCACCCTGTGGTCCAGCCTGTGCTCAGCAGTGGGGGAGCCCTGTGGCAGGAGGTGCAGTAGGCCCATGACGGCAAACGTTTTAGAGCTTTCAAAGATACAGTCAGCCCACTGCGGGCCACGCACCCTAGGCTCCCACCACTGTGGTAGGGTGTGTCTTTAATGCCGCACAGCTGCCAGGCTGACAGTCCTGACGCTTTTCTGGTGTGGCAGGGCCCTGTCTTCCAAAGCAAGGACCAAGAATCAGTTAATGGATAACATCACCTTGGTAGAATTCTGAAAAATAATAGAAATCTCAAGTATGAAATAATTTGAAGTCTTTTTTAATCCCCTGCTGTTTTGACAGGGCTGTGATCTTGTACTCTGAGCTGATTGCTGATTGATTTGAAGACACTTGGAGGCAGCCCAAGCTCATACGCAGCTTTCTTAATTTCTGTTGTAAACTTGTGCTGCTGTGTAACCCCCACTTACTTTCTGCATTTTCACTATCTTTGAATCTTCATAAAAGCATAAGCTTTCCACAGGGAAATAGTACTTCCTTGTGCACTTAATGTTTTGATCAATCTGTGTAATACTTAATGAATGGTGCTTAATTCCCTGATTGTAGTAACATTTCAAGCACCACAGAGCATTTTGAGAGTAAGCAGCTGTACTCAGTGAGCCAGCGTTTCCTGTAAGCCACCAGGTCATAGCATGGCAAGCTTCAAGGCCACATGGTCTCATCACAGGCCCTGCTGTCTGCCTTTGCAGCGGTGTGGCTGGGGCCAGGGAAACTGTGCTTACAGAAGCAGGCAGTGGGTGGCACTGTGAAGCGAGTGCCATGCAAGGGACAGTAGGAGACGCCTTCTCAAAGAGCACGAGCGTGAAATGGATGCACATGGACGTGTGAAGGCAACTTCAGGACAGTTTAGTCAGGCTGTGTTTGAGTTTCCCCTGAAGTTAATGATGATTTCGTTTTGTGCCTTTTCTCTGATCGTGAAGTCTTATAAATTCCATGGCAATGACACTGACCACGTGTCACCTGAGCAAGAGAAAATAGAGGAACTTGCTGGGTCTTCCCTTGCATGTTCTTGTGACTCCCCTATTCACATGTGGGGTTGGGGCTATATCCATTTCCTCTGTCCTCACGGAGCTGAGCAGTGAGCCCTCTGCTTGGATCTCAGAGCCTTGCTGCTGCCCGGGACCAGTGTGAGAGATGGACGGAGGTGTAGGGACAGTAGGGTGCCGTGGGCCAGGCAGCTTCCTTGGTGTGTAAAAAACTCGGGCTCTTGCAGGTGCTGGAGATGTTCATCCTCGTCCTGCAGCAGTGCCACAAGGAGAACGAGGACAAGTGGAAACGGCTTTCTCGGCAGGTCGCCGACATCATCTTGCCCATGCTTGCCAAGCAGCAGGTTTGTCACTGCACTTCTGGCTCATTGTCATGCAGTAATTATGATTTACTTCAAGGGGGATCAAGATCCTGGTCCAAAGGGCTTGGTGGCCAGCTTTTCATCAGATTGTAATGTATTCTCCTGTGATAGTTCTCTGCAAGGTCATACAGCAGATGATTCCCTTTATTTCTGCAGTACCTTCCAAGTTGGGGTTGTCAGGAAAGCAGGGCTCAGGGCATCGTTTTGGTTTTCTAGGTCACATAGCTTGAGAATGCTCGGAGTGGGGTTGTCCCACTCTCACTCCACAGCTTGGTACTTTCCTGATTCTGGTCATGCAGATACTTTGATCTTTAGTGTTCCAGGTTTTTCCTTGTCATATATAAAGTAACAGAGTAGTTCCTCATCATTGAATCGGAATCCTGCAATCAAAGAACAGGCCTGGTTGTTTATGGAGATGCTGTGCAGCAAGTGGTCTGGTCGGGCCCACCACGGGTAGAGCCAGGGTTCCCCTGGTGCAGAACCACATGGACCTTAGATGTCTCTGCACGCCAGTAGCTTCACCTTCATACCGGGGAGATGTCAGGGCCTGCTGCAGGTGTGTGTGTCCTCTGTGGTCAATCCAATTCTCAGCTTCCCAAATACCATGATTATGGGGATGCGCCACCATGTTGGAAGGGAGCTTTTTTATGTGCACAGTTTGCAGAGGGTGGAGATTAAAGGCCTGAATGCATAGGGAGTGCTTTGCTTAACTTGTGCCACTAGGAAAATTGGGAGGTAAAACACGAAGCCCTAAGTATGGTACCTGCTAGTTGGGTCAGTGCAGTGTGGGTTACATTCCAGCGTGGTGTTGGCACATCGCACGCATAGCAGTAGGTACATTACACATCAAAGCAGATTGAAAAGCACATTGGAGAGCTGTCCTAGAGTGAACATTTTGTTGGAAGGAGGGTGAGGGGTAGATAACAGAACAGTAAATTAGAGAAGTATAGAAAATATCAGGTGACAGTAGGTTTTCTGCCGAAAAACCATGGAGGAGAGATGAGGGTAGCATTGGGGTTGGAAGTACTGTTCATTTGGTGACAGGAAAGAGCCTTGTGTAATAGCTGACATTGAGCATGAAGGAAAGTGAGGGGTAGTTCTTGCAGATCTGTGGGAAATTGTTCTAGACAAAGCAGACTGTGGTGCAGAGACCCTGTTAGGATGTGGAGGCCAGCCTGTAGGGTGGAGGCCAGCCTGGTGGAAGGAGGCCAGCGTTGTGCATGTGGTAGCAACATGATGTGGTTGGAGTTTTATTCCCAAGCTAGACTACAGGAGGAGGTGATGGTGAGCAAGGAGGTCCCTGGGAGGCCCCATGGTGGAGTGGCCATTCATGGCCCTTTGAAAGTAGGACCAGCAATATATAACAGATAATGTGGAGTGGGAAGAAAACGTCCAAAGGGGAAGGGGAACTGCGCACAGTAGGGAAAAGGAAAGGGAAAGGAAACAACGTGAGAAAAGGAAAAAATGGAAACAAAGTCTTTGTGAATAGGGAGAGGTGGAGGGGTTGAAGGGAGGGCAGGAGAATTGGGAAAAAATAAGAACCAAGATGTATAAAGGTACAAATTCCCAGTGATGATTGCCATCATATTGTATACCTAAAATGTACCAATAAACTTAATGAATAAAAAGAAAGAGAGAGGGTGGGGGAGAGAGGAAAGGAAAGGAAGAAATGCCAGCAAGGTGTTCTGGGGGCTCAGCTGTGGGAAGGTGGGAGCCAGGTCTGGATATATTCATTGGCACCTCCTGGTAGGTACTGTGGGGTGATTCTGGCATTTGGGTGCAGGGCTGAAGCTGAAGGGAGACTAGCTGAGGTTGCAGTCGACCAAACCTAGCTGTAGGTGAGAAGCCCCAGTGTCCCAGATCCAAAGCCTGTGTGTGACAGGGGCAAAATGCCTGGCACCTGCAACTTCAACAAGTAGAGAATTATTTTGGCTCACAGTTTCACTGTATTGCGTGCATAGTCAACTGGCTCCAAATCAAAAAGGACCTGAGAGAAAATAGCTGCTCACCACATGGCTGCTTGGAAACTGAGAGGGGAGGAGCCAGGAACAAAAAGGAACGCTTTCAGGTCCCACACCTGGTGACCACCTCCAGCCAGGCCCCACCTTTGGACATGAGGTCTTTGAAGGATGTTTGAGATCTAAACCTCTTAAATTAGAGATCTAAACCCCTTGTAGTCCACTCATAGGTCAGGAAAGTGTGGAGGAACCCGTTCAGGGGCTTGGAAAAGACAGCCAGCGTCAGAACAGGAGACCATGCAGCTGTGGGCTTCCCAAAGCCATGTTTGAGAAAGATATCCTTCTGGACATGGTGATACACACCCATAATCCCAGCATTTGAGACTGAGGCAGGAGGATCAGGAGTTCCAGATCCACCCACAGCTGAGTTTGGGCTTACCATGAGCTGAGTAACAAGTCCTTGTCTCAATAAACTAAAAGAATGAAAAAAAAAAAGAAAGGTGTTTCTGTTAGGCTTGGGCTGCACACCTGTAATCCTAGCTACTCAACAGGAAGAACGTAAGTTCAAGGCCATATGTGGCTGTGTAAAGAGACTCTGTCTCAAGTAAAATTAAGAAACTAGCTTGGGGTACAGGTTGGGGTAGAACACTTGCTTAACGTGTGAGCGAGAATCTGTGTAGGACAGACAGCTGCCATCAGTCTGTGCTGGCAGACGCAGTGTCAGGACTGGCTGGGTGAGGTGGGGGCACCTGCACAGGTCCAGGCCACAGTTCTGCACTGTTTCCTTATCTTATGGTTCGGCTCAGTGCTGTTGGGCTGTTACAAGGATGTACACAAGTCAGTAGAGGAATGCATGAGTATATAAAATTAGTTGAGAATATTTTGTATTTGTTAAAAGTGATGTTAGCATTTAAACCAGTTGCTTTGTGTATCAGCCACTTTTCCCACTGCTTGAACAAGATAGCTGATGCTGCAGTTGAAAGGAGGAGAGGCCCTAAAAAGTACCAGTAAACTTAATGAAAAAATAATAAATAAATAAAGGAGGAGAGGTTTATGTCGGCTCATGGTTCAGTCTCTACTCGCCTGGCTCCAAGGCAGAAAAAGCAGAGCAGAGGGGCACCTTGAGGAGAAGGTGCTCAGCCCATGGCAGCCAGGAGTGTGGGAAGGAACCAGGGACAAGAACACATTCTTCCTTCCGGTCACGGCCCTGGTGGAGCACCTCTTGGGACCAGGTCCCAGCTCTCAGCAGCAGCTCAGCTAAATTCATTGGCAGTCCCATCCATTGGTGAGCAGGTGCCCCTCCAGCCAAACTTAGCCCCTTGGGAGCTCACTGCATTCTGAAGTGAGAAGAGCAGACAGCTTCCTGATGCATTTCGTTAAATAAGAACCTCCCTTCCTGTGTGGGGTGGGCGGTTTAGGAGCACAGAGAAAGGAAGCAGAGAGATCTATACCTGTTTGTTAACATTTGTTACTAATGGGCAGGGTGGCAGTCAGGTGCAGGTACAGCAAAAACAGAAGCGGCGTGGGTCATGTCCCTCATATACTCCATGAAATCTGGGTCACCAAAAACAAGTAGTATTAGGATAAAAATCTAAGTGAAAAGTTTTTCCATCGTGGTGGAAAAAAATAGCTGCTAGCATGCTGCCCGGAAAGGTTGCCTGTTTCACTGCTGAACTTAGAAGGCCTTCTGTGCGGGGGTAGTAATGGTGCCTGTAACCTTGTCCCTGGAGATATGGGCTGGCGTGTCCAGGGCAGGCTTACCTGGGAACGTCTGTGATGTTCCATCCCACAGATGCATATCGACTCGCACGAAGCCCTCGGAGTGCTAAACACATTGTTTGAGATTCTGGCCCCTTCCTCCCTCCGTCCAGTGGACATGCTTTTGCGCAGTATGTTCGTCACTCCCAGCACAATGGTGAGTCCCAGAGCTGCTACGGAGGGTATGGCAGAGGATTTGCATCGCTGCCTTATTTTGGGGCCACACCAGAAGTGTAGGGATTTATTGGCAGAATGGTCAAAGTGGGGTGGTTTTCTTTTATAAAACTCAATTGCACCAGGAGTGGTGGCACACACCTAAAATCCAAGTACTTGGGAGGCTGAAGCAGGAAAATTGCTATGAGTTTGAGGCCAGCCTGAGCTACATAGTGAGACCCTGCCTCAGAAACAAAACAAAAAAACCCAAAATATGTTAATGTAAAGGTACAAATTTCCAACGATGAATGTCATTATATTGTATACCTAAAATGTACCAATAAATTTTAGTATTTTTAAAAAACCAACCTACAAAAAAAAAAAAAAAAACTAAAAAAAATTGTTTAACTTAGCAATTGGGGAAATTTTTAATTTTTTTCTCTCTGTAGCTATAACTGTTTTATTTTGTCTCCTTCAGGCATCAGTAAGCACTGTTCAGCTGTGGATATCTGGGATCCTAGCCATTCTGAGGGTTCTGATTTCCCAGTCAACTGAAGATATTGTTCTTTCTCGCATTCAGGAGCTATCCTTCTCTCCATATTTAATATCCTGTTCAGTAATTAACAGGTTGAGAGATGGGGACAGTAATCCATCATCAGAAGAACACAGTGAAGGGAAACAATTGAAAAATTCACCAGAAGAAACATTTTCAAGGTGCACTTCATATCTGTCTCTGTGGCCAGTGTCTTTGAGAGTTGTGTGGGGTCTGGTGGTTAGCACGTCTGGAATCAGTGCTGGTCTGGTCCTGGCTCTGGGCAAGCTGAGGAAATGTGTGTTGCTATGTTTTAGTCCAGCCCACCTTTCCTGGGCCCTTGCTCTGAGCTTGTTTTAAGACTGTCACATTCCATCTCATCCTCATTAAAGACTTGACAAGGTGGCTCACTGTGTGCTGGGCAGGCAGCAGGATGTGCATTGACTGTAGAGAAGTTCAGACCCTGAGAGAGCCCTACAAGTTGTGTTAGTGCTCATCATTTGCTGAAGGGCTGTGTGCTGTTGGTGACTAAGAGCTTCCTCTGCCTAGGAGATGGTGCGTGCTACATACCTGCAGTATCAGCTCTGTCTTCCCTCCACCACACTCATTCCTGGGGCTATGAGCAGGATTCAGGACTTGAAAATGTGACTCTGTGGGCAAGTGTTTGTCTCCACCAGAGCTTCTCTAAGTCAGAGCTATTTCTTTGAGTTGCTGCCTCCACCCTGGCCTTGGTTGGCTGTCCCTGGTTGCCATGAGAGGAGCCACCCAAGGTTGTTGGGGGGATGGACTGGGAGCCTGCTCAGCACCTCTGTGTGCGCAGGTTCCCCTGGCAACCCATGGCCCTCTGTGCTTCAGCTGAAGCAAGTGGTGCCTCAGTGCCACGGTGCATTGCCAGCCTTCAGTGTGCCTTGCCTGCATCTCTGCCTTTCCTGACTTAGTCTGTTTATGTCCCATGTATATGGTGCATGTGTGTTCCATTATAGTCACCTGACTCACTGTTCTCACTTTCTTGGAAGGTTTCTGTTACAGCTGGTCGGGATCCTTTTAGAGGACATTGTTACAAAGCAGCTGAAGGTGGAAATGAGCGAACAGCAGCATACTTTCTATTGTCAAGAGCTGGGCACGCTGCTCATGTGCCTCATCCACATCTTCAAGTCGGGTAGGTGGGTCACATGCGCCAGTATGTGGTGTCCTGTACTCTATGCTCAGGTCAGAAGCCCACGCCCTTTGCCTTTGGGCAGTGTCTTGTGGTAAGAAGAGGAAACGCCCAGCAGGTTTCTCCTGAGTGAATTCTCCAGAAGAATGGAAAGCAGAGTGGCTGGGAAATGTCAGTGCTGGTGTTCATAGCAGCATTCATTATTCACAGTAGCTGACAAGGGGAAGCAGCTCAGGGGTTCACCAGTGGGTTAATGGATAACACCTTGCTCCTGTGTGAGATGGAATACAGTAAATCCTCGGTTTGCAAGCATAATTCATATGAGAAACATGCTTGTGATACAAAGCACTTGGATATCAAAATTAATTGCCCCATAAGAAATAATGGAAGGCCGGGCGTGGTGGTGCACGCCTTTAATCCCAGCACTGGGCGGGGGTGTGTGTGTGTGTGCTGAGGCAGGAAGATCGCCATGAGTTCGAGACCAGCCTGGACTATATAGTGGTTCCAGGTCAGTCTCCACTACATAGTGAGACCGTGTCTCAGACCACCCCCACCAAAAAAAGAAAGAAATAATGGAAGCACAGATGATTTATTCCACAACCTCAGAATATTCATATAAAAGTCATGACAATACTGTAATATAATACAGAATAAATTGACTTGCACTTACCTTTGAAAACCTTTGTGGCTGGTGGGGCGGAGACAAGAGAGGAAGGCTGTTGTGTGGTGACTCTTTGTATCACTAACAGAATCAGTCATTGCTATTGACTGACTTGGTGATAGGGAACCTATCCAGTGACTTGCTTCTGCCTCTCTTTTAGGATTTCACAGAAATACGATTTTCATTGTCATAAACAGATTCATCACTCACACGGCTACAGCTTTGCTTGGGTGGTACTTTAATACACAATTTCACATGATTGTGAGGGATTCCTCTGGCTTTTTCTTCTGCTGCAGATAAGATCTTCTCCATAATCTCTTAATGTTGGTAGATGATCATCACAGTCCTGCTGAGGGAGGGGGAGAGAGAAATTTGTGATGATGTGATGTTTTATGTTACATACTACTTGTATTGCAAGATGTCACTTGTTTATCAAGTTAAAATTTATTAGAAATGTTTGTTCCTATTGGAGAACAAGTTACTCGCAATCCAATGTCTTTCTGTATTTTTAAGCCTGAAAAGAAGGAAATTTTAACACAGGCTGCAACATGAATGAATCTTGAACTTGTGATAAGTAGAATAAGCTGGACACAAAAGGACAGATACTGTTTGACTCCACTTGTATGAAACAGGGTACTCAGAGTCATTGTATTGGCCATTTTTCCATCCCTGGGACAAAATTCCTGGCATCCACAGCTTAACAGAGGAGAGGCTTATTTTGGCTCTTGGTTTCAGAGAGTTCTGTTCATGGTTGGCAGAAATGGCATGGTGAAAGGACACAGAGGAGAAAAGTTGCTCAACCCATGAAGCAGAGAGAGAAAGGAGTTGGGGACAAGGGTACACCCTTCCAGGTCACCCTAGTGACTACCTCCAACCAGGCCCTGCCACCTAACAGCATACTCTGCTATGAACTCATCAGTGCACGAGTCCACTGATGAGTGTAGCACCACCATGACGGTCACCTTCCAGAGCCCCCCTCTGAGCACAGGAGATACGGAGGAAACATTTTAGATCTAAACCGTAACAATCATAGAGGTAGAAAGAATATTGGTTGCCAGTTGTCAGAGAGAGGGCAGATGGAGAGTTATTGTTTAATAGGTGCAGAGGTTTACTTTTACAAATGTGAAGGGTGGTGGATATGGGTGGTGGTGATGGTTGCACATTATGGATGTACTTTCTGCCAGTACTGTATCCTTAAAAGTGGCTAAGATGATAAACTCTATGCTATGTGTATTTTATCCCAATTTTTTATGATTGGGAAAAAAAATTAACCTGAGGGTTTCATTCTGCTTTAAGGATTAGGGCCAATGTTTTTGTTACCTTTACAAATGATCATGGATTAAAATTGACACTGAACCCAGCAGAGAAAGTTACAAGGCACCAGGCATACAACAAGTGTGGAAAGTGCCTGATCCAAATTAGTGTAGGTGTTGTCCAGGAAGAATGAGGATTTGTGAGACTTGCATGGTGTAGATGAAATCAGAAGCTGAAAGATGGTTACAGGGTACAGACACGTCTTTCTTTTCTCAGCAAAAAAAAAAAAAGAAAGGCAGTCTCATCTCTAGGAAAGATAAATGGCAATACTCCGGCTAGGAAGCAGACCAAAATGTGACGTGCTTCTCCACCTTCGATGTGATAAAAGACCTGGGTATCAAAAGAATTCTCCTGTAGTTGCCTCAGGGGTCCCGATCAAGGGCACACAGAGAAATGCCATCCTTCCAGGCTTCCTGTGCTGTTGGAAATGTGCTCACAGTCATCATGTAAATGCTGGCTGAATTTTCAGTTTTGGAGTCAATATGGATAAAACTGAAAGCTGGATTCATTATGTTTTCAGAATAGAATGAATGGTTTTAATTCTGATAAGAGATGAAAGCTAACCAGGTTTGGAAGTGGAAAGCTGGAGATGGAAAGAACTAAAAACATTTTCATTTAGGACTGTTGGGTTTATAAGATAATGTCTAAAGTTGACCAAAAAAAAAAAAAGACACTAACGAATCCACGCTATCCTAAAAATGTGAGTCAGACGGGCAGCATAAATGGACTGAGTCTCGTCTTTAATAGGGTGGTGTAAACAGATGATGTCCAGCGTTGTCTGAAGTGGCATGTCACGCCATAGCTACTGTGTCAGTAGTCTTGTGGTGGCAAGGATAAGACTCCAGCCTGAACCAGAGCAGGGAGCAATGTTTGCGCTCAGGTGAGCACAGGCAGGGGCAGCTGGCTGGCTGAGGTGCCCTGTGCCTGGCGCTGCTCCTGCAGTCCGCGTGTGGTTTCCACATCCCACTCTGCCCTCCGTGTTGGCTCTGCTCCCAGCTAGGCTCCTTTCCTGCAGCAGGAGGAACCCCTGATGGCTCTGGTCTCAGCCTGAAGCCTGGAGAGTGACTGGCCTGACCACGTGTGGCAGGCAGTGCCCGTGTGCCGCAGTGTCTAGCCAGCCTGGGCCAGAGAGGGCTGTGTAGGATTTGAGGAGTAGGAGGACAATGCAGAGGAGTAGCCAGAATAACTGATGCTCTGGGCCAAGTGAAAAACCTCTCAGTTCCAGTTTGGGGGGTAACTTCCACCAAAGCCAAACCAGAAAACGAGAGACATGGGAGGGCACATTTGCAGTCTGAAGCCCCTCTCCATGGTTGGGTTTTTACACACAGTTCATTTATATGCCTGTAGAGTAAAAGCTAGTCATCATTTCCAGCCTGCCTTTGTCCAACAAGACTTACTGGATGGTGGCCCTTGGGTGCTGGAGTCAGGAGCACAAGCTCATTCAGTCCTTGTCAGTGATAGAGAAGAGAGCTGAGGAGGTGGGCATGACTTGAGACAGAGTTAAAATAAATCATTTTGTAGTTTTCTGAAAATAAAACTTAGCATGCAAAGTTGGTAATTTGTGTTTAAGCATTGCTTAAACAAAGGAAGTTTATTTTAGTCATGTACCAAAAATTGAGACCCTTAAAAGAGAAAGCCAAGACTTTTATGGCTGTTCATTGCAGGTGTTAATTCTCGCAAGAGCGCCTAGCCTGAGGAGTATTCTTGACCTCTGTTTATCTTCTGCTCTTCTGGTGGGGGCATGAGAAATTTATCCAAGAGTTGTTTGCCTGTTTCAGATTGAAGCCAACATCAATGGAAACAAGAAAGATACCTGCCCTCCAGTTTACAAAACTGGGGGCAGTCAGTATCCCTCTCGCTCCAAGATGGACTGGTTTAGAACCAGGTGGGGCAGCTGGGGCATGGGGGAAGACGTTTAGTCAGCCTCTGGATCCACAGTTATGCATTCCCAGGTTCCACCAACTACCTTGGAAAATACTTGCAGGAAACATTTTTAGCAACGTGTGGTAGCACACACCTGTCGTCCCAGCTACTTGGGAGGCTGAGACAGGAGGATCACAAGGTAGGAGGATCGCCAGGTAGGGCAACCCAGTCTCAAAAATAAAAAGGGCTTGGGGCCGGGGATTTAGCTCGGTGGTTCCACTGCCTGCCTCGTAAGCACAAGGTCCTGAGTTCAATCCCCAGTACCAAAAATTTAAAATTTAAAAAATAAAAAGGGCTAGGGGGTATAGCTTAGCTCTCCCTGGGTTTAGTCACCAGCATTGCAAAAATTAAAACCTAAACTGGGCTGTGCATGTACAGACCCTTTCTTGCTACTGTTCCCTACATAATGCAGTGTAACACCCTTCTATGAAGTGTTTATTTTGTCTTGCGTGTTGAAAGTAATCCAGAGCTGAGTTAAAGCATCCTGAAGGGATGCAGTCTTGCTGAGTTTTATGTGCAGGACTGCAGTGTGCAGGTGATGGCCATGGTGGCTTGGGCATGTCCTGAAAGCTGTCCAAGTTGGGGAAGACAGCAGGCGGGGACGAGCATTCACTTTCTGGGTTGCCCATTCGATGAGAGTGCAGTGTCTGTTTCTGCTCAGGAAAGGGAGACTGAATTCCCTGAGTGCCAGAGTTTTGAATGTGGAAGCTCAGGAAAGGGCTGCCTGTGTGTCTTTTTAATGTAGTCTTCTCCAAGTAGCTGGGGTCGGGCTCAGACAAGCACAGGACCTTTCCTCACAGTCAGCTCTGCTCTGTGTGCTTCTAGGGATGTTCCGGAGAATCACCGCGGCTGCCACCAGGCTCTTCACCAGTGATGGCTGTGAGGGCAGCTTCTACACCCTGGAGAACCTGAACGCACACGTGCGGTCCATGGTGCCTACACACCCGGCCCTGGTGCTGCTGTGGTGCCAGATCCTACTGCTCGTCAACCATACCGACCACCGCTGGTGGGCAGAAGTGCAGCAGACACCCAAGTAGGTGCACGGCTCCCCACACCCAGGGCGCCGAGTAACCTGAGGTTGGGCTCCTGTGGGGCGTTCTCATCCTCGTTTTTCATGGGGCTTCATAAGGCTTTGGCCGCATATTAATCTTTCTTGGGCACTGTTTGGTGAGGGAAGATGTGCGAAAGATCAGGCATTCAGTGCTGCAGCCGCGCTTCCCTGTGGTGTTCTTGGGCAAGCTCTCTGACACTGTTCCATCTGTGGGTCTCACACTTGGCTGTGGCCCTCCTGCTAAGCTCTGGTGTGCAAATTGGTTCCACAGCCAGACATGTTGCAACGTCTTAACTTCGTTAGGAGTTCAGTGTGGTTCTGGTTATTGTTCAGTAATGAAGTAATTATTTAGCAAGTTTCAGAACTTTTTGGAAATACTGTAGTTTTTATAATTCAAAAGACTTAGTAAGTTTCTGGTTGTGGGTGGCCCTTTTTTTGTAAAGCATTTCCAGGCTTGAGCCTCAGCGTCCAGGTGCTCACTTGCTCCATTGTCGGAATGCAATAAGAAACCAAAGCTGTGAGCCCTCTGGGTCCAGGCTGCAGGATTTAGGTAGGGAGGTTCTCCTGAAGGAAGAGAGCAGTGGTTCAGCTCCTCTGCTAGGTGCTAGAACTCCTGCTGGGAGGCACAGTGGCCCCCCGCTCTGCTCCATGTAGTGGGGTCTGCAGGAAAAAGTGGAGCTTCCTGCAACTTGTGATGAGCACTACACCCAGGAGACAGACCTGAGGCATTGTTTGCCATGCTTGGAGCATATCCTGGGCCTGTCCTCACAGCTGAGAAGGGAAATGGGAGGCCTGTGTCTCCTGATTGTGTGTGTAACTCAGCCGCAGAGCTGGTGCTGGTAAGGCTAGTGAGTCGGCAGCTCACTGGGGCCTGGGAATCTGCATCTTTCCATGCTGTTGTGCTGGCCCCGAAGCCACCCTGTGTAGGAGGGGTGCCTCAGCATCACTGATACCAGTGCTGTCCTCTGTCTCCACTGCCAGGCCTGATGATCAGGCATTTTAGGAGCTTGTGTTTTTAACCGGCTTCTGAGACTGTCCAGTGGACACCCAAGGTTAAGTTGTGCTGCAGGACATCAGGGCAGAACTGTCACTTTTGATGGAGCAGGAGAAGGCAGCGTCCCAGGCAGCCAGCTCTGCCCCTCCCCACTGGTGCACAGTGGTTAGTGAGGACAGAAGCCGCCCTGAAAGCAGGGCACAGTGGTGCACACCTGTAATTCTAGCACTGTGGAAGGCAGCGGTAGGAGAATTGAATGTTTAAGCCCAGCCTTGGAGACTTAGTGAGATTCTGTCTCAAGATGGAAAATCTTGTAAAAAGGCTGGGGATGTTCCATGTTGCCCACTGGCTTCCCTGAGACTTCATTGTCTTGGAGAACAGAATTGTTACTGCATTGGACAAGAAGCAACAGAGATGGGGCAGGCATGTCAGGGACCCACACCTCTGCTCTGGATCTGGAATAACGCACCAAAAAGGGCTTTTATGGGGCAGTTGGAGATTTGAGTGTGAGCTCTGTGACAACAGTCCTGTAGCTGAGGAATTCAGAGTGAAGTGTCCTGAATTGACAAATTATGTTGCAGCCAAAAAAAATGTGTTGGCTTGCAGTAGTGTGTGCAATGTGCAGGGTTTTGTGTGCATGTAGCATGTGTAAAGTTTGTGTGTGTGCCTGCTTATCTAGAGTGTGCTGAGAAGTCAGAGGTGGCAGATGTGGGTGTCTGTCTGAGAGCTGCATTGCCCCTTCACTGTCTCTGCTGGCCTAAGTTTGCGGTGTCAATGTGAAGAGGCCTCTGGGATAGCCCTGTGGACAGCTCTGGAAGGCTCTGTGGAGCAGGCAGAGCTGTGGGAAGCAGGCGGGAGGGACAGTGTCTGATGATGGGAGCATCACAGGGAGCTCATAGAAGAGGGTCGCCTTGAGTTGGTGATTGATATAAAGATGCTGGCTTCACTGTAATTGTTAAATTATTGTCAGTGTTTCAGAGTTGAATTGCAGTTTTGCGGTTTTGCTTGTGTTACTATTATAATAGGGGGAAACCTTGTCTCTCGGTTGTCGGCTCAGATTGCATCCTCAGGGCCCCGCCTGGCTGCTCTTCACAGAGTTGATTTTGGGATCTGCAGTCACCCAGCTCTCGCCCTCTTCAGTGGCCAGTGTCAGGGCTGTACCTGGGCATTATTTGTGTGAAGATTTGACTAATGCTCGTGTCTCCCACTAGATTATGAGTCCCAAGGAGGTGGGACCTGTATCTGGTTCAGCACACATGCGTGAGTACATGCACTTATGTGCACATGCATGTGTTCCCAGCAGTAAATTGAGTGGCTTAGTGGGAACAGTGCTAATATACCGGTTAGACCTTCCGCGTGTAGGTTAGCACCGTCAGGTGTTGTTCTCAGGCAGTGGTGGTAGACCTGTGGCACGTGTGTCCCACAAGCTGTTTGTTAGCATTGAAAGCACTAAAAGATCCACCATCACTCTTCTCAGAGCTTTGTTTATTTGTGCTCTCCAGGAAGTTAATAACATGCTCAGTGTCACAAGTTAATACACAGCCCCCAAGAGGTACCTAGCCCTCCACACTTCTGTTTTACCTTTTGGACAGCTCAGCCCCCAAGAGGACAGCAGGTCTCAGGCCACACCTGGGGAACAGTGTGGCTCCAGAGGTCCCATGCAGGCTCTGCTCTCATCCTCCTTTTCTGGACTTACCGTGGGTTCATGGTTTGTTTTCATTTGTCTTGTTATGGGGCGGGTGATAATGGTCCTGCCCCCTGAGGTGCCGTGAGTCACATACTGATCCCTTCCCAGCTCATCCCCTTCTGAGTGCTGCAGATACTGTCACCCTGGGCTCAGGTGTTCATTTCCCAGCAGCAGCTGTCCTAAGGTGGGGGAGGGGCTTGCACTACTATAAATTGGGGCTAAATTTGAGTGGATGCTGGACTTCCTAGTGCCTGCTGCAGACACTACCTGCTCTCCTGCAGAGGCTTAGTGCTCTATAGCTGGCAGTATGAGTCACACGGGCGACAGAAAAGGCAGGTTTTGTGTATGACAGCTTTTTAATTGACATGATTTTGAGGAAAATGCACTTCTGTATTGACTATACTCAGGTAATTGGACAGTGCCATCATTTTAAGGAGTTCCTTCTTGTTCATTGTGGTCCTGCCTTTTCCCCACTCCACTGCTGGTTTCTGTAGAAAGGGGATCTTACAGGGTGTGGCCTTTCTGGTGGATTTCTCCTTCCAGCTGCAAAGTCCTCTGTGTGCCTTAGTTTTTCTATGTGGTTTTATTGGAGCCCAGGAACTGATAACTTAATGCCTGTTGCACATAGACCATTCTGCTGTGGCAAAGTCGAGAGTAAGACTCAGGCAGGACATGCCATACCATGCCAGACACACCCTCAGTGCCTCTGTCACTTCCGTAGGAGACACAGTCTGTCGTGCACGAAGTCACTCAGCCCCCAGGTGTCCAGCGAGGAGGAGGACTCTGATTCAACAGCTCAGCTGGGAATGTGCAATAGAGAAATCGTGCGAAGAGGGGCCCTCATTCTCTTCTGTGATTATGTTGTAAGTTTTCAGGTGCCCCAACAGAGAGAGGGGAGGCGGGCAACATGTAGACAGAGCTGCGTGGACCTCCGGAGTCCACACTGCCTGCTGTCCCACAGTCCCATCAGAACTGAAAGTGGGGGTAGTGTTTAGTCCACTCTGATGTGTGACTAGAAGTACAGTGTGACTGTCCCCTCCCAGGTTTCTCAGGGCTCCCTTGGGCCTCATTCCGCTGTAACTTAGTCAGCAAATGCCCTGGAACTGCTGCTTTTGGTTAATTTGAGGGACACTCTTGAAGGATATACGTAATTTTGAAAACAAGCTTTAGTGTGTTGATCATAGTAGGCTTCTGATTTAAATTTTTTCAAAAAGTGTTATTCATGGTTTGAATGCCATTTAAAAAACTTCCTTCTGTGGTGTTTTAAATCACAAAACTAGCATCATATGCTTAATTTAAAAAAATAAAATAAAACAAGGAAACAGAAGAAAATGAAATGTTTTGTAACTGTATTTTTCAAAGAAAACTTGCTGTTGAGCTTGCTTGGAATTAATGCTTTGTCCATGCCTGTGTCCGAGCGCATGCATCTCTCGTTGCAGACTTGGTTTGTTGTCCCATAGCAAACTGTTAAACAGTCTGAATCAGAAAAAGGGGCCAACTTCTACTAAATGTGGTCATGGAGAGTTTCTGTGGTGACAGGAATTTACTGACCTTCATTTCTTGCTTAACATTTGAAACAGTTTTTCTATCTTGTTCCATTCCAGATAATTGATTGTATAATACTTGTTTAGAAATATAAGAAAAAGAGATAGCTTCATAAATTAATACTGTCAAGTAATCCTAGATGAAAAATATTAATCATTAAGCAGATACCAAGAAATTGATCGCATTTGGATTTCTGCCTAGGAGGTTTATGAATTAAGGTGAAAAGGCATTCTGTATTTCCTTAAGTAAAATTTCTTTAATGTGCGAGGGGCTCCATCCATATTTTATTTTATTTTTGGTACTGGGGATTGAACTTGGGACCTTACGCTCGCGAGGCAGGCAGAGAACCACTGAGCTAAATCCCTGGGCCTTCCATCCATCTTTTGGATTCAGGAGTTCTGTGAAAACTTTCCCAGTTAATGTGGACTTTTCCCCACTGAACCGTCTCAGAGTGGCCAGTCTAGAGCCTGGGAGGTGCAAGAGCTGCTGCAACAGGACGTGCCCCTTTGTTCCTGCGCATACCGGTGGTGCTTCAGGCCCATCATTCAGCTCCGGGCCACTTACGTGCTCCAGCTGCCCAGGGGTCATGCCTGCTCTGTGGGCAGGCCACTCCGAGACCGCTCTGTAGAACAGAACTTATGTTCTTCTGGTCCTCTGACCTTCGGCCATTTACCTAGTCACAACCTCTGCTGCGGCACAAATGTCACTATCAGTTGTGGTTTGTGCCTCTTGGGTGCCTCCTCCTTCCTACCCTCTCTGCTGTCTCTTATGGCATTACATCTGGCCACTGCCAGATATGGATTGCATTGCATCTTTCCCAGTGTCAGAACCTCCACGACTCCGAGCACCTGACATGGCTCATTGTCAACCACATTCAGGACCTGATCAGTCTTTGCCACGAGCCTCCAGTGCAGGACTTCATCAGTGCCGTCCATAGGAATTCCGCTGCCAGTGGCCTTTTCATTCAAGCAATTCAGTCTCGTTGTGAAAACCTTTCCACTGTAAGTCTTCATTCTGCCGACTCTTACCAGTTGGTTTCCCGTGCCTTAAAAATTAAGTACTGCAATTTTCTAAGTGCTGGTGAGCCCAAGTACTCAGCTCCCATCTTCCCTCTGTGAATGTTAGCCGACCACTCTGAAGAAGACGCTGCAGTGCTTGGAAGGCATCCACCTCAGCCAGTCGGGCGCCGTGCTCACGCTCTATGTGGACAGGCTCCTGGGCACCCCGTTCCGAGCACTGGCTCGCAGGGTCGACACCCTGGCCTGTCGCCGGGTAGAAATGCTGCTGGCTGCAAACTTACAGGTACAGTAAAAACACTGGTCCTGATTTACATCAAACCTTAGCAGACAAGTATATCGTTTGCCTGTCTTTTCTTCTGCGTAGGCTGAGTCTCACTGTGGCCCCTGTTAGGAATGTGAGGGCTGTGCACAAGCGTGTCATTCATTCCATGTATGTCTGATCCAGCTGCTTCTAGTCTGCCTGTGCTCCCATAAGCTGCACACACCAGCCTCCTTTCTAAATGACTAAGGTTATTTGGTTTCCTTATATGCCTCAAACCTACTGATGTGTTCTTATCTATTTAGAGCAGCACAGCCCAGTTGCCAGTGGAAGAACTGAACAGAATCCAGGAGCACCTTCAGAGCAGTGGGCTCGCGCAGAGGTAATGCTGTGACGTGGTGGTGGTGCCCTTCAGATTGCCCAGGACATGCAGACAGACTTGTGTGGGAGCAGATTGGCAGGCTGAGAAGCAGACCTGCTTTGTAGATGGGTTTCCTGCAGAAGTACCACCCTAGAAAGGCTTCACACACAGAATAAAGAGTATCTGGTGGCCTCATATCTGCTGCAGGTGTGGAGAACACCTGCGCCCTCCTGGCTGCCCAGGAATCATAGGTGCTGCTGTTGCCTCTCACTGCTCTGGGAACAAGTGGGAATCTGAGCTATCAGCTTTTTTGTAGCAAAATCAAAATGTCCCAGTTGCTTGATAAGAGTGGTGAGTCTAAACACATTATCCAACTCTTGGAATGCAAGGATTATTTCTACATCTTGTTAAAGTTGGGTCTCTTCATAGCTGTTCAGATACCTAATTCTGTTTGAATGTCTTTGTGAAGTCTTTATCAGAAATGCTTGAATCTGTAATGTGGACATATTTCCATGGCTACAAAATAAATTAAGAGAATCTTTTGTCCTTCCCTCCACTGCCTAGAGGGAAGCGTGCATGTGAGAGAGTGTTTCTGCGATGAAGGGAGTCGTAGAGGGCCAACATTATAAATACCCTGGGCCAGACGAGGAGTCCTTTTATGAAATGATCTTCCATAATGATAGAAAGTGTATCCTTTTGGGAGAATGAATATTTTGTGCACTTGATTCTTAAAGAGATTACGTCTTTGCCAAAACGGTATTAACAATTCCTGCCTTAGCCATTATACCTTGTCTTGCCTTTTCTAATGTTTGATATAAACAAAATTTCTGGAAGATGTCAATGAGGTGTAAACTATGATGATATGAAGTAGCTGAGGCCTTGAATTTGCATCCTGACCTGCAGGAGTGCTGACGGGAAGCTTTCAGATGAGTTGCTTTGAGGAACTGCTTCTGTTCCTTCCTTGTGGCGTGTGCCTCTGCAACCTTCCTTTGCAACACAGAGATGAGGGCAAAGGCGACTGTTGCAGTTTCATCTGTGTTTGTGTTTCAGACACCAAAGGCTCTATTCCCTGCTGGACAGGTTCCGTCTTTCCACTGTGCAAGACTCGCCCAGCCCCTTGCCCCTGGTCACCTCCCACCCGATGGACGGGGATGGGCACATGTCCCTGGAGACAGTGAGCCCAGACAAAGTGAGTGTTGGGTTGGTTTGTGCGCGATGCCTGGGAGACACTGAATCCTGAGTCATCCTGTGGCATGTGGGTGTGTGCAGTGGGGCTCAGCTCGGCTTGGGTCAGCAGCAGCTCTGGTCAGTCCTAGTGAGAAAAGCTCTGCTGACACATCGGATCGGCTAGCAGGGTGTGGGTCAGGAGGCTGCAGTGTAAGGAGAAGCCCGTGCAGCCTGGTCCCCACTGCTGGGGTTGTGAGGAGTCTGTCAGGGCTTTGGGGGTGAACCCAGCCTGGCCAATGCTACGTGCATGTTTGCATACACACCTGTGCACTTGGCCCACTTCCCTGTCCCGATGCTGTCTACCTCCTGTGAATCAGTGTTGCCACTGCCACTGCCACTGCCATCAGCCCTGGATGTTGGCATCACCTTTACCACTCCCACTGTGGAGTTAGGGACCAAGTGGGTCCTGTGGAGAGATGAGTCAAGTTCTCGGGAAACCTGTAGCCTCCAGAGAGCCACGCGAGGCACACACCTCATTGAAGGTGCTTGGTGCTATGGTGTGTAGAGCTGAGCCTTGGGACTTGGATGAGTTTGGATGAACTTCCAGAAAGGCCTCGGGAGGAAGCATCTAGTGCCAGGAAGAGGCCATGGTTTGGTGAGCTGTGAGCTGAGCAGGGGCCATATTACGAAAATAAGAAGCCCTTACCTGCCTGACCGCACTCCCTTTTCTGGCTTCTTCTGCCCAGGACTGGTACATCCGCCTTGTCAGATCCCAGTGTTGGACCAGGTCAGATTCTGCACTACTGGAAGGGGCAGAACTGGTGAATCGCCTCCCCGCCGAGGACATGCGTGTCTTCATGATGAGCTCGGTAGGGGCAGTGGGACCCTTGCTGTGGCTTGTCGTACCTGAGGCAGGGACACTAATCCAGATGGAGATGCCAGGGGGCATTAATCAAGATGGGGACATCACATAGGGAGATCTGTGCTTGACAGGGACAGTGTAGGGGCAGCTCTACTCCAGATGTGGACCATACGGGGCTGGGGGGGCTACTCCAACAGGGAGCAAGTTGTTAGTCACCACATTAAACTTCAGAAGGTGAGTTTTTAACTTAACCTTTCGAGCACGAAAGAAAGCACAGTGGTCAGTGCAGCCAGTTTTTTTTTGTCCCTGTCTCACAGTAGTGAAGTGAGATGTGATATCAGTGTCACTGTGTATGAGGTCAGTAACTTTCCTGTGGCATTCTGGAAACTGATCTTCAGTAGTAAAGAGGGACCCTGCCCTTGTGTGTGGAGTGAGACTCTTTGCCCACTCACCCCCTAGGTATTAGGGCCATGCAGTAGAGCAGCCTGGAGGCTGTGCATGCATGGGTAGCCCTGTCCTAGAGTCCCTGGGCCAGTCCTGTGAAGAGTGGGTGGTCCCTCTTTGAGGTGTCCCTCAGACCAGTGAGGATGAAGAGCTGCCTGGACCTTGTCATGTCCCAGCCCTGCCTTGGGATATTCCCAGTGGGAATGAACAGGGCATGGGAGGGCGGCCCAGAGTGAGAGCCGAAGCGTGGGCTGGGTGCTTCAGTGAGCAGTGCTGGCATTCAGCTGGTCAGGAAATGCCCTCAAGAGGCAACAGAGACTCAAGGGAGCCCGCGAGAGCTGAGATTGATTTGCTGAAGTTCAGCTCTTCTTGAGCTCTGTGCAGTGGGAGCTTCTTTACTGAATAGTAAATTTGCTCACTGACCAGTTGATTGGAGTTTGCAGATGTGCTGAGTGGGCTTCGAACAGTTTCAAAGCTTCCAGCTTCTGTTTCCACAGAAACATTCATTTTGGGCACTGATGATGAAATGTGCTTTTCTGAATATTAAACTCAAATCAATGTTCTATCTGCAGAAAAAGTCCTTAAATGACTAAAAAGAACTTGATAAACACATGATACAAATTATCCAAAGAACTGCTCTTTTTCTGAGCAAAGTTTCAGCATTTAGGTGCTGCTTTGCCTTATTTTGGCTGCTTTTGCACGTCTTTCTCAAGCTGTAGTAACACTTGGTGTCATACTTATTTCTTGGATGGCACGTTAGCCTTGATGCGGTGCTTCTATCAATTAAAATTTGTCATACTAGAATTTTTACTTCAAACAGATCTAACAGCATAAAATATAAAAACATTACTTTAAAACACCTAAAGAGACCAGAAAGACATTTACTGAACAGACGTTGAATGGAATTGTTCATACATTTAAGCTGTGGCAGAAATGCTTGTGGAAGTCTTGACTGTGTCTGTCCTGTCTTGTTGAAAACTACAATCTCTGTTGTTTGAATGACCTTTACTGCTCGGACTTCAGGAGTTCAACCTAAGCCTGTTGGCCCCGTGCTTGAGCCTCAGCCTGAGTGAAGTTGCAGCTGGCCAGAAGAGCCCCCTTTTTGAAGCGGCCCGTGGGGTGACTCTGGACCGTATGACCAATATCGTTGAGCAGCTTCCTGCTGTCCATCAAGTCTTCCAACCCTTCCTGTCCACAGAGCCCACAGCCTACTGGAGCAAGCTGAATGATCTATTTGGTAATTTAAGTGAAAACTTCCTTTATTTTTAAGAAACCTATCTGGGCCATCACAATGCTTTGTACCAAGCAAACCCTCAGCACCACTGATCTAAAACATTGAAAGCATTGACGAAGTTAACTGAGAAACAGCACCGCTGTTGTTAGCTCTATATTTCTTTCTGTGTGCTTGCCACCTGGCCACTCATGCACCTAGTTGCAGCCCCTCAGGAAAGCCGCTTTAGACCTCAGTCAGTCCGAGGCTGTGCCCATGCTCCAGAGCACTGTCCAAGGTAGTCCCTTCCGTGCTCTGCTCAGGCTCTTCCAGAACTGCTTGGCCATTTTCCAAGGGGAAAGGCCTGTGCTCGGTCACAGCCAGCTATGGAGGTCTCACGTTACAGGGGATGTCACACTGTACCAGTCCCTCACCACGCTGGCCCGCGCCCTGGCACAGTACCTGGTGGTGGTGTCCAAAGTGCCTGCCCATTTGCACCTTCCTCCTGAGAAAGAGAAAGACACAGTGAAGTTTGTGGTGATGACCCTGGAGGTAAGAGCAGCTCTGCAACCCACTGTCTCTGTGACTGTCCCTCAGAGCGAGAGCCCTGAGCAGTCTTTGGCTCTTCTCCCCACCCTCACGACTGTGGGGGCCTGTTGCAGGATCCTGTCCCCCTTGGTCGCTTGGTGCCTCTCACCCCTGCACGGCAGACCTGGTGTGGATGCTAATTTTAATCATCTGGGCAATGTGTTGTGCTTTAAATTGGGCAGGAAACCAAGGCACTTGGTCCATGAGGGATGCATTGCCTTTTTCTTTACCTGCTGGAAAAAAGTCTGGCTTGGCTCCCTAGAGTGGCAGAGCTGTGCTGCCTATCCTGAGTGTGCAGCTGCCACCTCACACTGAAGAGAGGAGGGTCCCCTGCATCATCCCCAGGCACTGAAGAAGTGTCCCTGAGTCAGGTCTATCCTTAAAGGCTCAGCCCAGTGAGCAAACACAGATGTGCAGCACAGGAGTGACCGCTACCAGTCAAACCCCGTGCTTGTGCGTGCACTGTCATAGTTGGTTCCTAGGACAGCCCCATGGAGCAGGCTCTGTTCTCCTGTCACAGAGAGGCTCAGGGACTTCCCTGGTAGGAAGTAGCCAATCCAGTTATGATTCCATGTCCTGCTGTCCCCAGACCCCACATTCCCCATCTCAGCCTTGTTGCAACAGAGGCAAGCTCGAGCTGCAGAAGCCTCAGAGAATAGCCTCTGGCCAGGGACCACATGGCCTGGGAGAGGGTTCCATAGGAGGCTGGGTGCTGAAGGAGGAAGAGGCAGTGGTGGTCAGGACTGAATGTCAGGGAGCTGGAAGGGCAAGGTCATCTGGCCCCTGCCCCCATGATATGATCTTAACACAGTGGCTCCCCCTCAGCTGTGTATGGCACTGTTCCCTGGAGGACCCTGGGATGGGAAGTACAAGCAGTGGTCTCTAAAACAGTGCTTTCCTCTAGGCCCTGTCATGGCATTTGATCCATGAGCATATCCCTCTAAGTCTGGATCTCCAAGCTGGGCTGGACTGTTGCTGCCTGGCCCTGCAGCAGCCCGGTCTCTGGAGCGTGGTCTCCTCTGCTGAGTTTGTGACCCACGCCTGCTCCCTTATCCACTGTGTGCGGTTCATCCTGGAAGCTGGTAAGTTTGCGTCCCTGCTCAGCACCACTGAAAATGAGCATTGCATCTCTGTGTGGTGTTCATTGGGCCCCGATGCTCCAGGACCGCAGCTGGGACTCGGGGTGAGGAGGTGGATGAGTTGTGGGCCTTACCTTTGGAAGGCCCTGTCTCTACCTCCAGAATCTTGGCATCTATGCTAGAATTTAATCTAAATTTACTTTTCTAGTCATTTTATCTAGTCTTCCGAGTTCCAGCTTTCCAAAAAATACTCCTAGAAGTTGTATGTCTCTTGATCTCAGTCCTAGTTGACTGTTTCATGTTTTGTTGTGTTTTTGTTGTTGTTGTTTGTTGTTTTGGTTTTTTTCTCATTGAGTTTATTGGTACATTGTAGATGTACAGTATAGTTACATTCATCATTGGGATCTTGTGTCTTTAGATGACAGGTCTTGGTTCTCATTTTTTCCCCTAACTGTTGCATGTTTTTAGTCTTAAATGATTGTAAGATTATTTTCAAAAGATGGCTTGTCTTCTGTTAGAGTGGAAATGTTTCTATACTGCATTGTAATACTAATATATCGTAAAAATTAAAGTGACTCATTCTTTTCAAGTGACAGTGCTGTGTCCTCAGTGAGGGTCATTAGCCAGAATGCTTAAAAAATTGGACATTATAGTTGACATGTTAGGGCGTGTTTTGAAGTTTTGTATTTTCAAATTAGACATTATAGAGTGCTGTTTTGATGTTTCATTGTTTGAATTGTTTTCATCTGTGCATTTGTAGTCAACTTGAAAGTGAAGATCCAGGGATTAATTTTTCACTGCCAGGCTTCTTTGGGGTTATAGTGGTGCTTTTAGCAGTGATGAATCATGAACCCTGTGATAAAAACCTTGAGGGTAGAGGTAGCAGACAGGAGACTTGGAAACCTGCATGTAGCAGCACAAATCCTGCACATTCATGATTAACCAAGAGACAGGTACCCATGTCTGGTCCAGTCTGCTACTTTCTGCTTGACTGAATAGAAGGCAGTCCAGATCTCACTGACACAGCCATCCCTGTGATGCTTTACGAGGCACACAGATGTGCCGTGTGAGTAGAGAGGAATGGCAGATGTGCTTGGAGGCTCTTATCCGCTCTGCTTTGTTTCAGTTGCAGTGCATCCTGGAGACCAGCTTCTTAGTCCAGAAAGTCGGATGAGCACTCTGAGGGCCACCCAAGAGGAGGAAGTAGATGTAGACACACAAAGTAAGTCTCAGGACCCATTTTTCTTACTTGTCTTTTGGGCTTGAAATTAATTCTCAAAGGAAACTTACAAAGTGTGAAATGAGAACTCCTGAAACTGGTGTGCCTTGGCTTCCTCTGTTGCTTATCCTTGAATTGAAGAGTTGATGCCCTTGTTCCTCTGCTTCAACCCGGGCCCTGCACTCTGCCTGTCTGTGCCTCCCCCGCAACTGGCTCTCGTGTCCCCAGTGCCCTCCTTCGTCCTCGGCCTCCTCCGCCCTCTGGAGAGCATCCCTGCCTTAGCACTTTCCATGCAACTGCATTGGCTCCAAGCTCCCTGAAGGCAAGGAATATGCTTTGCTTTTCCACAGTCCCAGAATTAAAGTTTGGCCTATTGCAAATGATCAGCAAATGTTTGCTGAGAGGATGAATAAGTAGAAATACTGAAGAACTTGCAGTTAGTGGAAGTACCCACATGGTGTATCTAACCTGAGTATCTATTTCGGCCGTCTCTTTTGGTAGATTTTTAAAAGAAAATTCTTGTCTTTATACCAAAAAAGTTGAAATCACCATCATTTAAGCCTGGTCTACACTCAACCGATCGGTAGCTTTTCATGTGCTTCCTTGCTCACCTAGGGTAGCTATTTCACCGTCCCAGTGGCAGCAAGGCTGCTTGGGAGGAAACATTTTGGCTAAGTGACTCCTTGTCCTCCCGGCCAGTGGCCCCTGGGGCCTTTCAACTCTGTTAGCCGACAGGCTGCAGCCTGGCCCTGCAGAGGGGAAGTGCTCCTGCCTGTCTTATTCTGGACCACTCTTCCATGGGTCCCAGGAGTCGGGTCTATGCTGTGTGACAGGTGGAGCACCTTTGTGATCCCAGGTGCAGAAATGCCTGGTCTGGGAGGCATCTCACCATCTTTAGTCTTAGGCACAGTATTCTTTCTTATGGTCCCAGTTCAAGGTTTTCAGGTGTAAAATGGCCCCAAAGTAGTGCTAGGTCAGCACACCAAGCTCTTCTCTGGATTTCTGTTGGGAGCTCTACAATCCCTGCAGCCTGTAGATAGTGATTTTGTGATTTCTGTTGACACTTCAGGAAAACATTGACCTCCTAGGCTGTCTGTTTTCTAGCAGAGCAGCAGTTGAGGTTATTTATGCTGTGCTTCTGTAGTAAAGTAAGAAGGGCCTAAGGACAGGCAGCCCATGAAGCACCTGAGCACACCTGGAATGCACGCCAGCCTGCAGTGAGCGCTCAGGGGGTGGCTTCCCACTTGTATTTGTCATGGATTCCTTGCTCAACTGTGGCTAGACGTTTCAGAGGCCTGAGTTGGAGCAGTGGGCCCAGCGGCGGAGTGTATGAATTGGGGCTAATGTAATTGTGCCCATTCTCCACGGACTCTTCCATTCATTTGTTAAATCCTGGCCAGAAGAAGAAATTCAGTTTTTTATCATTTCCATACATAAATATTTCATAAAGATTGTCCAGTAAATATTATCAATGCCAACCTTGTTTTTCTTAGTTGGTTCAATTCCAATAAGAATTATTTTTCTAAACTAGGAAGTTGCCTAACTCTTGTGCCCAAAGCTAATACCATCTAGTAAACATTTATCAACTCAAGAAATAAGTTTTTAGTTCCACACTGGATGTGAGACTCAGAGTGAATGTGAGCAGCCCCTGCCATCCAAACCTGCCAGGTGAGCATGGTAGTTTTTACCCAGGGTTCAGAATTGCCCTCAGCACTGTGCTTTGGGGGTTCAGCCTGTGGAGCACCCTGGATTTGGGGAGATGTTAAACCAAGGGTTGCAGCATGATTCTCTGCAGTCTGGCTTAGGGAAAAATGCAGGTCCTGGGAGAGCCAGAGAAAGGCAAGGGCAGGTGATGTCCTGAAGCATGAGTGAGTCTGTGGGGCAGCATGCAGGTGTCCAGAGGTCACCGAGCCAATGCCTGCTGAGAAGGGTGAGAAGCCTGGGGACGGAGGCCAGAGCCAGGCTCAAGACTGGATGGCCTGGTTTCCGTACACGTTGTGAGGTGAAATGCAGCGCCTCCGCTGTGACCTGAGCAGCTGTTGCAGGCCATGTCTCCTGCACAGGGTGTGCAGGGCGGGGTGGGCTGGGCTGTTTTGACAGAGCCTTCTCCTGACACTTACTGGTACAGATCCCAAGTACATTACCACCGCCTGTGAGATGGTGGCAGAGATGGTGGAGTCCCTGCAGTCGGTACTGGCCTTGGGCCACAAGAGGAACAGCAGCGTGCCCACATTTCTCACAGCGGTGCTCAAGAACATTGTGATCAGCCTGGCCCGTCTACCCCTTGTCAACAGCTACACGCGAGTGCCACCCCTGGTGAGTGCTTGATCGCACTGGGCCATGCGGTGCCCGGCCGAGCAAGCCAAGGCTGATACAGAATCCACAGCTCCAGTGCCCCCTGCAGGAGCCAGAGCGTCTCGTCGTGTGCGGGATGACTGGTGTCCCTAGGTGAACTGTGCAGTGTTGTGAGGAGACATACTGAGTTTTCTAAAACGAGCTGAGGTGTTACAACATCAGATAAGATTTTTCACTCCGCCGATACGTGAGTGTTGGGTATGATTTCAAAGTAACTACACTATTCTGTTTTAGGCAAGTAATTATAGCTTCACATATTTTCCTTCAGTAGTAGTTGCCTTTAAAGATATGTACGTTTCAGCACAGCCCTTTTTTGCAGTTCCTCCTTTGAAACTTTCTTCATAAATTAGAAAGCTACTCCATCACTTCAGACTCTTCTTTTAGATAACAGGAGGAACTTAGCCTGAGGGAGGGTTGGTGGCGGCTGTTTGACCCCTCCCCAGTGAAACTGCATCAGCCCCCTGCCTGCTCTGACAACAGCTGGGGGCATTCTCAGGCAGGCCGGAAAGGGCAGCTTCTGCAGGCTGGAGGAGGGGAGCTGTTCTCACCTGGCAAAGGCTCACACCTACCACTGGGACACAGCCTCTGGTGTGTGTGCTTGATGTCCTAGGGACGCACACACTAAGGAAGGTACACTCTGGATCTGGAGGGTCATGGGTCTTGCTGTGGAGGATGAAGTTGTAGAGGCCCGTTCTGAGGGGGAGCAGCAGCCCAGCGGAGCTGGCAGTGCCCATAGCACAGAGGAGAGGATCCAAATGGTAGCCACAAGGTCTGCACGTGCGCAGTTCTTCAGGTCCTGGGGAGGGCTGTGGGAAATGGAAGGAGGAGGCCCATTCTAGAGGTTGCAGATGTGGGCTTCAGGTGGTCTCTGCAGCATCTCCGCCAAGGAGTTGGCTGTGGCTGCACCATGGATGTGCCCTGGGGGGGGGTAGCTTTCCTGTGGTGAGGTCAAGCCTCTCTGCCCTGGAACCAGCAGGCTGTGGGGATCCTGAGTGGGCTGTCAGCCTGGCACCACGGGATGTGGCCAAGCTGGCTGGGCGCCCACTGGTCCTGCTACTGGCACAGCAGTGGTTCAGCCTCTGGGGCCTTCTGTGTGCTGTACCTGTCTGAGCACTGAGGACAGAAAGCTCACAGATGTGGTTCCATTTCATGCCTGCATGCCAGGACACATGTGCTTTTGGTCTGATACATGTCTGTAGGTATGGGGTGCTGTCTGATGCCTGCCCCCCTGGCCCAGTATCTCCCACAAGGAACCTGGTCGTGCAGCCAGCCTGGTGGGGGCCAGGATGGCACCACAGAAAAGGACTTGGTCTGGAGAGCAGGTCGGCAGGAGGTCTGGAAGGTCCTAGGAAGGGTTTGGAGCCCTCCCAGAAGGGGAAGCCAGGTAGCAGCAAGGGCGACTGGCTCAGCGGGGCCCTGGCTGAAGAAGTGGCCTCTCTTGATTTTCTCATGGTACACTGTTCTGACCCCATGCAGGTGACCTGCTCTCCTTTCTTCTCAGGTGTGGAAACTCGGGTGGTCCCCCAAGCCAGGAGGGGACTTCGGCACTGTGTTCCCTGAGATTCCCGTGGAGTTCCTGCAGGAAAAGGAAGTCTTCAAGGAGTTCATCTACCGCATCAACACTCTAGGTACTGGGGGGGCTCCCTCAGGTACCGGACACTGCTGTGCTGTGTGGAGCAGGCAGATTGTCCTGGACACCTTGACTCTACCTGCAGGCGTCCACAGGCTTTGTGTGTGTTTTGACCTAGAAGGTTCCAGCAATAGACACCTTGCTCAGCTTCCTCCTCATGCAGCTAGGTGGTCCATCCCCCTTCCTGAGCAGCCAGCTCTCTCAAGGGGCTTCCTTCTTCCTGCCCCTGCCATGGCCTGGTGCAGCTCTGTCCTCCCGAGTTGTCCTCTGGCCTGCCTGGTGCAGGCTGCTGCTTATACTTTTTCCCAGAGCCTGCCACTCGCACTCCTGAGTTTGTCTTCCTTCCGTGAATTGTCAGTGTCTCTCTACTGTGTCTCCGTCGGTCTCTCTCCATACCTGTTCTGACCAGGAGGGCCTGGAGTTTGACACTCTGATTTTCCTCCTCTTCCCTACTTCCTGGCACTTGTGGCTTTCAGGTGAGTGCCCTGACTGTCTCAGGTCATGGTGGGACACTCAGCACAAGCCCTGCAAACAGCTGTGTGCCAGACTTCGCGCTGAAGGTGGCTCCCCGGAGAGACCAGAGGACGGCTTCTCGAGTGGGCTGCGCTGAGCACTGGCTGTGCCTGCTGGCATCCCATGCTGCGACCTGTCCTATGATGTGACGAAAGAGACAGCAGCATGAGCTTCTCATCTTAATAGTGTCACTGAAAAACAGTTCTTTCTGTCCCTGAGCCCTGCAATAGCAGCGGTCTGGGGGCGACTCTGACCACTAACTGAGCATGCTCGTCCTTCTACTGCCCCATGGCAGGAGGTGGAGAGGTCGCCTGGGCTGAGGGGGGCGAACTTCTGTGTACCCTGGTGTCCTCGTTAATAAGATGGAGGGAATCCCTTCCCTCCCTCCGAGAACCATCCTGAGGGTTGAAAAGGAGTATCTGTGAGTGGCACCCTTGGTACAGTGCCTGTCGGGGCCATGTCGCTGTGACGCCCACAGGTTGGAGAAGTGGGTCTAACAGGAGACTTTGCATTCCAGGGTGGACCAGTCGTACCCAGTTTGAGGAAACTTGGGCCACCCTACTTGGTGTCCTGGTGACCCAGCCTCTTGTGATGGAGCAGGAAGAGAGCCCACCTGAGGTAAGGTGGCCGTGACACAAGCATGCTGACCAGAAGCTCACTTCTGGGCACTCATTAATTCCTGGCAGTTGACAAAAAGAAGGCAGCAGGCGTTTTTTTGTTTTTTTTTGTTTTGGTGCTATGGTCTGAACTCGGGACCTTGCACTTGTGAGGCAGGCGGTGTAACCACTGAGCTAAATCCCTGGCCCTGGCAAGCATTCTTTAAAAAGGAGCCTCACTAGATGTGCTGCTCTATACCTGTAATCCTAGCCACTTGAGACGTTGAGGCAGGATAGCAAGCTCAAGGCTAGCTCCGTGACTTATCAAGACTATCTGAAAATAAAATTTGTAAAAGGCTGGGAATGAATCTTAATACTCTCAGGGTTTAATCCTCAGTGCCACCAAAAACAAAAAACAAAGCAAAACCCTGAAAGATTGTGTCTTGCCTGGTGTCCACAGTATGGCCCGACCTCCCTAAGGTCTGCAGTCTGAGGCAGCCGTGGTTGGGTGTTTGATTACGGTGCATTCCACCTTCAGGGTCAGTAAGGTTGTAATCCCTCTTGAAAATATGTTAGCATTTATTTTTCAGTATCCAGGCAAGTATGGGTTGAATTAAAATGAAAAGGCAAATTAATCTAGGCCATACACGTGGACGCGGATTCTTCTTTTAACTGCTTTGCAGAGGTTTATTCTGCTTCTGGGAGTGTTAATGTGCATTACGTTCATATGGCAGAAATAACAACCGTGTTCCTGTGAAGCAGAGCCTGGGGTATTAGAAGTGTGGGGCAAGAGTCCTCAGTTCTAGCAGATGGCCTGGTGGGAATGTCTAGACATGACAGTTCAGAGGGTGGGCATGTGTCTCAAATCATCATGATATCTTTAAATCCGCCTGCAGATGCAGGGGGTTGTCATGTGCAATGCCCTTTAAAACGAGGCACTTTAAGGACGGTCCTTACAGTGTCTGTACTTGGAGTCTCATGCCCTTCAAAGACCTTGCTTTGCCTATCAGATTCATTCTAGAAACAGATATGTGGAGAGGCCGCTTGTGCTGGAGGTCCTTGGGCAGATAGTTGGCCCTGGTGGAAGCTGTGTCCCTCTGTGGTACTTGGGACTCTTCACCTTCCTCCCTCTGGGGCCGTGGGACCTGCAGGCTATTTGTGAGGTGGTGGCAGATCTGGCCGTGGCTGTCTCATCGTGTCATCCATGTGTGACCTGTCCTTCCAGGAAGACACAGAGAGGACCCAGATCCATGTGCTAGCTGTGCAGGCCATCACCTCCCTGGTGCTCAGTGCTATGACTGTGCCTGTTGCTGGCAACCCAGCAGTGAGCTGTCTGGAGCAGCAGCCCCGGAACAAGCCCCTCAAAGCTCTGGATACCAGGTTGGCCTGAGTGCTTGGGTATGCTGTGTCCCACCAGGGGGACAGTGAGGTGCCCTTCCCTGCCCCAGGAGCCAGCAGCTTCCCCCAGCCACAGAGGTGCAGATCCAAAAGTGATTCCATGACAGTGAGAAGTTGAAACTTCTGGCCTCAAATTGCATGGGGGTCACTGGGTGTCTGGGGACTCTGATAGGGCAGGCGTGACTGACTTCGATAGTGACTCTGCTGTCAAACAGGTCAGGTCCTATAGGCACAGCAGAGAGCAAGCTGGTGGTTTCTGCTGTAAGATGTTGAAGGAAGCAAAATGTTCTTTTCTTCCGTTCTGCACTTTAGGTTTGGGAGGAAATTGAGCATGATCAGAGGGATTGTAGAGCAGGAGATTCAGGCGATGGTTTCCAAGAGGGAGAATATTGCCACCCATCACTCATACCAGGCGTGGGATCCCGTCCCTTCTCTGTCGCCCGCCACTACAGGTATGAAGGAGGGGCTGCAATGAACGCGTCACTGCTGCCCTCAACACACTACAAGGCAGGAGGTCCCACCAAGATGCGTGCAGGGCTGTGTGCTCTGGAAGGGCCAGCGTGCCCAGGATGGTCTAGTGTTTTTTGTTCTTGTTGTTTATTAGTTTTTTGGGGTACTGGGTATCCAACTCAGAACCTTATGGTGGTGCCACTAAGCTGAATCTCCGGCCCCAGTATGGTGTTGAGGAAGTGAAGTCTGCAAATGAACATGAAGCCTCCTATCTTGGGAGTCTTGTCGAGGAAGCCAGTCCGAGGGTCTCTCAAGGCAGCCACGGGATGCAGTCTGGCTGGCGGCTCACATTACAACATCGTGTGTCTAACTGATCTGGAGCTCTGGTTCTCCTGAGAAATCCGGCCTACGGGAGCATGCATTCTTGGGTGGCCCTAGCCTGCCCCTCTACAGGCGCTGGAGCTCATCGCTCTGGCTTAAAAGAAGGGAGTGCTGTCAGTCACTCCTTCATAATGCACGTGTTTTAGGTCGCCAATCCCCGCATTTTTAAAATCTTGGTGGTGCTGCGTTTAAGCATCTCAGGGGCTTTATTTGGAAAAGGGTCTACATGGAAGTGTGGTGTGTTTCATGTGCAGAGGTTTCCTGGGACATTGACCTGAACGGTGCTGTGAACATGGGTGCCCTTGGATTTGGCTCTCGAGGAGCCTGTGGCATAGGGAGCAGGTCTGGGAGGGACACGGGCAGATGACTCAGGAGTGCTTCCCGGAGGGTGGCGACAGGCCCTCTGGCACAGGGTTCATCAGCGAGGTGGATCCTGTCTGTGGGAAAAAGTGATGGTGCTGTTCGGCCATGAGCCCTGCCAGCGTCACACAACCTGAGGCCTGCAGGCCCTGCGCAGTGGGCAACCTGCCCGAGGAGCGGAGATGTGGGGCCCTTTTCCAGAGGGAATGGGCCACGGCAGGTGTGTGCAGAGGGCGCTCATGGGGAATTGCTTCACAGGTGCACTCATCAGTCATGACAGGCTGTTGCTGCAGATCAACCCCGAGCGGGAACTGGGCAACATGAGCTACCAGCTGGGCCAGGTGAGCATGCGGCTCCCTCCAGGAGAGAGGACTGATGCCTTCCTGCCTCCCACCTGTTCCTCCCTCCTTTCTGTCTTTCTCCTTTCCTGATACTGGGGATGGAACTCAGGACATCATGCATGCTAAGCAAGCACTTTACCAGTGAGCTACATCCACAGGCTGCCCTCAAACTGATGATCTTCCTGCCTCAGCCTCCTGAGTAGCTGCACTGTAGATGTGTGTCACTATTGCCCAGCCTAAGTGGACTTCTAAAGGAACTTTTACTTTGTTTCTATTTACAATCTCTATTCCCAAAAGATTTTAAGGTTATGTACATGAAATTATGTAGACCTCGTGGATGGCATGTGTGAGACAGGTGAGAGCCTCTGCCAGCTGCTGTCTCCTCCCACCCGCCCCTGCTGCCCTCCACCTCCTGGCTCAGGGCTTCACTAACACCCTCGGGGTTTCTCTGTTTTCTCTGTGGCTCAGTCAGGTGAGGCCCATGGGCCGGGGCTGCATGTGCAGAAAGCCAGCCTTGAAGAAAACTCCCTCGTGCGGGTTCCCTGCTTTCGGTGATGGGATTCAGAGGTCATGTAGGAGTCGTGTCACCTCTTTCTGCCCTTCAGCTGCATTCCAGGTCTTGGGCCTGAGGATGAAGCTGTCCAGTGGCATCCGCCCATCACTGCTGGTTCTGACAGCTTGTGGGAGGCTGTTCCCAGGCGGGTGTGCTCCGTCCAGCCTAGGTCATCCCTGCCCTCCAGTGCCCAGGTGCCAAGCTGTGAGTCCTGTTTCTGGGGCAGGTGTCCATTCACTCCATGTGGCTGGGGAACAACATCACGCCCCTGAGAGAGGAGGAGTGGGATGAGGAAGAGGAGGAGGAGGCTGACGTCCCTGCACCTGCATCCCCACCCGTGTCTCCAGTCAACTCCAGGTATGCAGTGGCCTCTGTGAGTATTTGTTTTTTCCTTTAGTTCTGGGGATTGAATCCAGGCCCTTCACGCTGAGCTGTATCCCCAGACCTTTTTCTCCTTATTTTGAAACCGTCTCACTAAATTTCCCAGGAGAGCCTTAAACTTGGGATCCTCCTGGGATCCTCCTACCTCAGCCTCTCAGAGTGCTGGGGTTTCAAGCATGCACCACTATGCCTGGCTTGGCCTCATTGTTTGAAACAATTTGATATGTCCCCGTTTGATTTGTTTGGGATGTCTCCTGAACTGACCTTCTCGCCTCCATGTGGAAAACTACCCATGTCTTGTGCTGTGCAGGAAACACCGGGCTGGAGTCGACATCCACTCCTGTTCACAGTTTCTGCTTGAGTTGTACAGCCGCTGGGTCCTGCCCTCCAGCTCGGCCAGAAGGACCCCGGTCATCCTGATCAGTGAAGTGGTTCGCTCTGTACGTGTCCTTCCCCGTTACCCTCTCACGGGAGCATGCTCTGTGCAGCCTAGCCTCATGTCCCGCATGTGTGTGCCAGACATGCACCATCTCCACACTCCCCACAAGCACACGGCACACACTGCCCCGCATTCCCCCTGTGTGTACTAGACACGTAGCAGACAGATGCTGCTCATACGCACCCTCGGAACCCAGTGGGACCCTCACAGATGCCCAGGACGGCACCCTAGCATCTGTGGAACTGCTGAGGGGAGAGTTCCCACTTCTCATCCGGAGCAACAGAGGCCCTGCGCAGTGCAGGAGACTGTGGAGAGCCCCGAGGCTCATCCTTCTGGTCTGTCTCCTCCAGAGCTGTGGCAAACAGTCCTGCCAGGCCCCTGTGAGAAGCACCAGGTCATGCAGCTGTCCCAGAGGAGGGTCTAGGACTTCATTCTGCAGCTAATGCAGGCCCCAAGGCCTCCATCAATATTCACAGGGTTTCAAGTGAAGACTGAGAAGCTTTGCAAAGTAAACACATAGTGCACTGTGATGTAGCAATAGCTTTTGTAAGAGATTATCTTTTTCGATCCCCGGTACCAAAAAAAAAAAAAAGAGATTATCTTTTAAAATTAGAGTTTTATCTTCCACATTTACAAACATAATTCGCAGGTGTCTGTTTTCGTAGGCATTTGGTCTGTTAGCATTGAGCAGCCTCTAGGAAATCCCTCTGTACATTTGGGAGAGAGTGAGGCGGAAAGGCCAGCACCACGTTAGTATTGTTATGGAAGGGCTGGGGTAGCTGGCTCCCTGGGACCCCTTGAGGATGCTGGTTTAGACTCCAGCCCTGCCCTGGCACCTGGACAGGCCGGGCCCAGGCTGCTGCTCACTCCTGCGGAGCAGCCAGTGCCCATGGTCAGGTGTGAGGAGAAGAGCTGAGCTCCAAGAGGAACGCGTGGAGCAGAGAGGAGATGCCAGGACCTTTGTTCCGGAAGCAGTGATAGCTCATCTCTCTTTTCAGAGCCTGTCCCCACAGTGCAGGCAGGGCCCAGGGTTTGGAGTGTAGCAGAGGTAGTGCCTCTCGCTTGGCTGCTGTGGGCAGGCATCCCCACAGACTCACAAGACCTCCAGGGCCGGTTTTCTGCCCTCTGGTTAAGGCTTCCAGGTTGGCGTTGACATCTTTCCCAGTCAGGGCTCCTGTGAGCTCTCATCCCTCGTTCTGGAGGATGTTAGAACCAGCCGTGCCCCAGTGGGCTCAGGGTCACATTCCTCACAGCCTGGCTCTCCCACTTCCTGTTCCCATCTTCCGTGTGTGCAGCTTCTCGTCGTCTCAGATTTGTTCACCGAACGAAACCAATTTGAGATGATGTATTCAACGCTGATGGAACTGCGGCGGGTGCACCCTTCGGAAGACGAAATTCTTGTCCAGTACCTGGTGCCAGCCACCTGTAAGGCGGCTGCTGTCCTTGGAATGGTAAGTGAGAGGCAGTGTGGAGCACATGTGAGGCTCAGCTGGAGAGGACTCGGCTCCTGCGGGGCCATCCTCAGGGTGCGTGACGTGCTGTGAGGCTCCTGTAGCCATTGGTTATGTCATTACAGTTGACTGAGCTGACTGTCCCCGGATGGCCCAGGAATGGCACCAATGGTGGGAACATAACTGTCCTCTCCATTCTGCCTGCGGCCCAGCAGCCCCACTGTCCTTTGATGTGGCCTGGGTCCCCTGCTTCTCAGCCAGCAGTCTCCGCTAGAGATTGTTGTCACAGTAACCCTGCTTCCCCTCCTGCAGTCTGCACTGGAGTCGTTTGTGCTGTCTTGGGAAACACCTTAGACTCGGTGACTCGGGAACAAGTTCACGTCTCACGTTCTGAGGCTAGCAAGTCAGAGCAGGGCGCTGGTGGGATCCACGCCTGGGGAGGGCCGCTGTGCGCTGACGGGAGACTAGCAAGAGCCCTTGGGCAGTGTGACAAGGTCACTGACCCTTTGGTCAGAGGGGGCTCCTGAAGAGTCCCCTTTCCCTGCTGCTGGTTCATCAGTTTGCACCTGTCCTGGCACACGTCACCTGCCCTGGCAGCCACTGGGGTGTACCTTGCTACCCGCCCCTTACTGGAGTGTTGCATAGGGTATTGGCATTGCCATCAGAGAAGAATGACCCCAACTGTTGGGATGGGTGTCCATTTGCTCTGTCACACAGCGTGCCCCATAGTGGTAATGTTTCTGACTCGCGCCTCCTCCTGACCCGTTTTTATGATAGCAGTAGGAACTCAGGGGACACAGGAGAGGCTGCCTGCCATGTGCCAGGCATTTGGGCCACCAACAGTAGTGTCATGGAGAACCTGCGGGGTGCCCCTCCACATGCCAGTAGCAGTGGTCACATTGCCACAGTGTAGCTCTACTGAGCTGTCCCTCCTGTATCCTGTCCAACTTCATCCACAGCCTGACACACTGACAGGACATGCAGGCCTGGCTCTCACCTTCCCTGCCACTCCCCACAGAATCTTTCATCACAGAGCCGAGGCAAGAGTCGAAAGCATCTGTCATGGGTAGCCCGAGCCTGGGCCCCATGGGTGACTGAGCCATCCAGAGCACAGGAACAGTGAGCTTGTTGGTTCCCCTTGTGTGGAAAGTCTTCAAAGAGGTGCCCTCTGGGTGCTGCCAGGATGGTGCCGAGCAGCCCGATTTGTGGGAGGCCCTCTTCTCCACGGGGGGTTCAGCATTTGGCCTGCTGTGGTTTGTGCCCAGGCTCAAATCCCCCAGGCAAATGTCTGTCAGATACAGTGAGTAAGGAATAATAGCTTTATAAACAGATCCTATGTCAGGCTGGTAGATGGGCCCCACTCCCTGTTTGTGCCCCTGAGTGTTCCTGAAGACAACGGGCTACAGTGTGGCTTCTGCTCCTGTGTGGCTGCAGAGTGTCCTGTGCCCAAATGTGCCACCGTCTTTACCCTCTGTTGTCCTTGGCAGAGATCCCGGCATTGTACTTGCAGAATTAGCCTGGAGGCTGGATTGGGGGGCATTCCTCAGGAAGGTACCACACAGCCCCCTGGGTGCCTGTGGGGACAACATGTGGAGGGACAAGAAGGACGTGATTGGCAAGGAGACCAGGGGATATAGCTCCCTCAGAGCAAGGGCCGATGGCCTCTGATTGCTTTTGTGAGACCAGATGGCCCCCGAGGGGCTGAGCACAGCCCTGCTGGTTGCAGAGAAGTGGGCCGGCACGTGAGCTAGCCATCCACCTCAGTCAACTTGGGTCTGTGCTTGTGCTCAGGACAAGGCCGTGGCAGAGCCGGTGAGCCGTCTGCTGGAGAGCACCCTCAGGAGCAGCCACCTGCCCAGCCAGATCGGAGCCCTGCATGGCATCCTGTACGTGCTGGAGTGTGACCTGCTGGACGATACTGCGAAGCAGCTCATCCCGGTCATCAGTGACTACCTCTTGTCCAGCCTCAAGGGGGCGGCCCAGTGAGTGGGCTGGGGCAGTCTGAGCGGGCCGACATGCGCACAGCAAGTCGCTGGCCTGGTAGGAGGTGGGGACCCAGGTGGACTCCCTTGTTGAGGTGGTGGCGGAGGCCAGTGAGGCACAAGGACATAGAGGCGTGTGGAAGCTTTCCTGGAGGTGCGCAGTAGGGTGGGGGTCCTGCCTCCGCATTCTTCCCCCAGGCAGCTGCTGTTCACTCGCTCTCTGCCAGGCTCGGCCACTCCGCAGCTGCCCTGCCCCATGCCTGTGTCCCCCAAGGTCCCCCCTTCCTGCTCTCATCTCAGCCGTGCTCTCCGTAAAGCAGCTCGGCACACAGCTCTGCACAGCTTTTCGCTAGAGCTGGTTAGAAGGCAGGAGGAGCTCACACAGGGTCTCTTGTGAGTGTAGGCGCCCTGGCTTCACCTCTGCACTCCTGTACCCAGAGGCTGCCAGTTGCCTCTGAGTCCTGGCTGCCACACACAGAGCAGTCTTTCACGCTCGCCATCTGGAGAGTCAGAGTCCGTCGAGCCTAGTTAGGAGTGGAGCCGAGGAGGCAGCAGGATGGGAGGGCGGGGGCGAGCCTGGGTGCCATGGGGGAGGCATGTTCCCACAGGTCAGCTGTGTCAGCGGGCATGCGCTATGGCGAGGCAGAAGTGGGGAAGGTGACACAGACCTGTAGGGAGGCTCTTGCTCTTTGTCCACACTGGATGTGGCTTCGGGTGAACAGGACAGCCAGACTGCTGGCCGCTGTCCCCCAGAGCATGGCCCGGAGCAGTTGCATGCAAGGCTGCAGGCACTGGGGACTAGGAGGGGCTGGGGACTAGGCAGTGTCTGGGTGGAAAGGTGAGCAGAGGCGGGGCCTGGGGGTGCTGGGGAGCCTCGCGCGGGTTCACCTGCTGGATGGAGGTGGTGGTGGTACTGTGTTGGTTCCTCTGTCCGCGGTAGCCCTCGCCCAGCACAGGCCAGCCAGGGACCCCACAGTCCAGGATTTGCAAGTATGGGAGCGGGTGGGCTGCACAGGATGTGGCGTGGGAGAGATGTCATCGAGAGGTCCAGGTGTGTGACTGGAGAGGACGTGGTCTGTGGCTCATGGAGGGGCTGGGCCCTGGGAAGTGTCCCTCCATCCCCCTGCAGAGGGAGAGGCCACAGTGCACTGAGCTTGGCGGTCTCCCACTTTCAGCTGCGTGAATGTGCACAGCCAGCAGCACGTGCTGGTGATGTGTGCCACCGCTTTCTATCTCATCGAGAACTACCCCCTGGACGTGGGCCCTGAGTTTTCAGCATCAATCATACAGGTGAGTAGGCCCTGGCTGGGCTTCCTTGCAGGGTCCCCTAGGCGGGCTGTTGATTCGGGGGAAGGTGGGAACTGACCTGTCTTCGTGCCCAGATGTGTGGGGTGATGCTGTCTGGCAGTGAGGAGTCCACTCCCTCTGTCATCTACCACTGCGCGCTCCGAGGCCTGGAGCGCCTCCTGCTCTCTGAGCAGCTCTCCCGGCTGGACACAGAGTCCCTCGTCAAGCTGAGTGTGGACAGAGTGAACGTGCACAGCCCGCACCGGGCCATGGCCGCCCTGGGTCTGATGCTCACCTGCATGTACACAGGTGAGCAGTTGTGAGGGCTCTCCACTCACACAGGCTGCTGATCAGCTGTATGCACGGCTGTTTCTGTCCAGCCCCCTAAAGGTCCCTTGATATGGGACCTGAGCCAACCCATCACGTGGTGAGGTTCTGGAGTCCAGGGCAGGGGCATGGCCAAGGTGGCTTCACAATGCATAGGTGTCAGATCCCCTACAATTCCTGGGGCCCAACAGTGTGGGTCCCGCAGGGTCTTGGCTGGCCTGGGGCTCAGTCAACTGCTTCCAGGCCCTCACCGGAGCTCTGTTGCATTCCTGTGCACAGAGCTCCATCTGCAGAGACATTTGGATTTCAGTCATGTAACCCTCTGGCACGGCTGTTTCAGGAAAGGAGAAAGCCAGTCCAGGCAGAGCTTCAGACCCTAACCCTGCAGCCCCAGACAGCGAGTCCGTGATTGTTGCCATGGAGCGGGTGTCTGTTCTCTTCGATCGGTGAGAATTGCAATCTGTCCTGTGGCCGGTTCCTGCCCTCGAGCTGGTCTAGCACAGTGGCCATCATGCATGTCCGTGTGGCCCTGGCTGTGTCCTGCCATCTTCCCCACCACACCCTGGTCCTGCTTGGCCCCACATGAGGGTGGTATTGACTGCCACCGAGCCAGCCCCGCTGCTTCCTTCTCTCCCGAAGTCCTGGGGAGTGGCCTGGGGATTTCAGCAGTCAGTGGTAGGTAGACATGCCCTTCGCCGTGGTGCCTTCCGTGAGCCAGCAGCCTGGTGGAAGTGGGTCCTTCTCACCCTGCTGTGCTGAGGAAGGGCAAACACGGCACTCGAGAGCTCCGTGGGAACGGCCCGGGAAGACTGAGGCTGAGACACTGTCTTGGAGAGCCGTGACAGGGTGTGGCTCTGCCTGCCAGTTGTGAAGAATGTCCACTTCTTGAGGATGAGGCCCATGCTTCCCCTAAGGCCGTCTGGTCCCAGAAACACAACAGGTCTTTGTCCTGTCATGCTTCTGTGCCTCTGGTGGCCGTGCAGTCTAGCCAGTGAGGAGCAACCTGGCTATCTCTGGAGCACACTCAGGGACCTGGCCTGTGTCCTCCAGCTTGGGGGTGGGGGTGGCGCTCTGCACAGCTGACTGTTTCCACACTGAGCTGGAGAGTGAGCTTTGCAGCCGCCCTCCTGCCTTCCAGTCGGTTCACAGAGCAGCCCCTACAGTCAGGCTCAGAGCCAGCTGGAGGTCCACGTGGGGTGCCACAGACGAGCCCCTGCCCTCATAGAGTGGAGGACGGGGCTGTCTGTGAGCTCAAGTGTCCAGCTGGCTGCTGTGCAGTGGACAGGGAGGTTCGGGCTGACAGGCAGGGAGACTCTCAGTGGAGCCCTTCTAGGCAGCAGGCAGACCAGCTGGGCACGTGCAGAAGCCTTTGCCAACCTCTGGGCCATTTCCCACATCTGACATGCACCAAGGTCTTGGGCACAAGTAGGGAAGTTATAAGTCACTGTCTCCCAGCATCAAGAAGGACACTGCAGAGGCTGAATTTTAAGGTCTGTTGGGAGATGAATCTCCAAGAGCACAGATGGGGTCCAGGTGTAAGGGGAAAGAAATCCTGCTTGACGGTAGCAAGTTAGATTAGTGGTGTGGAAAATTCCATGGAGTTTCTGGACAAGGAGCAGTCCCCACTGCACATGTTCCTGCTTGTTCCTCTACCTGGCCTGTGCTCCCTGTGCACCACCTGCCCATACCTGTGCACAGCACGCTTGTCCGTACCCCAGGAGGGGAACAGCTGGAGAGCGAGGTTTTGCCTTTCTGCTCAGAGTCCATAACCTAGCCACGACCTGTGCCCCACTTGGAATGGCCCTGCGGTTGCCTCGCTCTCCACCCTGCTCCATGGCAGCACTCCCAGCAGGGAGGGTCAGCGAGCCGCAGGCAGGTGGGGTTCTGATCTGCTCCTCTCCCTCCAGGATCAGGAAGGGCTTCCCCTGTGAGGCCCGGGTGGTGGCGAGGATCCTGCCACAGTTCCTGGATGACTTCTTCCCACCCCAAGACGTGATGAACAAGGTCATTGGAGAGTTCCTGTCCAACCAGCAGCCGTACCCACAGTTCATGGCCACCGTCGTGTACAAGGTGAGGGTCTGTGGCGTGGAGCCAGGGCCTCGGGCCGAGGTGGGCTCTACCCAGGCTTCAGTGGATCCACCACTAGGGTGCTGCACTCCTTCCAGGTGTTCCAGACTCTGCACAGCGCGGGACAGTCGTCCATGGTCCGGGACTGGGTCATGCTGTCCCTGTCCAACTTCACGCAGAGGACCCCAGTTGCCATGGCCATGTGGAGCCTCTCCTGCTTCTTTGTCAGCGCGTCCACCAGCCCCTGGGTGTCAGCCATGTATCCTTCCTGGGCCCTCACTTGAGGCTGGTTCCCTTGCCACCAGTCCTCACTGCTCTGTTGGTGTCTAGGTTCTGCTGGCAGTGAAGGCTTGGAAACCTACGCTTTGCAAAGTCCCATGAGGTTTGGGGCGCTGTTTCCCAGCTCCAGGGGTGTAAGTGGTTGACAGGGACGCAGAGCAGGAGGCCAAGCCATTTGCTGGCACGGCTGCCTGAGCCAGGGTGTGGAAGGAGCAGCTGGGCTGGTGGCGGCGTGGAGGGCGGTGGCTGCCCTCTGCTGGGTCTGCCGGTGCTGCTTCTCATTAGCTCTTGTCATTGTGCCTATGCTTGCCCTCCTGGGGAGGGGCGTGAGCCAAGCCCCAGCCCTACCCGCCAGCATTGCTGGCCAGGAGTTCCCTTCTTGGCGGCTTCGCCAGACAGACCGAAGGAGCCTCCCTCTGAGCTGTGCGGCTCTGCTGTGCTCACAGCACACCCGGGGAGCCGGGCGTCTGGGCCGCCGGGCGGCTCTGCCCTCCCTGCACCGAGCAGCCAGCTAGGTAAGTGCCGTGGCACAGACTGCTCGGAGCAGCTGGTCGAGGGCGCACCCCGCCATGTGGGGCAGAGCCAGCTTGTCACTGACAGATGGTGGCAGGTGGCCACTGCTGTAGGTGCTGTCCAGGCTGCCCTCTGGTGCCCTGGGCACCTGGCCTCCCTGGACTGTAGGCTGGGTGGGAGGAAAGGCCGTTTTCCCTGCCTTGCTGGTGTTCTCCTTGACCCCTCTGCCAGCCTTCCACATGTCATCAGCCGGATGGGCAAGCTGGAGCAGGTGGACGTGAACCTTTTCTGCCTGGTCGCCACAGACTTCTACAGACACCAGATAGAGGAGGAGCTCGATCGCAGGGCCTTCCAGTCTGTGTTTGAGGTGGTCGCGGCACCTGGAAGCCCTTACCACCAGCTGCTAACTTGTTTGAGAAACATCCACAAGGTCACTACTTGCTGAGTGTCCATAGCAGGCTTGGAGGAAGTGGCCACTGGGGCCAGAACCTTTGGGAGCCTGAGTGAGCCCTGTCTCTGCCAGGGCTGCCTGGGTTACTGTGGGCTTCCATTTGTGTCGCGTGAGGTGGCCAGGTGTGTGTCCATCTCTGCCCAATGACAGAAGTGCTTTTTGCAGCAAGGGCTGTGCAGGGAGCACACAGCAGATTGGGGTTAAGCCTGAGTCCTGTGCTGGCAGCCATGCAGTTGACAGGTGTCCCTCCTGGGATTTACCTGTCCATGTAGCGGGGTTGCAGGGGCCCTGTGTCCAGCGCAGGAGCCCTTGCTCTTGCAGGTGGTCCTGGCCTCCCTGTTGCAGGCAGGCATCCTGCCAATGGGCTGCAGAGCTCTTCTTGCGTCTCCCCAGTGGAGTACGCGCCTGCCACATCCGTGTCTGGCTGTGTTGTATGGCGAGTCAGGCCAGGAGGCCCTAGATGCCCGCACCAGTCTCCCTTTCTGTTTTCTTCTCAGGACGTAAAGTTTAATTATATCAGTAAAGAAATTAATTTTAATGTAACGCTTCCCATGCCCGCGTACAGTGTGTGACTCGCTAGGCCTGTGCTGCATGCGACAGTGTCCGTGGACATGGACAGGTCCTCTGGCAGCCACTCCCCTCCTGCGGCCCCTGCACTGCGCACATCTCCCTTTCCCTTGTGCTCCTGTGAAGGTAGGGTAGAGAGGTGTTGGTGTCCAGCCTGGCTCTGAGGACAGAGGGGCTTCTCTCCACCGTGTGCTCATGGTCACTCACAGAGGCCTGGCGAGCTCCTCGCCCCTTCCCAGCCGGGACTGTAGTCTGTGCAGCAGCCGACTGCCCAGCGTTAGGTGCACTATCCTCTTACCATGTGTGCACGGCAGAGTCCTGCTGGGTGCCTGGCTGCAGCCCCCTGGCATCACTCAGCTGTGTCTCGTCCGAGCTCCTTATGGTGTCTTGGCGACTGTTGAGGGTGAACCCCAACACCTCTTCTGCCCCTTTCTGATTGTCACACGCACACCTCCCTCAGCCCGGGAGCGTGCAGATCTGTGTCCGTCAGAGTGCGGGGTGAGGCTCCATCTGGTCGTATGGCGATGAAATGGTGAGGAGGGGAGGGCCTGTGGCTGGTCACCTGCGGCCTGGAGTAAGCTCTGCTCCTGCCCCAGGCCTTGGCTCCCTCCCTGGGCTCGCTTCTGGTTTCCGGGCCCAGACGGGGCCTGATGGTTTAAATGGAAGCGAGCTTGGACAGCAGGGCTCCCTCGATGCACTGCCTTGGTGTGAGCACTGCTTGCTGTGTGGCTGGGCCTGTGCTCTGCCCCCTGCCCCCCAAGCAGGCTCAGCTGGCCAGGTGACTGCAGTGCTGGTTGGTGGGGTCATGACATTGATGTCCCGGTCGCACATGGTCCGTGGGGAGTACTTGGAGCTGTTTCCAGTGCACCGAGGCAGAGAGCTCTTCTGGTTTGTCACTTTAGCTGGCTGCGTGTCTTTCTGCAGTGCTGCCTGACACCTCAACCTCTCCTGCTGTGGGTACAGGGTTGCCTTCGGAGTGTCCCTCATGGCTAGCGTGAGGCTTTTCCTGCCAGCCCCAGCAGAGGCCTCCACAAGCCAAGACCAACTCTCCTTGGTAGTCAGCAGCTCAGACAGTAGAAGTGGATCCACTTTGGGGAAGGCTGGGGAAACAACTGGATTTTAACAAGAAGTAAGAAAGTTAGCGGTTCTCTCTTAGTGATTTGGGGCTCCCATTCTCATCCCGACTCTCCCGTAGAAAGCCGCTGGCAGTTTGTGGGGCTGTGGGAAATTCTGCCTCCCCGTCCCCAGCTTGTCCCAGCAGCCCTGAGGCAGATGTGTTGCGGGCCGGACTTTGTTCCTGGCTGGATGTTTACATTTGTAAGAACACTGTGAATGTGAAATTTGGAGCCATTCCCCTCGGAATTCCTGTCTCCGGACTCAGCGTAGAGATGAATTGGCCTTCTCTTGTTCACTGTGTGATCTAAAACAGTCAGTTCTTAGCACAGCGCTGGTGCCAACCCAAAAGACCTGTGTGTTCCAGAGCACATTTGCAAGTAGAGATCTGTTCATGTGTGTGCGTGAGTGCACACCCACGCTTGCATTTACACACACACACACACGCGCGCGCGCGCGCCTCAAGTCAGACAAACGCCCTCCGAGAACAGCTGGACTGGAGCGGCTGAGAGTGGAACTAGGTGGGTCCCTGAGCAGGTCCCTGCACAGAAGAGTCCCGTGGAGAACGTGGCCCACTCAACCAACCCCGCACGAGGGATTGAGACTATCCAATTCCTCCAGAGCCATGAATCCCAAATTGTATCGGAAATGTCATTTTGATTGTCAAGTTTTATGGGGGAGGCGGGGTAGTGCTTTTGTTTTCCTGCTGGTACTATCAGGAAAGATTTTAATGAAACCAGGGTAGAATTATTTGGCAGTGCACTTAAGCATGTCTTCTCCAAACTGTGCCTCCCTTCCATTGCTGGCCCTGCTGACACATGGAGGTGACTTTCCAGCTGCAAGTGCCCTTTATCATGCTCTCGTTTTTTAACCTGCACGCGGACCCCTCAGGAGGAAGAGTGGAGCGGAAGCGCCCCCAGACCCCCAGAATGTGCCCACCGGGGAACTCCTCCCGTGGAGTCACAGTGTCTTGGCCTGGAGCTCACCATGTGGGGACTCACACAGCAATAACTGCCTGCTTTCAGCTGCCCGGCATTGCGGGGCCTGCGTGGGTTGGCTCTGTGTGCTTGTGAGGTACAGTTAGTTGCTCTTGCTACCTGCGAGCATCCTTCCCTGTCAGCCTCCTCACACAGGCCTGCCCCTCCCTCTCCTGCGCTGGGTGAACTTGGTGTCCCCTGGCAGTGATGCATGGGAGCAGGAAGCCCGGAGAGCTTGAGGTGGCCCAGGAGGAAAGATTGCCCTTGTCTGGCCTGGAGTGTATGTGGGGGAGGAGGGACTTGGAGAACCTTGTGATCCCAGGAGGTACCTAAAGGTTCGGGGCCTCTTCCCTGTGTGCCTGTCGTGTTTCAATGCTGTTGCAGAAACCTCGCCCCAAGTGTTTCAGGGAGCAGATCTTCCACTACACGCGGTGGGTGGGTCGTAGGCAGCTGGAGCCTGACTGCAGGGTGCAGCTCTGACCCAGAGGCCTCCGTCTAGGCTGAGCAAGCAGGCTACAGGCGGCGGCTGTGATGGGAGCATCCCGGAGCGCTGCCCAGCCCTGGCTGTCCCCTTCCAAGAGGAAGGACTGGCATTAGATGTATATTTAAATTTTTTAACTGCTGCAAATGTTGTATATTCAAATTAAAGGAATAATCAAACCACATGTTGTTGCTGTGTGGGGCTCACTCTGCTTACTGAGAACTGTTTCCCTATGTGCCCAGTGAGGCCACCGCTGCCCACAGCCCGCTGGCACTGCCGGCTGGGCAGCACGAGCGGGTGCGGAGAGGAGGGCTGGGCTCGGACCCTGCCTCCTGCAGGAGTGCTTCCTGCAAGCTCCTTCCTGCACTGTGGGGGCCTTGATATTCAGCAAGCCTGGGCCGAGAGAGCCCTGATGTGAGTGGTCCTGCAAGCTTGCCTTGGGCCTCGTGTGGGCCTCCCCTGCTTCCACAGTGGTTCCAGGACACTAGAAACAATCTGCCGGCCCTTTTGCTTCACTGACCACTAACTTCTGTGCTCCCGGCTCAGCTGGACTTTGCTGTCCCCAACACAGCTGTCCACCCACCTCTTGTCTGACTGCTGTGCCTGTGCCCTGACCTTTTCAGCTCGCCGGCCCTTCCCCTGCAGAATGCCTCCTCCAAGAAGTCCCCTGCTCAGCTTAACAGGCCTGCCTTCCTTAGCTCCCCATGCCCTCCCCAGTCTTGGTGGTCTCTGTGGCAGTGATCCTGGGGTACATGTGCTTTGCACACCAACCTGCAGAAGCGGCCACTTCAGGCTGAGAGCTGCCTGGGGCAGGGCATGAGTGTTCCTGATGGGCCACCTCGCTCCTCTGTCTTCTGTCCCCACAGCAGAGCTGGCCCTGTGGCCAGTGCCCGGAGAAAAGGCGAGGGCTGAGGCAGCTAAATGGCCCCTCCGGGGACTTGGGTCCCCTGTCTCTGCATGGGATGGTGAGCACTTGGCTGGGGGCCCTGGAGGACGCCCCTCCAGGTTTCGCTCTCCCCTCGGTTGCTATAAGCGTTCAACTCCCTGCATCTGTCTCGGCGGCAGCCCCAGGGCCCCAGTGGCCTCGGCCTTCAGCACTGCCTATGTTCTGGCCACTTCAGGGAAACAGCCACCCCTCTCCCCCTCCCTGGCTCAGGTGTGGATAGCCAGGCCCTGGCACACCTGGCCAGTATGGCTGGTGTTCCCAGAAATGGCCCAGTCCAGATGGAAAACCCTTCAGCAGCTGCCCACAGCACACCATGCTCCAGCTGTGCAGCAGAGGGTGAGACCCTGTAGCCACGTCCTTCCTCACCAGACAGGAGCTGGGAGGCAGACACCTCCTCTCCTGCCCCTGGCAGGCTTGCACTCAATGGTGACAGTGGTGTTTGTTTCTAGCCCTGACCACTTGGCTCCCAAGAGCATTGTGAAGTAGTTCCCTGAGTGAAGACTCACACGCCCCACCCCTGCATGGGGTTGAGGAAGTGGATGAGGTGAGTACCAGGGACACGGCCTGCCTCCAGGCTTCCTGGGTGCACACGAAGGGGCCGGGTGCCCCATTGCGCCATGCAGCCAGCAGGCCAAGGAGCCAGGTGATGGAACCCAGGAACACAGCGGCCCCGGCTCTGTGTGGGCTGGGAGCACCACAGCTTGCTGCCAGGGGCCTGCGGGTGGGCAGGGACACCTGGCTTGAGCCTGCCATCTCCATGGAGCTGTCCGGCATCTGTGGTCTGCCTGGTCCCTCAGCTGCCCAGCCTGCTCCCCATCTACCCAGGTGGCTCAACCCTCTGGAGGGCCCCTCTCTGTCGCGGTCCAACAGGAACAGGCATTTGGGCCATGGACTTCCTGCGACACTATTGGCTCAGGACAGGCCTGACCATGGGCAAAGGGCCACTGCAAGTGAGCTGGGAGGATGGCAGTGCCCAGCACACGAGCTAGGCACAGACTCCCTGCCCTCTGCTGAGCCAGACAGCCGGGTCCTGACCTGCTGGGACAGGCCAGCCCTGAGTAGGAGCGTGGCCCATCACACACTCCCCTGAGACAGCAGCCCTTCCTGTCCCTCACTCTTGAGCAGCCCTGGCTCCTACAACCTGGGCCCTGCTGCCTTCCAGCCAGGCTGCCCTTGCACTGCCCTCACCTCAACACACGCACGCACTCCTGTTTGGCAGCTGTGACGGGGGGTGGGGGGGTGTGTCTCCAACCTGCAAATCCCTCTGCCCACCCGCACAGGCTCTGCTCAAGGCTGCAGGAACCTTGCTTCCCCCTGCTTGGCTTCCTTCGGTAGGTCGAGGCCTGCATTATGTTCCCAGACAGGCTTGGTTTCCTGCAGCAGGGAAGCACCATCCGTACCGAGTGAATAAGAGCATGTAGGGCTGGACCCGGCCTTGTCAGAGGGCAGATGGAGACCCAGAGAGCACAGGCCTCCCTCTGGTGCAGCAGGACCAGCTTGGACCTGGCGAGCCGGGGCCTCCCACAGATGCACCTGCTGAGGCCTGACTGCCCCTCTCCCTGCAGGTGCTGCCAAGTGCCCAGCCCCGGGCCCTCTGTCTCCCCATCCCACAGTGACTGAGGGTCCCAGCAGGTCATGCAGCTGTGCCAAGGTATGGAGCTCCTCCCCTAGGGGACCGGCAGCTGGGGCTGGCCAGCCAAGTTCACCTTGTACTGGAGGCCCAGGCTCTGCCTTGGGAGGTGCCCAGAAGGCACTGCTGGGGCTTTCCATGCACCTCAGCCCAAGATGGAAAAGTTGGAACCTTTTCCTCCAGGGTTCTTCCTGAGCCCACCAGAATTCAAGCAAGCAAGGGTGTAAGTGCCCCTTGAGCTCTAAAGCCTCCAAGGGAACTCTTGGGAGGAGCCAGATTGGGGGGAATCAAAACACCACTAACTCCCCAGGGCCCCTCAGTCAGCACCACGCTGGGTGATGTCAAGCACTCCCGCCAGGTCCTGTCATTCCCACTGCAGAGATGAGGCAGCTGAGGGCAAGTGGGGAGGGAGGCCATGCTGAGTCCCTGGAGCCCTGGGCTGTGCTTGCCTGTCTTCCCTGTGTGCTGAGAGTGCAGCCACCCCATCTCTGGCCCTGGGGCCCCACAGGTCAGAGCCTGTGTGCCTGAGGAGCAGGGCTTCTTGGAGGAATGGGCCTTGAAGGCTTTGGAACCAGCCCAGACCCCTCCCAGGCTCAGGGCAGCTGTGAGCCCACAGGCCAGCAGTGTGACAAGGACGGACCTTGACAATGAGCAGAGAGGACGGGTGAACACTCAGAGGGAGTACAGGAGTCACAGCCACAGGCTGTGGGGCAGCAGACCCCCAGTCCCTAGGTAACCCCAGGGTCCTAGAGGAAGGTATTCAATGTGCCCAACTCTGGACCCACGAGGGGACGCAACGAGCCAGCCAGGGGCTGCCGTGCCCAGGAACTTCCCACAGTGGGGGGCCTGATGGCAGCCTGGGCCCACACCCACTCCAGGGTACCGTGGGGCTCAGCTCCCCCATTTGTTCCGCAAGGAGGGGTGGCAGGTGCCCACTGCCCCCTGCTGAACAGGGAGTTTCAGCCGGGGTGTGGGGCTGGGCAGGACGGCCATCCAGGAAGTTGCCAAGCCCGTCCTTGTCTTCCTGGGCCCTTGGGCTCTGTGCGTCTCTTAAATGCTGGAAGTACACCCATGGTGGCACTCCCTCTGCAGCCCCTCCTAGCACCGATTCAGCTCTCCCGACCCCAGCTTCTCTGGCTCCCCACAGGCCCTGCCGGCATTTCAGTCCTTTGGCCTGGCAGAGGTGAGAGCCCATGCCCAGCTTTGCCCTCATACTACCTCTGCCCTGCCCCACAGGTCTGGCTGGCTCTTCCCAGTGCCACCCCCTGGCCTGTTCTCCTGTCTCCACCCAGAACTTGCCTTTGCCATCTGGTGCTGTTCCCCTATCCCCAGCCTGTGCTGAAAGTCAGTGTCCGTGTCCCCTAGCCAGCACCGCTGAGCAGGGCCTGGCTCTGATCAGCCTGGTCCTCAGCGTCTCTAGGACCGAGGCCAGTGTTTTTGGTGGGTGGAGCGAGGGACATAGGACAAAGGTGGGGGACAGGGCCTCATGCTATCCTTTGAAACCTGGGACCCAGCCTCACCCAAGGATCCCACTGGCAGCCAGCCACCTGGTCCAGTGAGCGTGGGGGCCTCAGCCTGCCCGCCCACCCACCCTGTCTCCCCTGCCCACCTCCCTGTGACCATTCTGTCCTGTTCTGCCCTACTGCCCGACATGGGCTGCCTGACCCCCTGCCTCCCAGACCTGGCTGGCACCGCGGAAGTATCTCTCTGCACATGGCCCAGGCAGGCAAGGTCTGGTGGGCCAGTGGGAGGGAGGCAGGGCTGGGGCCGACACCGGGTTTGGGCCCAGTGCTTGCTGCAATATTGATGGCCCGTCAGTGTGGCCCTGATTCCTGTGCTTTCAGTTAAAAGGTTTCTGTTGTTGTAGCTTATGCAGTTGCTGTGTTGCTATGGAAACGTGACATCAAAATGACGTTTCCCGTTTAAAAGCTTTTAACTAAATTCCTGCCTGTCAGATGTAGGCCCCATTTTGAGCGTGGAGCTGCCTCAAGCAAGCTAGCGTGGCGCCTCCCGCCCATGGTGCGCGGGCCGGGCCCGGGGCCCTGCCTGAGCACCGTCCTTAACCCCGCAGGTGCCTCCAGCATGGCAGCGGCCGAAGTGCCCAGCTACCTTGTGTCTCCTCAGACAGAGAAGCACCGGCGGGCCCGCAACTGGACGGACGCCGAGATGCGCGGCCTCATGCTCGTCTGGGAGGAGTTCTTCGACGAGCTCAAGCAGACCAAGCGCAATGCCAAGGTGTACGAGAAGATGGCCAGCAAGCTCTTCGAGATGACGGGTGAGCGCCGGCTGGGCGAGGAGATCAAGATCAAAATCACCAACATGACCTTCCAGTACAGGTGGGCACTCGCGACAGCGGGCAAGGGCGGGCCGAAGGCTTGCATCGGGAGTGGTGGCCACCGGGCCCGGGCCCACTCACACGGCCACGGGAGCCGCTCCTGCAGCCTCCCCATGGGAAGATGGGGAAACAGGCCCAGCAAATGCAAGAAACTGGTGGGGAAGCCCTGAGGCGCCAGGACCGCCGTTGGCTTCCTGTTCTGGGGCTGGTTTTGGGCTGTGGGTCCGAAGACACACACCAGACCTGTGCACTGCACTCACAACACCGCTGAGGCAGCGCCCCGTCTCCACCTCCCCGCTCCACCCAGGGACCGCAGGCTGTCGTCAGGGTGTCAGAAGCCCCTGTACAGGCAGGGAGACTGAGGCCAGCATGAGCAAGAAGCTCCGCTCTCAGGCCTGCCTGGTCCTGACCCTCCAGGACTTTAAGCTTGTGCCATGTGCCCAGTTTAGGGCCGAGGAGAGGAGCATTTAGGGCAGATGGTGAGACCCCAGTGGTACCCCACGTGTAGGCAGGGCTCTTCACCAGGGGAAGGGGTGGAGCTCAGGCCTGGCCCCTTCTCTGGCTCTTGGGTTAGCCTCTGCAGTGTGGCTCCTGGAGGGAAACACTCAGCTCTGGCTATAGGAGGAACGGCTGCACCCACTTACCAGCACTCCACCATGCGGGGGCCGTATCCCCCTGGAAAACTTGGAGCAGGACAGGGGTCGTGGGCAGGGTGTGGATATGGGCTTACGGGTGGAGGAGTCGTGTGTGTTGTGAAGGTCACAGTGTGGGGTGAAGGTCATGGGCATGAGGAGGCTCACGGCAGGAGCTGCAAGCCTATAGGTGGCTTGGGCCTGGCAGGGTAGGGAACGCGGTCCCAGGGGAGACTCACATCGGCCCTCTGGCACAGGTATGGGGGCTGGTACAGACCAAGGCTGGGAGCAAAGGGAACCCTGCAGGCTTGCCTGCTGTACCCCAGGGGGTACCGAGCCCCTATGCCCCACACAGGTGAGAGCCTGCCCAGGGCAGTGGGAGGATGCTGCACCCCAGTCCTGGCTCCTGGCCACCCTGGGAGCCCAGAGGGCCCAGCAGGGCCTAGACAAACCTTGAGGCTCCGTTCCAAGTTGTGCTACTTAACTTTTGAGGCCCTCTTTTTGAGTAGATCCCAAGCCTGCCCCTGAGTCGGAACCCACTGCTGGGAGTCCTTGAGTGTAAATGATGTTAATTTTGAGCCTCCGCTCCTGATGTTAGGGCTGAGATGTGAGTCTCGTGCCAACAAAGGCGGGCATGCAGATGGTGGCACATGGCCTGGCCCGCCTGTGGCCTCCCAGTCCCCTGGCCCCATTCAAACTTCCGGTGAGTGGAGGGCTCTGGGGTTGGGGGGCTGCGCTGGCCGATACCCAGGCTTCCTCGCCTCTGTCATCCATAGTGAGGTGAGACCCGGCCTGGCCTCTCCGATGGTGTCTGGCTGGGTTATTCATTATTCATGCTGAAAGCCTCCCTTGGTGTGCCAGGGTCCCAGGGGAGGGATTCTGTGTCCTCTCCTGGCCAGGCGTGATTCTGGGAGGCCAGGAGACGAGCTGTGCAGTCGGGCCGGGGCGCATGGCACTCCCAGCTTGGGAAGCAAGTGCCCACCGTGTCTCCCCACGGCTGCTGCCATCAGTCCTTGCTCACTCACTGAGGGGAAACTGAGGCCTGGAACTACAGAGGGTCTTTCCACACAGTTCTTCATAAGCCGAAGCTTCAACGGGGTGACCAGGTCTTCAGCTCCCCACTCCACCCTCCCACTGCACACCCTGATTATTTCTTCACAAGACCTTTTCATGTATTGGGGTTGTCTGGCTAAGGAAGCGCGAGAGATGACTAGTTCCATGGTGTGTGCTTGCTGCAACAGCACTTGGGGCCTCCCAGGCCAGGGCGGCTGCCCCGTCTCCCTACGGAGCAGGCTGGCTTGAGAGGGGCAGAAAGAGTGGGTACTGTGGAGGGGCCCGGACTCCAGGTGGACACCTCACCTCCCCCTGCAGGTGGGTCAGGTGCTACTGTCGGGAAGACAGAGGACCTGGGCCCTGCCCTGTGTGGTCTGCCCCTGGCTGTCTGCTGAGGGCATTCTGCTTAGCACTGCCCAAAGCCCGAGCAGCAGGGGCACCAGCCCGGGGGTTGGGCTGGCCCTCTGGGACAAGCATTGGCAGGCAGGTGGGAGCCTCAGGAGCTGCTGGGGCTGCTGGGGCAGAGGTGTAAGCCACCTGCCACCCTGGGGCCGGGTCTCTCTGGCCCTCACCTGCTGCACTTTGGCCCCCTGCGGCAGGACCTGCTGCAGGAGAAGATGGCAGGCTGGCCAGGCAGTGTTCAGGTGGGGCCACACCATGCAGGAAGCGGCGCAGCCCGGCAGGGTTCTGGGGCTACAGGAGTGAAAGTAGCAGTGCCGAACAAGGGCCAACACAACTTCCTGTTCCATCCAACTAAGAGTGATGGAGGCCGGCCTGCTGTTTGCCAGGCATTGTTTTATTAAATCTCCTCTTTAGTCTTGTGAGGGGCTTCCTCCTTCATCCCCATTTTACTGACGCAGAAATGGAGGCTCAGAGAGGTTAATGAACCTGCCCAAAGTCGTCCAGAGACTCAGCACTGTGGATGCTGCAGTCTGCTCCTGTGCCTGTCCCTGAGGCGTCTGTCCTCTCCAGAAGGCTGTGGCTCTTACCTTGTGATATCTTATGGCTGCATTATAAATTTGTCAGGATACTTTATTATCGCTGGGTAACTGATGTCAGAAGCAGTATGCATTCGTTGTGGTTTAGAAACTCTGCTAAGGGAAACTACAGGAGCCCACCCAAGGTTCCAGCACCCACAGCCGCCCGTCATGTATGTGGGGCGTGCGCCCCTTCCTTCCCCCCAGGGCCTCGTGCCTGCACCCACCGCTGACTGCCTGCCACCTGGGTGCTTCCCGTAGACATCCCAGAGCCTCGCTGCTCTGAGCCCACTGCTGCTGGGGCCTGGGGCCTGGCCAGTTTTGCTGGGGAGCCTGTGCTGGCCACGAGTGGCTCCTGCCGTGCCAGCGTGGCTCCCTGGGGGTCCCCAAGGCCTGTGTGCCCCTCTGCTGAGGCGCCGGGCGGGACGGGCTGGGACCAGCTGTTTCTCACCCTTGGCTCTTGTGTCTCTCTTTCAGGAAATTAAAATGCATGACAGATAGCGAGTCGGTCCCTCCGGACTGGCCCTATTACCTAGCCATTGATAGGATTCTGGCCAAGGTCCCCGAGGCCTCTGAGGGCAAAGTGCCGGACGGCCAGCAGCCGGGGCCCTCCACGTCCCAGACCGAGGCGTCTCTGTCGCCGTCCGCTAAGTCCACCCCTCTGTACTTACCGTATACCCAGTGCTCCTACGAAGGCCGCTTCCAGGACGATCGCTCCGACAGCTCCTCCAGCTTACTGTCCCTTAAGTTCAGGTAGTGTGCGTGCGCTCGCGCTTCCTCTCCTGACGGGGCCTTGCCCGCCCCGCCGCGCCCTGCCGCCTGAGCAGCCGCCTGGCACGCTGTCCTCGCGGTCTCTGGCCTCAGACAGTGGACCATGCTTGTCTCCCTCCTCCACCACTTAGCTGCATGGGAAGTTCCTTGACCTCTCTGGCCTCAGTCTCCCTCCTGTGAAATGGGGATCAAGCGGAACCTTCCTTGGAGAGGGCTGGGAGTGTCAAGAGAGAAGACAGTGCCTGTCCCACATGTGCCTCCCTGTCTGCCTGCACCCTACACAGGTCCTGCCTGTCCCCACTGTCACTACAGGCTTTGTATTGCTATGCCTGGGCGTCAGACTGCACGCAGGACAGACAGCCAGAGCTGTGGGGGCAGGGAGCCCAGAACAGGCACTTCAGAGGAAGGGACACTGAGTGTGGGCTTTCAAGGTAAAATAGGAGTTGGCCAGGTAAAAAGAGTAGGGAGAATGTGGCTTTGAGTCATGGTCTGTGCCCATGTTTAAATCTGTCTCATGGGCGGTGGGGTGGGAAGGACTCCCCCAGGGCCCCCTTCCCTGGAGAGGAGCTCTCTCACCTGTGATCCCAGACAGACACCAGCTGTGCTCAGCCACCCTGAGTCAGCAGGAGGCCTGAGGTTTAGGGCAGCTGTTCCCAGGGTTCTGAGCTCAGACCCAGACTCTGCTGCTAGGGCAGAGCCCAGAGCTGTGACCCAAGGCTGGCTGGTCACCTGCTGCTCTGCAGGAGGGTGCGGGCTGGGCCAGGAGTGTGGGGTCCGGTGGGACTCTGGAGATGCTGTGGGGGCCACGGCCAGCCGCCTCCACCTCCCTGCTCCTGGGGAGGAGCTGCCACCCTAGGCAGCTGTCTTGCTTCCCTGCCCCAGAGTGCCGGGCTCAGGC